AGAGAGAGAGAGAGAGAGAGAGAGAGAGAGAGTGTGTGTGTGTGTGTGTATGATTATAAGAGTTCAAATAGCTATCACAGCAAGGGAAGGGATCACCTTTACCTCGCAGCTATAGTCAATTCTGAATAAACCAAAAGGCTAGAAAAGCTTTGAACAGAAAGCAGCTTGCTTGATATTTTTTGAGTCAAATGCAAGCTATATGAAGCTTACAACCAGTACCATTACCACAACTTTCTAACCTAACAACATAGAATAGAGATTCGCATGATTAACAAGAAGATACTTAGCAGTAGCTCATTTGGACGCTTTAATCAATCAATTAGATCAGCAAAATCATCGGAGAATTGCAGAATAGGTGATTTACCGAAAGTAGTTATGATAGTCTTGTACATAAGCTGAAGCGATAGAAACATAATGTGAATACATGAAAACGAAGCGAGTATCTTGTACCAAGCATCAGACGTTTCTGTAAAGTAGGCTTAGCGATGAGAGGAGCGAACAAGATTACCCATGAAACTGTAAACATCGGAATGTTTCATAACAGTACCTAACGGAACACGAAGTTCTTTAAGCTGCTCTGAAACAGTTATACGTTTAAGATTCAGAAACTAATGCTGTCAGTTCACCTAGTGAGATGATGTCTACCCTTGTAGTTGGTCTTCCATCGTCTTCTTCTAAGAGTACTACTTTTGCTGGCTTGTATGGAAAATTGAATGTGTTACTATGTACAAACGTATTTGCATGGCAACATATCACAGTCAATGAGAACGTTACGAGAATACTTAGAAGTACGCGACTGTTTCTCATTTCACCGTTTGAGTAGCACTGAAACAGTGTCACGTAACTTTCACGTGAATATTTTGAAAGTTTCATTTTCATTTTTGGAAACCCTGAGAGCGGTTGAATGAAAAGCCAATATTATTGTTGAAGACAGGTAATTGAATTAAAATAATTGAAATATCGTATGTTTTGTAAAGCTTAAAGCATAAGTCCCGCCTACGTGCGCGAGAGACTGTAGGTATGATGAGAGTGCAAAGAGAGATAGAAGAACGACTTGAATGTGGTTTGTGTGTGTATGTGGTCATCGTCATAGAAGGACAAAAGTCCAAAAGCTCGAATAAGACAGTGACGAAGAAAGTTAGAAGGTTGTTGCCAGCTAACAACTACTTGCTCTTCTCATTACACTATTTCTATATTTTTATAATTTGAATGTTTTCGTTAATAGCAAAAGCTCATTGAACTATTCTGATTTCAATTTGCAAGCTTCACATTACTTTTGAAATGTTTTTGTTGGCCTCTAGCCAAGGTCATTTAATTAGAATATTTCTGTTAACTAGCATATTTGGATATGTAGGTAAGTGTGAATGACGTCCTTCGCCATAAGTATTCTAATTTCACGTTTTTTTCTAGAATCCGCATCACATTTAGTTATTGAACCATCTTTCTTATTAATTAATGAAGATTGGGAAGTTGGAAAAGAACTTCCAATAGCTATCTGTCCACAGAAGGCTCGAATCCTGTCAGGAAATGTTGGAAACGTTTTTTCAATTCGCAAATTAAATGAAACTTGTTCAACACTTGTTCTCAACATTCAATTGGATGCAGATGTAAGTCGTTTGATCTCTTCGTGTGTGTCTGACTGCTTTTTTCTTTATTTTTTGTATCCTTCTTTTCACAAACTTTCTAATTCTCACTCGTTAGTCAAGAGATGAGAAATGACTTTGGTGTTCATTGACTTCTAAAGAAGTTAGTACATCTCTATCTATGCGTGCTTTTCGATTTGACCATTCTCTGTCTTCTTCATTCCAAATTTGTTTTCTGAACGGATTTACTATCGATGCGCATCACTGAATCTTCTTTCTTTACCAAACAAGGCAAAGAACATACGAAAAGCTACTAATCCTTCGTCTCTTCTTTTCTCTTAGTTACTTTTGAAGGAAGAATTGTCCGAAATCATAATAGCATATCCTTTCGTAACTTCATTTTGCTCACCTCTGTACCTCACCGACGATCATCTCTCGTTCAGCCTTTTTTTTGTTTTTATCTTTGACCCACACAGATAGACACATAGAGAGAGAGGTATAGAGAAACAAAAACTTGGGATTACTGAAGGTACATGTTTAAGCCTTCGCTTACATCCATTTTCAAATAAGAAAAAGGTTGTTGGCTGACATTTTAAACAATCGTTTAGTAAAAACGGGGGAAAGGGAGGAAAGGAGGGGGGGGGAGAAGATGTTGTTGGAAAACACATTAAAATCTCATCATCAGCATTTGGGACTTTCAAGTTCATTAATTGACACATCTGATGCTTTCAATGTATGTTATTCTCTCATCTCAATGTGTTCTCAGTCTTTTTTGGGGGTCTGAGTTGGGATGGGCGGTGGATAAGGAGAAAGAGAGAGAGAGATATGGTTGGTTGAAGGTAAAACCAATGTTTGTGAGAGATAAAAGCTTCAATCTCCTAATAGAAACAGCCTATTTATGGTTGCTAATGTGAGAATTTATGTGAGAAGATAATGATTTCGTTAAGTATAAGAAGAGAATGATGAAGTGAAAGGAATGTAAAAGACATTCTAACCACTTACTTCAGCCGGTCCTTTTATGGTGGTTGGATGATGACACATTTCATTTGTTGAAGCAATTGGTCCTTTCATATTTTATTTTTCAAACTCTTCATAGATATGAGAGATGAAACATATAAAAACAGTTTCATATTCATTAACTCTATCTCCCCACTTTCGCTCTCTCAGTCTCTCATTCTCTCTCTCTCTCTCTCTCTTTTTTTTTCTTTCTCTCTGACTGACTGTCCGTTTAAAATATAGTTTATAAGGAGGGAAATGAATAGATTAATTATGAAAAAGCTCAAGAGGTTTATTGGTGAGTGAAGTGAGAAGAGAATATGGATGATGAGAAGCATTACCAATCTCTGCTGCTTAATGCCACATGTGGCACAATTATTCTCACCATTCGTGCTTGTTTCATTAAACATAGCTTGTATAACTGTTTCTCACTTGCCATTAAAGGAAGTTGTTTAAGAAAGGTCAGCTTGTAGCTTATTTACATTACAGTATCAAAAATTTTCGCTGACAAACTTTGAAACTGTTTGACCTGACAGATGCAATCACTTTTCCGTATTAGGAACATCTGTAATTTTACTTTCAAAAATATTGGATATTATTCATTCGGAAGCGAATTCTTGCTTACTTATATGGTATAATTACATGAGCAATCCATCTAAGGCAATCAAAGCACTACATCGACCTGAATTCATAATCAGCTATTCAAATTGACGTCCGCTGTTCGGCGTCCATCAAGACACAACGGATGAAGCCTGTCCATATAAGAGCTGATGTTTCATTTGAATTTTCAAGTTATTCCTGCTTGCCAACCATATAAGAAGGGAAACCTTATTAAACTCAAGAGGATGAGGCTTCAATAATGCTGCAAGTACTGCACATTTTTATAATTTATTCCTTTTTGACTTATAACTTGTTATTTCTTCAGTTCCTATTCTATATCTTAAAATGAAGGTTCTAAACATAGCAGAAGAGTTAGGGTGAGAGAGATTGAGAGAAAGAAGATGAACGACACACGATTCGTTTTCTCTGCTATGCTTCATCCGTTGATCACATTTCCAAATAAATAATTGTGGAATGTGGTAGAGACAGAAGAAACTCTCTCTCACTCTGTTGGAGGGGAAAAATAATCATCAACCAAAATAATATGTTAAATAAAGAGAGTCTAAAAGAGGTCATAGAAAGGTTGGAAAGAAGAAAACAACCAGATGACCTGTCGATTTAGTTCAGTCACTTTACCAACTTCGTTAGACTGTTAAATCATTTAGCTCCAACACGTAACTCTCTCTCTCTCTCTCTATCTTCCTTTCCACGATGAGAGGTAAATACAAAAATAAAATGAGAAAGTATGAAAAACGATGAACACAAATGAGCTCGTTGAAGTGGTTCAAGCATCTGCAAAAGTATTCCTGTTTGAACAGCTTGACAACCAATGGCATTTCCATTTTTGATGTTACAGAAGGAATTCAATGGAGGTTATGGACAGTCATTTGCGCTGGTTTTGTCAGGTCCAAGAAATGCTCGAGCAACTCTCGATATTGAAGTTGTTGATGTGAACGATAATGCTCCTGAATTCATAAATACTCCATCAACCTTAAGTATATCAGAGGTTTGAGTAAAGCTAAGTAAAGTATGATAATTAAAAATCCTTGTTAAAGGATTTGAAGGAGGATTCGGTGATAACTAAGATTCGTACAAGAGATGTTGACACAGGTGTTGGCGGATTAGCCAGATATTCATTGGATGATGTGAGTTTAAGAATGAGAATGACTTTCTTTTCATAAAATAATTCTATTAACAGGATGACCAATTCTATTTGGATAAAAAGAAATGTTCAAATGGGGAGTGTTGGACAACGTTGAAATTGAAAAAGCCATTGGATTACGAAAAGTTTCTTTCTCAACTTATCCTCAAAGCTTATTCTGAAATCATTCTAGACAATCCGTTCATAATTTGATTATCACAGCTGAAGATGGCGATCCTCATGTTCAAAATACAAATAAGGCTACTCATCAACTGGCTATACATGTTCTCGATGTACAAGAGTAAGCTTTATCTTGTAAATCCGTCGTCTGTTAGAATGCAACCGATCATTGAAACATCATTTCTGAAAATGATCAATCAACGTGAACATTCCATGACATTTGCATAATTGACATGCTAACACATCTATGAAACCTTTTCAGTTCACCACCTGTTTGGAAAACAGATTTTTCAAAACCAATCATAATTGAAGAAACAATGAAAATTGGAGATGAAATTTATAAAATTCAAGCAGTAGACGGCGACGAGAAGAATCCAAACGAGATAAGGTATTCCCCGCTTCGTCTGCTATTAAGACATTCAAAATCAATTGAAGATATTCTGTCGAACCAAATGATTATGTAACCATCCATGAAACAACTGGATCGATCAAACTCAAGAAAATTCCATCTCCCAACACCGATATTCGATTATACGTTACCGTAAGGCTTCTACCGTCATTGAGTACCTAATAATATCTCCGTTTCAGGCAAAAGAGAATGATTCGAATGCTATGTCAATCAAAGCTGATATCATATTGGAAACTTCATTTTCAAAGAAAGAAACTAATCAAATAAAGTTTTGCGCTTCCGATCTGACAACAACTCAAGTGAAAGAAGGCTCCGAACAGTTTGAACAAGCTTTAGTAGTGAAGTTCAATCAACCAGTCGTTAGTTGAAGATAGTGAGAATATGATCGAACACATTATTTTACAGACTCCCGGTATCTTGATCATAGATGGACATTCGAATATTTTCAAAATTGGCGATAATCAGAATGATCCACAAACGATAGAAGTTCTCATAGCTAACCCAAAGCTGATTGACTATGAAAAAGAAAAAAGTTTAATCTTCTATGTACTGTTTCAATCCTAATAAGGATAAGCTTATACATGTGTTTCAGGTGAAATCTCCATTTGGAAGATGCAAAGTACAGGTTGATGTGTTGGATGAGAACGACAACAGTCCTCGCTTCACTGATGACACCTTCCTATTCTATGTGACTGAAAACCAAAATTCAACAGTTTTAGGACAAATTGAGGTTATATGAACTTGCTTCTTCATAAATCTTCTCTCTTTCTAGGCCAAAGATGCAGATTCCGATAAGTATCTGCCTATAACCTATTCCATATTAGGCAATCATTCTCATTTATTTGCAATTAATGAAAATGGCCAATTACGATCATTAATGTCAATCGATCGAGAACTGAATGACAAATTTGATTTAACTGTTAGAGCAACAGATGCTGGAGGTGAATTCGTACAATACTTTCTCTTACATTATGAGGGATTGTTTCAGGGAGATCGACAGACTGCCCAGTGAAGATTGTTGTTCGAGATGTCAATGACAATCCTCCTATGTTCGATAAAGACTCTTATAGAATTGAAGTTGAAGAAGAGAAAAGTCTTAAAGTCCGAATTACAGTTGAGTTTCTCAATATGGTCCGTTAAACAAAAGAAAATTACTTGTAGGCATCTGATGCTGATTTGGGACAGAATGCTGAAATCGTATATTCTATCTCCAAGGTTCCGGAAGCCATTCCTATTGATTTCTCTGCTGGAATTTTGTTTGTTGGCAAGATCGACAGGTAGTTTCATTTGTGAGTCTCTAGATACTGAATCGTTCAGAGATACGATGGATTCAGATGAGATCAATGTGCTCCTAACAGCCACAGACAAAGGAGAACCACCTCTCTCATCAAGTGTCAACCTGACCATTTTTGTTATTGTACTTATAACACATCTTAAGCATGAGAACAATTTCTTGTTTTTCAGGACATCAACGACAACTATCCAGTGTTCACAAATTCTCGTTACTCCATTGTTTTGGATGCTAACATTAGCCCGGGTGGAGTAAGTATTCATTAGTGAACGACGTAACTAATATAGGCATTCAGGTAATAGGGGGCGTTAAAGCTGAAGACGGTGATGCTACGTCACCGAATAATTATATCAGTTATAAAACGTCTGATTCAAATTTCAAAATAACAGATAATGGAGAGATTCTTTATAGTGGAAATGGCCTTTTACGGAAAGTAAGCACTCTCACTCATAGTATTTTATCTAACAAAATGTCATTGAGGATTCCTCTTTGGAATTTATGATCACTGCTGTTGACGGTGGTTCTCCGTCAAAGAATGCAACTAGCAAAGTCATCATCAACGAACACAAAGCAGCTATGCAAAGCGAACTCATTGCCGAACTAATGGGAAATGAAACTTTAAATAGGTATCACAATACTATTTTCTAATGAAAAACGTTAACTCGATCTCTACAGTACGGAAATAAAATGGGCTAACTCTCGAATGGCTGGTTATACATATGAGATCATTCGCGCAACAGCTGATGGGTTTAAGGTTAGAATAGAAAGTTAAAATTTGAAAAAAAAATTTTTTAATATATTTTATTAATATTTTTTGTACTCTCTACAACTTTTTGGGGTTTTTGAAAAATGCAAAACATTTGCTCCATGGCAGGCTCGAACTGCCGACCTTGGCATATCTCATAACTATAAGTACCACGCGCTAACCAACTGCGCCAATGGAGCACTGCTATTCGCACGGTCATGCTAGAATACAGCGTCGCATAGCGTTTTTCAACTAAAAACGATAGCGAAAGTGCAATCTGGTTATCGAAAATATTTTTAGGATCAAGAAGTACGTAAATGGCTGGAAATTGATGAGAAATCAGGTATTATCCACACCGTGACGTCTCTCACACCTGATGTTGTTAAACAAATCCGTTTGTACATCAGTATGAGAAAGGGGAAGCGTGAAGTTCCAGGTTTGTCGATTAGTGTATCACTCAACCGAGTTGAAAAATCACTTCTCACAATAAATAAACAAACATAAAATATTTCAGTGGAACTGATCATCAATGTTGTCGACAATGATGCACCACCCTCATTCAGAAAAGATGTTTATCGCGGGTCTGTTGCTGAGAATACGTCACCAGGAACGCGAGTGCTAAAAGTGAAAGCTCATGGAGACAGTGACAATCAATACCAGTATGTTGATAACTATACACAACTCCGCTTGAAATGCTTGCTCCATCACCTACGCTTTCTCTTCCTTCAGATACTCCCTGACCATACAATACGGTCCCAGAGATGTTCTGTCCATCGATAACTATGGCTGGATTTTCCTCAAAAAATCTTTGGATTTTGAAAGCTTTGAGAGAATTCTTGGCATCGTTACGGCTGTAGATGAACTTGGAAACTCCGCTAGTACTAACTTTTCACTGCAAATAACAGACATTAACGATAACAGGTGCCTTTTGCCAGTTCAACCATCCCATTTTAACTGACTGAAAATGAAAACAACTATCTTCATTCCATTGATGGCAGGCATAACCAAACCGATATGATTTCAGACCAATCTTCAAAAACGGGTCTGTTTTCACTGTTCATCTGCCTGAATCTACTGAAGTGGGTACAATTATACCTTTGCCCTACCCATTGGCTACCGATGCGGATAGCGGCATAAATGGAGAGCTGAAATATTCCTTATTAGGTGGAGATGGCCATTTCGAAATTAATGCAACGTATGAAAATAAAATAAGCTCAACCTATAAATAATGATTCTTTTAGAACTTCCGAAATCAAACTCATCTGGGAGTTAGACTATGAGAACCAACGAGCTCATTCCCTCACCCTTCGGTGTGTTGATAATCCTAAAAGTGAACAATCCAATGAAGTTTTCGCTTCCGTAAGTAGAATTTGAACGTGAAGAAACAATCGACAGTTACATTTTAGGTTACTGTAGTTGTCGAAGATATTAATGACAACAAGCCACTCCTTCACAACTCTGATCTGCAGCATTTGACTGTCTCCGAAGATGCTTTTCCATCTACTATTGTTACAGTGCTCTCCGTAACGGATGCTGATGAAGGTTAATACTATTTCTTCTGAGAAGGTTGAACACAACATCATTCCAGGAGGACGACAAATTGTTCGTTTGGATGCAAATCATACTCATTTCAAGATTGATGAAGAGAACAGATTGGTTGTATCGAATGAATTGAAGGGATTTGCTGGAGAGAGAGTAAGTCTAAATGTAAACCACACTCAGAGTTCGAGAGTTACTGTTTACAATCCATCTCTGCGTCAATAGAGAAAACAACAAAATGAACCTTACCAGTTCAAATTTCAATATTATTTACTATTGGTTTCAGATTTGCTCGTCTCTTATAGCCACTGACTCTGGTAAGCCAGCTCAGGTTGTGAAATACCCTTATTGCATCACTGTGTATCCAGCTACCAACAATCATCACAATCCTCTTATAGGTAGATATCACAAACTTAGTTTATTTTCAACTTCATCTTTTAAGTGTTCCCAAAGCCAAACTCTATTCATTACTTCGATGAGAACTTGGACTACGATGAGTTACTTAGGATGAAATTGCTGGATGAAGGAGATCTTCACAACATTTCATACAGAATTGACACATCTTTCAAGAAGGTATATAAGACTTCTCATTTATAATCTCACTATGGCATTGTTGTAGGATTGGGAGCATTTCACAATCAACCAAACTGGGTCGCTAAAATCGAAGGAAGTATTTGATTTTGAGAAGAAGAATGTGTATGAACTGAAAGTTCTTGCATGCCGTGCAGCTAATTGCTCATCAGTTCATATATTTATTTCTGTCAATGATAGAAATGACAATTGTCCCATATTTCCGAAGCAGGTATTTTTACAAAATAAAAAATAATAACCAAAACCTGGCTTTCCTAGGATGTTCGACTGAGTCTCGTTGAGAACGATAAATCACCACTACCACGTCAAGTTGGAAGAATTCCAGCAGCCTTAGATGCTGACTTCCACTCAGATAATACCAAAGTGAGATTATTAGAAGCTTGGAAGTTTTTATATCTTTCTTTATAGGTTTGCTATACTACCGAGTCACCTCTGTTCTTCTTCGTCGATCCGACTCTCCCCATTCTGTACACGAATGTCAGCTTCGATCGCGAGCAACATAAGCAACATCAAATTACAGTAATTTTTGGAAGGAATAACAAGAGCCAACTTTAAATTTAGATTGTCTCTTTCGATTGTTTATTATCATGCCGAGATCCTCACAAGCCTATGAACAGTACCATCACTGGAATCATTGAAGTACTGGATAAGAACGACAATATACCTCGTTTCTCGGAAAGAACATATGTTGCTACTGTTATTCAGGTTATCTTTTGTTTCAAAGGCATTATTCAACAAGAATATATAGGGTCAAGTAAGTGCTGGGAGCCATCTTACCAGCTTGTCAGCTACAGATCTAGATGTCGAGCCTGATGGGCTTAGATATTCAATACAAGGCCCAGTTAGAACTGGTACAGAAGCATATCTGCATCATGAATCCCCAATCACTGTCGATCCTGCTACTGGAGAAGTATCCGCAAATGATGTGTTGAAAGAGCCTCTCTACACTTTCACTGCTTCAGTCATAGATGGAGCTGGTCATGAAGATACAGCTATCGTTACTGTGAGTGATCTTACAAAAAACACATTCGAGTGGAATCTTTACAGATTTACGTTGTCACTTATGAGCAACAAGCTGAACTTCTTTTCGATGCTCCATTTGATTTTATTGTTCATAATGAAAAGGATATCATAAAGTGAAGTTAAACATGCTCTACTTATGATAACCGTTTGTTCAGGTTATTGTCAGAAGTGACATCACTAACAGCAGTTGTTGACCGTTGTCGTCAGAACTCTAACTTCACTATGGTCTTAGCTCATTTCCTCAAGAAAGATGGCTCCTTTGAGAATGTGGACACGATTATCGAGTAGTTTTTTATCATAGGCGATCATACAAAACTTCAATAATTACAGTGTTATCACTAGCTCTAACTCTTCATCCAAAAGAGAGCTGAGGAGTACATATGGTTTGAGAGAGACAACATCCAGCACTCAAACTGTTCTATTTTTGAATCCAAGAACAGCTTCCGTAATGAGTCAAAGCGTTATCAGTTGTCATAAAGTTTTGTTACAGATCGGAGTCGCTGCTATACTATGTATTTGTCTTCTTCTCGCTATTTGTTGTTGGTGCAGATCTCGTAATGATTACTCCAGCAAACTTCATCAGATTTCCGTTCATGCTGCAGCTCATCATGCATCATTAGGAAGACCAAATGCGTAAGCAAATTCTTAAAGATAAGAAAAGCTAGAACGTAATCATTATAGAAAGGGAGCTCCAGCATATTACTTAGATGGGGTCATTCCGATCCTCTCTTCAAATGGGATGAGTGGGAGGTTAGTTCCTCCTCCACCGCCGCTGCAATCAACAGAATTATAGTTTTCTATTAACAATCGGTGCTAAATTAATATTTTTGTGTTGTACACTTGGAATTCTTACTGTGACTTGTTTATTTGTGTTTGTGTGTGCTCAGAACTTCTAGTCTTTCATCTATGTTTCTGCTCACCCTCTTCATTCCCTCAAAAAGATTGATTTCCATTACAGGTTTTGATGTGTCTTATACATATAATAAAGATTATTTATAAACCACATAATCATTACAATAAAACGGTTAGTTATTCTTAATAACGTTCTTATGTACAACTTTGTTCGCAATCACAGGTCGAAGGCACATCTTAAATGAACTGAAATTTTGAGATCCGTTTTATTACCAAAAAATCTAAAAACTACTCAAGTTTTACCATAAACTTTTCAAGGGATCTACAAACTCTTCCAATCATTCGTATTAATCCAACTGAAAGAGTGGTCTGCGAGAGATGGATCTGTTCCTTCTTGGAGAATCTTTGGTTGGCCAATCCATTCTCACTTTTGCTGATAAAGAAGCTATTTTTCTCATGAAATGGCTGATACTCGGGCATCTATCTATCCTCTGGCGATCTAATAAGCTCAAAGCCAAGAACAAATCGTTATCAGTCTAAACGATAGTATGAATGCAGTCATCAAGAGTTCAAATTACTTTAGTTGGCTCGTTCAAAACGTATATAGGAGGAGGAGAAGAGGGTGGAGTTACGAAACGATCATCTTCGCACATCAAGGGTTCTCTGTGAAATGCCATAGAATATGAGAAAAAAAATTTAATTACCGTTTGATTAGATTTATTGGAGATGTTAATGATAGTTTCTCGAGTTGAAACTCCAATCCATTCAAGGAAGTATCCAGGAAAAATTCCGGAGCATCCTCAAACACATCTTCTTCTACATCATCATCAAACAGTCTTCCTTGATAATCTTCTTCATCTTTAATCAAACAATGAAAAATTGTTGAAAATAAGAAGCTCACCACTGTCAGATCCAAAAGAAAGTCTTCGATTTATGTTCTCTTTCGACTCTCCACTATTGTCTTTAGATCCACTTCTTCTTGATTTGAAGAAAGATTCAAGAACGTCCAGACTCTAGAAATGAAGGTGTTGTTTTGGAAATGAATAATTAACCTACCGAATCATCCTCGAGATTAAGTAGCCGATTATCGATGAAGAACCAGGATTCATTCCAGATAATGCCTTTCTCTTTGGCTAACTGCCTGCCCACTCTTTCGTATCCCTTGAAATTCAATATAAATTGTATGGAGAGCAATACTTTTACCTTCTCACTATCGGTTAGCTTGATTTCTTTAATTTCTTTTTTTGAAGTTGTCCATTCTTTATAAAACATATCAGCTTCAGGTTGCGATAAAAAAGGCCCTGCACATGCAGCTAATTGATATTTAGCTTTATCAGGAGATGAGCTAATAGTAGCACTGTAACAACATATCATGTCTGGAACGCATAGAAGCAACACTTACTTATTAACAATTATTGTGAGTTTCGGAAAATGATCAATGGAATCAACTCTAGTATTCGTCGCATCTAAGGAGTTTCTATATAAAGCGACAAACCAACCATTGAGAAGTAATGCAATTTCTTGCTTAAAAAACCAACTAAGAATAGCTGAAAGACGGAAAGCGAACCTTTTTGGTAGTCTTGTCTTCCCCATTATATCGGTCGCATATTACATCAGAGGCTAACTTATCTTCTCTGCAACATCATTAGTTCGAACAAGCTCAGGAATGATGAACAAACTTGTTTCTCAACGTCTTGTCCAACAGGGGTTGGGATAAGAGAACTTTAATAACTTCAGGATGACCAAACTTTGCCGCCATGTGAAGTGGAGTATCGCAACTACCCTAAAGCTCAAACAGTCTCAGAATATTGAGATGAGCGCACTGACCTTGTCCGGTGTATTCAAATAAGCATTCAGAATATTTTGCTTTCTGAACGCTACATCCTCTAATGAAGTTCCATAACACTTCAAATAGTAGTCCACACCTACAACAACTCATGGAAGGTGGTATGTACAAACATCACCTACTGTTCAAACGTTTGAATAACTCATCGATCGCTAAAACTTTCCCCGACTTGGCTGCTAAATGCAGAATATTGTAACGAAAGCCTTCCTGAACATATTGGAATCTTTAGAGATAAAGAGTATTTGATCTCACCATAATTATGGCTGCTGTATCTCCATCAGTGTTGATGATATAACGAGGATTAGAATCTATTTTATCGCTGAAATAATCATATATGTTTTCCAAATTTTACTCGGAGATCAAACCAGAACTGCTCGATTTCGTCTTTCTCTACATGTTTCTTAAGTGCTGTTTTCTGTGGAGCAGATAGTGATGGGAAGGCAATTTTTGGTTCTCCAACCGGCTTTTTATCATCCCTAGAATACAGTATTGGATACTAAACTGTTCAAATTCAACTTACGCAGTGCTTGTGACGAAAGGAGAAGGGCATGCATCTCCTGAAGCTAAAAAGCTCAGAGCTTCTTGTGTTGACGGAAACCTTTTGAAACGAGCCCCTGAATATTATGGTAATGAAGCATGGTAAAGAACAAATACCATTGCTTTTCGCTTCCGGCGATTTAGCAAATTTGGCGGCGTCCTTTAATTCCGTGAAGATATCCTTAGGGGAATTTGCGAAATTCTGATCCGCATAATACACAGCATAAACTGGACTTCCAAAATCATGCTCAGGAGTTCTGTCCATGCTAGAATGAATTGATGAAAACTATTTTCAGAAAAAAATTATGAAGCAATGCGTAAGAAATCTGGGTAAGAACTTTCCATACGTCCATATGAGAGAGAGAATATTGAGATAATGAATGCATATGTAATTACAATCAGAGGAAAAGTTTCAGATTGTGCCCGAATGATGAAATGATGTATTATTGTAACTACGAAATATTGAGCACGCTATCCTCATTTCACAATAAAAACAGTTTGGCAACCTCCCATCCTTCAACGGACGCTAAAGCTGGCGAGGACTATAACCTGAGCGACAGTACAAGTCGCGTCATTTAGCCTCGCGTTACCATACCCGCAAGTGCGCTGACGCCGAAATTCATTTTCATACGTGCGCGTTACTACGAACGGTTGCCATTTTTTGTTTAATTCTAAGTATGTTCAGTGCATCTTCCTATCAAAAACGTTTCCAGAGCATTTTTTCGCTCTGATAATTATATTATACGATAACCTCCTCATAATCACCAAAAAAGTTTGATTCCTACAAGGCAAAATCAAAATATTTTTTCATCACATTGATCACTTTTATAGCTTTCATCTTTCCAGTGGTTTATTACACTACAAATTAAGTTTTTTCTGTTGCCGGGCGACAGTAAAAAAAATGTAGACGCAGAATCGCGTCACATGTATCGACTTTTTCATATTTTCGCGCCTTGGCATAAGAGCGTCGCGTGCATTGACCAATGGGCTAATCATACTTCTAATTAGCATTTAGTCTTATTCGGCCGCTGCAACTCTTTCTATTCTGCTCTTTGTCATGTTTCATGTTTTCTTACTCAAATATGTATTTTGAGTTTAATTATTAAACATTAGTATGACTTAGAAGGGTTACAAAGTCAGACGCAGTTTGAACGACAGTACAAGTAATTTATCCTCGGGTTACCATGCTCAAGTGCACTGACGATGAAAATCATTTTCATACGTGCGGGTTACTAGGAAAGGTTGCACAATTCTTGTTTTAGTCAAAGTATGTTAATTGCATCTTCCTATCAAAAACGTTTGCAAAGCATTTTTTCGCTTTGATGATCATATTATACGATCCCCTCCTCATAATCGTCAAAAAAAACGTTCGACTCTCACGAGGCAAATTCACAATACTTTACTTCTATAGATTTCATGGTTCATCACACTGCAAATACAGTTTTTCCTGTTGCCGGGCAACAGTTCATAAAATATTGCGCGTCTCATGTATCAGCCTTTTATATTTTCGCGCCTTGCCAAAGGGGCGTCGCGTCCGATGACCATTGGCGAAATTATATTTCTCATTAGCATTTGGTCTTATTCAGCCGCTGCAGGTTGTTCTCTTCTGCTCCTTATATTTCATGTTTTCTTACTCAAATAGTTATTTTAAGTGGTTTAATTATTAGACACAAGTATGGCCGATAAGGATTACAAAGTCAGACGCATTTTGTCAGAAGAAAAAGGAGGTGCTAGCGTATGTTATAACTGAGAAGTTTTGATTGAAAAAATGTTGTTTTCAGGGACTTCGAGGTAGCTCTGTCCAATATCTGATTGACTGGGAACCTAGTCTTGTGGATGCCAGAGATGTGAGCAGTAAGTTTTAACCTACAATAACCCGTAGGAGCTCCTTCTTTTTTCCTTCCGCTTTTCAGACGACGCAAGAGAATGTTTCAAATTTTCAGTTGTGGTACAAGGCCCATGTGATCTTGAAGAAAATGAAGAAGTCAGCAGTGAGATCTTGGAACAAGACTGGATTGTGCTAAAGTAAGATCCATTTTATTGACGGTTTTAATGAAAATGGTGGTTTAGGGTGGAAAAGGCTAATCCTAAGAATGTAACTGCTTTGCGACTCGATTACCAACGTCTTCGAGCAGAGTACCCTCAAGAACTCATTCAATACTTCGAAAGTCATGCTTGTGTTTAAACACACGATAATTAACCTCTCACCTATCGTTTAATATCATTATTCAGCGCTGCTCTCTTAGACTGCCATAAATAAGCCCCGCCTATAAAACTATGCGCACTCGCGGATACTTTGCGTATTCAGTTATATACCGTTCCATTATGATCTTTCTAATTATCTACAGTTTTATGTATAGGCGATTTAAGTAGACAATATTTTGTATAATTCAAAGAAATATGTCCCGGCCCTTATTTCGCTTCCTGTACTCAAATTCGCCAACCCTATCTTAAGCTTACTCCTAGGACTCCCGTTCGGGTCTCTACAAACACTCATTTTCATTGCAGATCAAAACCCTCCGATAGTATTAGTACGAGCATGATTTTCGAGATCGACGAATTTCATCTTGTTATTAACAGACAAATGCGTGATGACATTGAGTAACATAGGAGAGAATTGATTCAGTATTGTAACTGCTTTCTTCACTTTCCCAACGTTACTTTTTCTTGCTCAGAACAGATTTGTCGATTTCAACCGTTATACCCACATCTCATGTTTTCATGGGGTTTTGATCAAGAGCCCAACAACAAAAATTCCTTCACTTATTACCCTATTGAGAGATCGTTTGTCTATTGATCTCAAACTCATTGTGTTACTTCCCTAGCTTCCACGACATTACCAAAAATTCTCAGAATCACCTCACGTTTCAAAAAAGGGTTTTTTTCGAACAGAAAAAAAGGAAAGAAAAAGAAAAAACCAAAACCTAACGGTTTCATAAAACGGGGGGAAACCCTTGGAAACTAGGTTTAGAGGAGAATGCTTGGATTGGTATGAATTACACTTTCTGACCCAAAAATTAATGGACTACGGTATACTTCCTTTTGCAGAAGTGCGCACAGTTTTGTAGGCGGGCTTATTTGTGGCTTTCAAATATGGCAGAGCCCATTATTCTTCCTGTATTGTGCGATATAATCTTCAACTGCTAATCATTGTAATAATTATGTAATTATTTGATAAATTTTGTCGTTGCCCAATAATATGATTCTCATTTACTCTCGTTTGTTCTAGTGTAGGTTGATACCACTTCAAATACTTTCAAACAAGTAATGTTTCTCTGATTTTGCTCATTAAAAGTTTCAGTTGCTCTCAGCATTTATGAGCAGCTCGACAAAATTAGGAACTGTAGCTGATTGTTCAAAGTTAGTAAACAAAAGCTATTCTGATCTTCTCAATCTATTAAATTCGTAAGTTGAAACATCATCTACCGTCCTTATCCCTGTTAAGATTTGATAAAGGAGCAACGTCAGAACTGACACAAAGGCTTCGACAAGTTGAAACTGGTTAGTTCTTCAGTTCCTATCGTCTGAAATGAATATTGTTCAAGTTATACAAGACTTGAGAGAGTCTGTTAAACAAATCCCTGACATCGGGTCTGAAGAGCAGAAGCAACGTGACAAAATCAAGGATTTGTATCGGTGAGGAATGAGGTTGACCAAAAAAGTGATTTCTTCCGTTCAGGCAGATCAAACTCAAAGACGAGTTAATAGAATCTTTTGGTAGCTACGATGTCGTTGGTGGAACAAGTGAGTTTTTTGTGAACTGAACAGTCAAGAAGTATTTTTTTAGACAGCGGAAAAGAAAAATGAAAAACCTATTCAGTGCAAGCACTGTCAGAGCGTAATTCTACTAGCCAATGTTGGAGTTTGGGTTGATAAGACATATGATATTCCTTTTCCAACACAACAGAAAGGTGTTGATACTAGAAAGGTGAGTGTTCTTCATAATTGTCTGAAGTTTACTGAGATTTTAGGAAACTTTGAACGGATTTTGGCACGTAAGGGATATGTATGATTTTGAAAACGTAGGATTTACAAACGCTGTTGATGGTTGCAAGTATTTAACTTGTGCCGACTGTGATTTTGGCCCAATAGGCATTGTTGATCCTGGCTCCCGCCAGAATCTGCTGACTCCTGAACGTATCCAGTATAAGGATTAATTGAATTCCGGTTACTTTTTTTGTGATTTTAACATTTTGCCAATAAACATTTTGATCAAATGTGTAACTTTCGTAGGATCTTTTTTTCCGTAACTTATCTCATTCTTTTTTTGATTTTCCTATTGAGAATTGCTTTTCTAGGTTCTGATGGCTACCGAGAAGAAAGAAGTTCAGGTATTCTATGTTGTTGAGACTCATTGTTAATTCGCTGTTTTCAGGCTCTTGGTTCGACTGTCGAAGAACCTCTTGATCTGATCCGGCTCAGTTTAGATGAGAAAGTTTTCGTCAAAATGAGAAACGACAGAGAAGTATGTTTATTCTTTTATTATTGTAAGTTCTGGTTTTCTTCAGATTAAGGGAAAACTTCACGCTTTTGACCAACATTTGAACATGATTCTCTCCGAGGTTTGTAATTTAGATACAAATCTAGTAGATTCGCTCTGCGAATGTGTGCCGCCATAGCTCAGTTGGTTAGAGCGTGGGTCTAATAAGCCCAAGGTCGCAGGTTCGACCCCTGCTGGCGGCAAAACGTTTTGCCAATGCTCATGCTTGTTCTTTTCAGGTTGAAGAAACTGTCACCACTACAGAGATCGATGAAGAATCGTTTGAAACTATTTATCATCAGACCAAGCGAAATATCCCTATGTTGTTCGTCAGAGGAGATGCTGTGATATTGGTTTCACCACCAGTTAGAGCCAGTTAATTTGTAAGCTCTCTTAAACAATTGTCATCTTTTATTGAATTTTGGTTTATGATTACGTTAATGAATCTTTCACCTAACAAATGTTATGCATACGTGAATTGTAGATTATAATAATTAAGGAATGGTTAAAAAAAATCTTTGAGCTCCAAAGATCTCAATGTAGTACAAGTATGTTTCTCTGTGTATGAATAGATAATTGGATTAAAGCTACTATATGAAAAGGGGTTGGGAAAACCTATTGGATGGCTACCGTAATACCAGAATCGGGGCAAGGTATGAAGGCGGAGTCAGCGATGGTGTGCGACGGAGGGTAGCCAATCGGTTGACTAAGCATGGATCTGTGGCGCGGTTACGGATATGCTACTTACCCGAATGGTCAGAATCTCCAGCTTCACCTTTAAGCTTGCTCACCTATCACTATTTTAGGACTCCAAAACCCTTTGCCTAGTACTATTGGGCAATGCCTTCCTTCAACTTTTCACATGGAATCAGGTCACACAGGTGTCAACCAGCTAGGTGGCGTTTTTGTAAATGGACGACCACTACCAGACCACATCAGGTAAAGCTTATTCTATTTCTAATATAATTGATCGAAACAAAACTTTCAGAGGTCGAATAGTTGATATGTCTCAACAAGGAATCAGACCCTGCGATATTTCGAGACAACTTCGGTATGTGAAATTCTTAAACTTTTTCATTCACCTCTTAACTCACACTCACTCAAGCCGCATATGTCCCTTATGCTTTTCAGAGTCAGCCATGGATGTGTTTCAAAAATATTGGGAAGATACTACGAAACAGGATCAGTGAGACCAGGTGGGTAAAAATGTTTCTGCCGAGCTTCAAACATTTAAAAAAAAAAAACCTTAAAGATAACAATTGTTTTGCGAAAATAGACACGTCGACTGGTGTAAGACAATTCTGAGTGAACGAGAGGGTTTTGAACTTTAATTTTCAAGCTTCACTTAACTTAATGAGTTAGTATGGTGTGTTCTCGTCGTTTACTCTTTCTAACACAGCTCTCTTCGATTTATTATTTTACTCTGTGCAATAATAGTTTTGTTTCACTTTTCTTTTCTTATTTTCCTGACTCGCTACACTCCAGTAAAAAAAATAAATTCCGCACTTGGGCCGTATTGTTGGCGCTACAAACGTTGCCATCATCTTCTGAACCTTCAGCTTTTGCTTTTCCTTTCCAAATTTTGGATAAAACTGAAAGTTTTTGATTCTTCGGTTACATACAATAATCAGAGCATACCAAATGCGATTGTCAATCCGGAAATGGCTATTTGTTCTTCCATTGTCAAACGAGAAATCGAAGGCCATCGTCATGCTACTAGTCTGACTGTCTACCATACGTGGGGGTTACGGTAATTGGAATCAAATAAAAAAGACGATTTTATTCGAAATATATTGTTTATAATGCTTAGCATATTTTGAACATTGTAGGAGTGATAGGAGGATCGAAGCCTAAAGTTGCGACTCCCAGAGTGGTAGGATGCATTGCGGCTTACAAACGTGCTAATCCTACAATGTTCGCATGGGAGATCAGAGAAAAACTATTAGATGTAAGTTGACAGCCTTTTTTTAGTTTTAAATCTTCTCATTCTTCAGGAGAGAGTATGCGACGCCGACAATGTCCCATCTGTATCTTCAATAAATAGAATTGTTAGGAATAAGGTATATTTTTTGTTAATCTCATCATATACAGTCATGTAATAGGTTTTGCAGAGTAGTTTATCTGTGTCGCCTAGTGCTTTAACAGTTTCATCCGCTTCTTCTGGACCTTCTCCGTCTCAATCGACTACTACTCAAGTTCATACTCAAAATTTACAACCTATTAGAGCCCAACAACCTTCTCAGTCTCAACAACAAGCTAACTCACAACAATACAATACAAGTATGTTTTTGAGCTATCCGAAAGTGTCTAAGTATGTTTAAAAGCAAGCTATGCAAATTAGATTCACGTGGACGAGTCGTGAATCTTACTCAAACATGTTTATTTCCCTAACTCTGCCGATGTACAGAAGTTGCATTATGACGCGTAGTGAAAGCATTCCGAGTGCGAGAATAGAATCAAAACATACGTATTGAAATTCTATATAAATTTACTGTAACTTTAAAAAACTAGTTTGTCGATGTTAAACCTCTGACCTAGCACAAAAATAAAATTCATCGCACGTTTTCTTTCACTTATGTCAGTTCAATGATATGTACTTTATATTCCAGGCTCCTATAACATCAACGACCTCTTAGGATTCGAACAAAAACATCAACAACAGAGTCAACAGCTTGTTGTCAATTCTACAGGTCCATCAATGGAAGCATCTGATTCGTTGGAAAAAGATTGGTCTGTAGCCAAGCTGGAAGCGTTATACTCATCTGAGGAATGGATGAGAGCCCCATTGGGGGCACTGCCCCAGCCACTGTACTCCACTCATATTAATCATATTTGAATATATTTTTGTAAAAAGTTCTGAATATACCTCTCTTGCCCTAGACTATATGCTCTTACTCATCATATTTATTGAACTTACGGCTAGAAGTCATTCGTTCTGTTTTGCTCTTTCCAGATTTTCTCACGACTAACTATAGTTTTGTTTCTGAAAACAAATAAACCTTATCAAATTTGTGTGTGAACTTAACCTTCGAGAAGAAAAAACCTATGGCAAAGCTCGAGTCTAATTGTTAAATGACGCGAAACAACAGGTCATTACGACCAGCACAAACATACAGAAGGTCATTTTTTTGATATTCAAACAAAACATTCCAAGACTTAATATGCCTTAGCTGATCTTGCTTGACTACTAGTCAACGATTCAGTTTCAAAAGTTTTGTCAGTTGAGAACATGGCTAGGTCACTAAAACTACAACAACTCATCAGTGACTTGATGACAACCGGCAATTATGATGAAATAGCTGTCGGCTGTCAATGGAGAGTCTATTCAGAGCTCATCTGTTTTTCTATTCATTCATCTATCATTAATTATTGCTTGACAATCCTAGGTTTGTGTACGACCTTAGCCTTTTATCGCACGGCCATCATTTGTAATTGAAATTAAAATTGAATGAGTACTGGTGGTCTTTCACTTCAATATTGTCGGAAATATGTAATATACAGAAAAGTTGTCTTTGAAGGTATCAAATAATTATTTTACAAGCTTATACAGCTTGTGAAGACTGATTTTCCCAAGGCAACAACTTTCTGGCTGTAAATAGGATTGGCCTCAATGATCACTATTGAATGCCTATATAGATGACAATGTGATTCAGCCTTTTGAAGATATTATAGAAGGTCGGTTGATCGGAAGTAAGAGAATGTGTGACCTGTTGAGGGTTATAGAGCATGGCGGCGGCAACTTTCTGGAAAGTCTTTGAGACAGTTCTTTCATAGGATTTGAATATCAATCTGAGCCAGCATTACTTTATTTCCGGATGTTTTATGAACCAAATAGTTAAGAATCTGACTAATCCAATTTGTTGTAAGTAATCCCCTAGGAGCTCAATCCACTTTAGGTAATGACAAGACTCACACAAACCAATTTATGACCACCTCCTGAGCAAAAACAGGGCCAGATGTGTTAAGACACAGATGGAACAAGAAATTCGGGAGTACGTTGGAATAAATTTAATTAACAACTCAAAACATTAACAACAAGTACTTTCAACAAAAAAAAATCAAAGATTGTCACTAGCTACTCCAATTTCTGAAGATAAATCGAAATCAACAGATAAACCAGCGATAGGAGGCTGGAGAAGTTTCAGTTGGATACGTGGCCTTTGCACATTTTTCTCATCCAATGACACTTTAACAACGACTTTATCTAAAACCATAGAAATTAGAAAAGAATTTACTGTAAAAGTTATTACCGAGTTCGTGAACAACTTTATTGCCAGCTCGTACGCATGAGTTGTCCAAATCTATGACAGTACCAAATCCTTCTTGGAGCACAATTATAGACTCTAATCCGTATTTGGGCACGAACACCTTGAATATACAAGTTGAGCCAAACAATCAAATTATAAAACTACCTGAATTCCATTTGAACGAATACCCATAACAAAACCTTCTGCTTCTTCCTCTCTTCCTTTGAAGAATGTCAAGACATTAAGTTGGACAGAAGCTCTACCCGCATATTGTGCTTGTTTATGTCTACATGTCCCCTTTTTATTATAAAAGTTATTAAACAACTTACCTATAATTGATATTGGCAGAAACATTCTTGACTGTGCTTTGCTGCAGTAAGCCTGCTGCAATATCATCTGCTCCTATTGCAGCAGCTAATAGCCTATGAACAATCACATCGGCGTATCTTAACAAAAAAATATCAAAAAGTGGTGCAAAGATATTGAACCTTCTAATTGGAGAGGTGAAGTGAGTATATATAGGACAAGCCAATCCGAAATGAAGATACTGAGGAACAGGGATCGTACCTGAAAACGATGATTGGAGAAAAAATATTGGAAAACATACCAGCGCTGAAATACACTGCTTGTGTCATACATCTGGTAGTGAGCATTCTCAAGAGCCTATTGAGCATAGGATTTTTGCTATCAACAGCTCTGTTCAACGAGTCTGCCAAAGCTTTTCCACTGTCAGTTTTGATGTCGAATCCACGGTTTGCTGCAGCCTGAAGGTAATGATAAAAGTAAAAGAACCTGACTGATCACTTACTTCAATAACAGTTTTATAACTGTCTTTAGTTGGAACAGGATGTCGACGCAACAAAGCACAATCAGGATATTCGGCTAATATTTTCTCCGCAACAGAAATGTTAGCTAACAGCATGAACTCTTCCACCATGCTATTCGTATCGAGAGCCTCTTTCTCAAGAACAGCTTTTGGTGTTCTTGTTTCCCAATCCATGTCAAATCGAATCTAAAAATGGCTGAATCTGATCATAGTTTGATAGGGATTACTTCAGATGATGCCAGCGTTAAAGCTCCATTGGCCGTTCGCTTGTTTTTCAACACTTTAGAGAGCTTCATCAGTCCTCTTAAACTCAAAGTAACATCGTCATCCTTAATTGAGTTTATTATTTATTATTTTACTTAAACCAATACCTTGCTGGAATCATCTATACGTTCTTGAGCCTCTTTGTATGTCAAGGCAGCTTTGGAGCGAATCAAAGATTTATGATACTTAGCAGAAACGATTTCAGCTTCTGATGTCATAGTCCAAATTACAGAAAATGCATATCTATCAATTTTACTGGTTTTTGTTGAACTGAACAACCAACACTACCGTTCAACTCCACCTCTGAGAGAGCAAAGGTTTCCACTCAATAGCTCGGGCAGCATATCTATTCTTCTATCGCATAGGTACACGGTTGTACCGCGATTGGCAGCTTCCTGATCAATAGCTGTGCCAGGTCTGACAAAGTTGGTAACATCAGCAATATGAACTCCGACCTGGTTATATTAATAGGTTATATATGCAAAAGTTCGAAGAAAACCTCGAACAGCCCATTGTCCAGAGCACGACAATGTAAGGCATCGTCAATATCCGTACATCCTGGTGGATCAACCTTTAAAAACAAGAATAATAAACTTGACGGAATAATCATGATGAATTAGCGGAATGAACCGATCCATAAAGAACAATCTTAGAAAACGGGAACGGTTGTGAGTTCAACGCAAAGTTGAGGAGTATATTCGAAAAACGTACCGAGCAAACTGTTAGATCCCTCAAATCAACCCTAGGAGCTTTGATGTTTGGAATCCATTCACCCTGTGGGAGACATGCGAGAACTTCCTCAGAGAAGGGAGCGTGAGGAATATCATGCTCCAACAATAAAACCTGAAACATCAAGGTAAGACTTATAGCAGTTTATTGCTAACCTCATTTTCAGTTTCTCTGTCTCCAAGATTACCTACAGTTCTGACGTAATGGCCAAGTGGGTACTTGCTATCTCTTGGCCACTGATCAACTTGAACAACGATTCTTTGGTGTGCCAAAATATCAGCCTATAACTCTAAAGATAAAAAAAAGAAGAAGAAAAGTTGAAGAATACCTGTTCGGTTTCAATTCTTATGCGGGGTAGAAGACGATCGGTAGGACAGAACAAATGTTTTCTTCGTCCTTTAATGATACTTGGAAGGAGTATACCGCAATATGGTCTCCAATTTCTTTTAACAATACCAACAACCTGAAGAACAAGGATAGTTATGAAGACCAAAGAAGGAATTATACCTTCGCCGTAGGAATGACATTCTTCTTAACCTTTTTAGCAGAAGGTTCATCACAATCACTAGCAGCGTCATCGTCTACATCATCAGCATTCATATTAATTTCTTCGACATCACGTAGTACGATTTTCTGAAAAGCAGAAGTTCGAAAAAATCTACAAACCAAAATATCAGACTTTAGCAGGAGCAGACCACTGATCTTCCGGTAAAAGCCTGACGGCCACAGTATCACCATTCATAGCTCTGTTACAGTTCATACCCTGTAAGAAGACTGAGGTTTCTTTAAACTCAATTAGATCGCTTACCTGAACAAACCAACTAGTCATCGTGGAGGGATCAACCAAGACATTGGCTTCCTTGTAATTTTCACGAGAAACCTGAAGTTTTAGCTTATGTGTCCAAATATAACTGAGGCTGCATACCGTGAAGTTTCCTTTCTTAATAGTTCCATTAGCGAAACCAGAAACTATTTCATCATGTGATAAATGCTCCTCGAATATGTCAACACCGGAGGATATATTTTTCTCGTACGCCATCATTTTATTGAGAAGTTCTTTCTTTCCTTCATCCACGAGACCTACAGAAACAATGATAACCAAGATATATAAGCCCTGAGTTACCTTCTACATAATGCTTAATAGTCATGGCATTAACTCCTTCAACTCCGACTCTGCTGACCACGGCATCATCCGCACATAAGACAATCGGAACACATTTGCTTCCCCAATGTTCCGATAGAAAACTTGCAGACTTGTTTAACATTTTTTCAAGTCTGAATAATTGTTATAATCCCTATTCAATTAACTTACCTTTGTTCTTCTGAGACTCCAGAAACATTAGGCACATAAGTTTTATGATGAAATTCACTCATGAATACGAAGAATCGTTCATTTACTTCTTCGTAACACAAAGCATTCATCTTCTTGAAAGCAACTATTGACTTGTTTCGTACGAACTCCCATACTCCTTGAGTTATTATAACATTTCTGAAACCTCTTATAATCAGGTGTACAATTGCAGGACTCACTTTAGCAGCTCAGAATCGAACAAATCAAAGAAGCGGATGAAAGTCTGACAATCGACAATAATAGCATGTTCAAACGGACAGTTTGAATTGATGGCCGACGTGCCTTCTTTTCCAATAGTATTTTTACCTAACAAAGCACATTGATCACATTTACAGTGCCCGCAGGAGATATCATTTCTCAAATATCTTTCGTGAGCCCTCTACAGTAAAAAGATGAGTGTGAAACATAAAACTCAACACAAACCCGGAAAACACGTCCAGCTTTTGTTTTGAAGTAAGAAGAAACTAATATTCTTTCTTCTATTCCACTTTGTTTAACATTCAACTCCATGTTTGAAGTTAAATGAAACTGGAATATTAAAATTAGAGTTAAAATTAAGTACGAATATACGGTTCACGAGAAAATGCACACTTTCACGAAAAATTCAAAAACTGGAAGATTGAACTAATTCAGCTTTACCATAAGTTGAGTCTCCGCAAAGTTAGCATCTCACTTAATACCAATTTCATTCTTGTGTTTAGAACAACGATCATGTTTGTGTTACCGAGGGTTGCTTCTCGTCAGTTCATTAGGATAGGACAGAGAATGAACTCTGTTTCAGCATCTATACCTCAAGCAAATGATCGACAGAGTTTAGATATCACAAAGAGTAAAGTAATTCTACATTTTTTCTCCGTTTTGTGATAGAACTAAAGAAACCATGAAAGTTTAGAACGCTATCTTTGGAAAGCCCCAAGCTACAGTACCAACTTTTGAGCTGATTCGCCTGATCGGAAACACAGTTTATGAGCTACTCTATCGACTGAGTTTCGAAAAGCAGTATAGTCGAGAAGGATTGCTCAATGGGGCTAATCAGGTTTTATCTTGTCATTCAGAATTTACCGGAGGCTTTGATTATATAGGGAGCTGTTCTCTTGGCTAAGTCTTTCGTTTCACAAAATTGGAACAGCATTGGCAATTTGACCACTGAGGACCTCCTGGCGAGAATGAAAACAGAGAGAGAGAGGTAGAACTCTGTTGTGAAGGCAATATTCAATTTGTTATTTCAATTTGCAGATTTACAGATGACGAAGCTCAGAAATTCACTTATACCTCTGATGATATAGTTCATAGTTTTCTTCATTCGACTCTTATCACCGGAAAGAAAGTTTTTAAAAGTAATTCATGACATTACCCAGCCCTATCACTACCCACTGTTTCAGTTAGCGAGCAAGGGAACATAGGCATTTATTTCACTGTCGTATCGTACATCCGAAAAAACTCGAGCGTTCCGGAAAGCATTGATCTAGCGGAAGCAGTGGGGAAATATAAGAAAGACATAACTGCTGTGAACATCACGTTTGTTTTTCTCCGGAAGTATGTTTACAAGTCGTTTATTTGTAGGTTCGCTAGGACCTTGAATCCTTTAGGAGTCTGGAAAGCTGTAGCGTTCAATATGTTCGAACTGCCTTAACCTCAATTCCTCTGAGAGGATGTTTTGTGCCTTAACAGAAGCTAATATTAAAATATATGTACTATCTGAATGCAAACAGGTGATAGAGTTTTGAATACGCTTTGCTAACGTTCTCGAATTTGAATTAACATGAACGGAAGTCATACCCTTATCTTTCTAGAAAGTTTTTCTGTTGTCATCTCATTTTAATAAAAGCTTTCCTATGACATCTACTAAGGAAATTTCAATAAACTTCTACGAATAAGCTGGTAAAGTCTCTGATTTTATGCGTTTTAGTCTTGCCGCGATTAGTATATTTTAATAATGTCTGGCGTCTCTCCACTCTAAGCATTCTCTTGGAGGGTCGATAGAAAAGCTCGAGTGAAGTTATATTACTACAAGCTCTAGCGCCTGCATCTTACGCTTTTTGCTCTTATAAGGAGCTTCTCTTAATTGTTTTTAGTAGTTTTGAAAGTTGTCATGATTGTTTTGAACTTTAATGTCTTCTTCTTCTTCTTTCCGTCCTTGTCGTCATGTTTGAACGCGACGTTACCGTGTTTATTTTGACTTCTTTTTTCTGTGATAAATATTTTCAATTTTTTTCTGAACGGTGTTTATGGAATCATAATTAACTTCTTGTACTCGTCTTCATATATTCATGTCTTCCTTGTAGCGTTCTCGATGGACGGGGATGATGGGTTTGATTACTTATTCAAGATCGTCCTCATTGGAGATATGGGAGTAGGAAAAACGTTTGTTGAAAAATCTCAGAATGCCTTTTCTTTGATACTAATCAATATTCAGATGTGTTGTTCAACGTTTTCGAAATGGAACTTTCGTAGATCGGCAAGGCACAACTATCGGTGTAGATTTCACAATGAAAACGTTGATCGTTGGTTCGTTTTATTGAAAATATTCATGAAACATTTATGAACTCAAGATGGGAAGCGTGTGAAACTTCAAATTTGGGATACTGGAGGACAAGAGCGGTTCCGAACCATCACCCAATCCTATTATCGCTCCGCGAATGGCATTGTCCTATGTTATGACATTACTTGTAGGCAATCATTCAATAGCTTACAAAGGTATTCACCGCTTTGAGTTATTTTACTTAATGTCTTTTCAGATGGATTGATGACGTGTCCAAGTTTGCCGCTCCGAACGTCGCAAAGCTACTCATTGGTTAGTTAAGAGCATTTCATCGAGTTAACGAGCTATTTTAAGCAACTAAGTGCGATTTGGAAGAACAGAGAGTAATAACAGCTGAAGAAGCCGAACACTTACAAAGGGCAAATGGTTTTTTTCATAGTTTTACCGTTTTTATACAGATTTTCTGTTAGGTATGTTCTCCACTATTGAAACAAGTGCGAAAGGTAACTTGAACGTGGAAAATGCCTTTCTCGAGCTAGCCACCATCTTAAAACGACAATATGATCAAGGCGGTGCACAAGAAGCCAGGTAAGCATTCATAATTTTCTTTTCATTCAATCTATCTTTGCTTTCTCAGTATGGATACTTTCCGTCTCGGTGCTGGCGGATCTACCCCAGTTGGCAATCAATGGCAGCAGTGCTGTCGTTGGTGATATGTACATTTAACTTCTCTCTGTTTACAAATCAGGGATAATGCAATTTTACTTCCATAGAAGCATGTAGAAAACGTATTAATGCAGAATTCAAAATCCAGAAAACATTTTGTCAGAACTTTCCTATTTATAATGTTGTTCGGTTTGGGAAGCTTTTAACTCATTAAAAAAGAGATTTAAGCCGATCTGGGTATTGAAATCGTTCTTGGCTTTCATTCATTTCATTATAGAACTGTATACTAACAATTATAACTCATCACAACCAGAGATTCTATGCGGTCGTATCTCTTTGCCATGCTCTTATACTTTAAACTTTGAAAACTTGAATGTTATATAGTTTATGTGAATTATCTGTATTTCTTTCCCATCGCTCGAAAATAAACATCTTTGCCACTTGAAATGAACGGGAAATATTTCAATTAAATTCTAATTGAAATTAGAGAAGGTCGGAAGATTCAAGTTCGAAGCCATTAGAAGCCCAATGTAACTACGTGCTCTTTCGTGAACCAAGCGCGCTCGCAAAGTGCCGCGTCGCGTGTTCATGTAAATGAGCCAGAAGATCGAAACCTAAAGAGTAGTATTTCTGTGTCTTACAGTTTTTTCCCAATTGAGATTATCTAGTGTGCTATTTTAAGAATGACGGATTTGCTTCTTGATCCTGCCATCAGAAAATGGGTATTTGTGCCAATAGTCATCATTACTTTTTTAATTGGTATCGTAAAGCATTATATAACCTTATTGTTGATGAATAAAAAGAAGGTATGTTCATCGAAAAACTAATAGAAAATCATTCTTTCTCATTTTCTTAGGTAGAAATAGAAAATGTTGCTGACGCTCAATATCTTCTACACTCCAGACTATTGAGAGAGAATGGAAGATTCCTTCCCAAATCTTCTTTCAATTCTCGAAGAGCTTTCCTAGCTGCTGAAGATGAAGGTGGGTCTACTAAAAACAATTTTTATTAATGGTATACAACCGGTTTGCGTCAAACTCAACTTCACAATTATTCTCTCGCATATACATGTAACTCAGACGTCTCCACGTGAAAACGTCAATTAACTCATGGTCGATTATACAAATCATAAATACACATCTCTATTGTAAATGTACTATTTGAACTTTTCAGGATATTTATCAAAGGCTATGCAAAGACCAAGTAAAGGCGCCAATGCCATGGACCCCACTCATATGACAGAAATGCTGAAAGGTAACATGATGCATATGGTAAGACCTGTTACTGATTCAATATACAAGCGCGAGATGCTCTTAGGTTACTGTTATGGTAGTTGGAGGATGGATTAACTGGACATTCTCTGGATTCGCCACAACAAGGGTACCATTCCCTTTGACATTGAAGTTCAAAGCTATGATGCAACGTGGTGTAGATTTGGTATCATTAGACTCTGCCTGGGTAAGTCAGTATTACATATAAAATTTGAGTAAGTTCTATTGCAGGTTTCCTCGGCCTCTTGGTACTTCCTCTGCATGTTCGGCTTAAGATCTATTTACACATTAGTGCTCGGAGAAGAAAATGCTGCAGACCAAAGTAAAGCCATGGAAGATCAGATGAGCGGTAATATAAGGTTCTCGAACATAATTAGTTCAAATTTTCATTTTCAGGAGCAGCCATAAACCCTCAGCAAGATCCTAAAGCTCTCTTCAAAGCTGAGTGGGAAGCGTTGCAGATGTACCAACATCAATTTGCTCTCTAAACAATCTTCTAGTCGAAGATAACCAACTCATGATTTTCTCGAGCGGTTGTATAGACTTCTTAATTTAATGAATTATTTATAATGAAACATTGTTAAGTAAAATCAAGAAGAAGCTGTCCAATAATGCGCTGCAAATCTTCTTCACGAACTGTAGAAGCTCCTCGATCTAAAGCTGATTGCGCAGTCCTTTCCAGAGTTTCCTAATTTTTTTTTGTTTCATCAGAATTCGAAGTGAAGCTTACTTTCATAAGTATATTAGTCATCTGGGTAAGAAGAGCTAGAGCAGATGGAGACAAGTTCGTCTTTCTAAAAGAATGAATCAGTTCCAAACACATACTTACACCTTCACCTTTTACCCCGACATCCGATGTTAACCATTGCACGAACAGACGGTTCTTTAATATTGTGAGTCGACATGCTGAATTAGAATGTCATTGTTCATTCAAAAACAAAACAAATAATAAGGGAAAACAACCAAGTCAGAAATTAACAACAATCATAACAATTTTTCATAACTAGCTATAGACGAAAGTACATAATCCATATGAGCTCTTATTTTACTAGCTGTTTCCTGAATTCTTTCAGCTCTCTGACCTAATATCTGAAAAGAGCATACGTAGTGTTACAAAAAACGACTAGGTACCTCAATCTTCTTTTCTATAAAACCTACAGCTCGATCCAGAGGCAATTCCGCAAACATGTCCCCTGTCATTTTCACGATAACTTTGCTACAATCCTCTCTGGAAATTTACGATAAACTGTTTGTAACTGTATGACACAAACATTTCAGCGTTGGCAAACACATGATGTCCCAAGTTCATCCTTGTCATCAAGCTCTGTGCTTCGGATTCCTTAAAATCAGATGAGCAGAAAGCAAAGAGGAACTCACAATGATTTTTGTTACAGAAACTAGCAAAATTTCATATTCATGTTTTTCTTGAATCATTTCTTCTTCCTGTTTCACTGTTTTCAAATAATCCGGACGGAGTACTTCATACAAAAACTTTTTATACTTCTCGATGTCATCATTCTGCGCCATTCTGAAAGTTGGTTGATAATTCATTCGGTGCTAAACTAAGATATACGATAGTGATAACTAGGAAGTACTGTACACAGAAAATAATGAATATTTATACAAAGTCAGTCATATTAATTTTATGTAAAAATCTGCATAATATACGTCCGTGCGAGATCTGAGATGTGGACCAGAGATTTGGAATTAATTTACGGTATCAAGACAACCCTATTCAATCGTAAAATCTACTCTTTGTAATGTTGATATCACCATTGAGAAGGAACTCAAGACTTCATCGATGACATGTCTACTCTGAAAAAATCTCAATAAGAAAAAAAAGTGAACAATTCTGAATTACTTCACTCAAACGGAACGTTATATCTTCTAGATGATGCATCCCTTTCATGTATGGAGCCATACGGAGGAATAACTTCAACCGTCTTTCGACTTTACTGTAGCTTTCGCTATCCAACATTTGACAACACAAATCAGCAACAATAGGTTTCACTTCATCCATCAAATCTCCTTTCAAAATCATATCCTAAATATGGCTGTTGAAAATTAAAAGCTAGTTAGTCCATTACATGTAAGTCTCCCGGTAAATCTTCACCCGGCTTCAACGTATCTGCGTTCGAGTACGGTGGGAGGATGTAGCACACCTTATGCAATTGCACGATGAGCTGATGCCGAAGAAGAAATGCTATTTGAGCAACATAAGTCGAATATTCAATCCGCTGAAAACCGAAGATTCAAAAGGTAAGGAGACACCATTAACTCACAGTTTTTCTGATATAGTTTTCAAGTGTGGCGGGCGGGTTGAAGTATGATAACGCTGTTCCCATTGGCAGTTCGGATCCAAACTGTTTATTCCAAGCTTCAACTTGCCTGAGTTTCCACAGTTAGAGCTACCAGGTTATTGTCATAGTGCTTTTACCTTTCTATGGGCCGTGGTCTTGTTGCTGAGCTATAATCGTTTTTGCTACAGATAGGATATATAACAAGGGCGCGAGCCCATAACAATAAATGACGAACAATCAAAAAACACTGAAGTTTAGGAAGCAAGTAGGATAATCTCGATAACTCTGGCATACCTGATTCAAAGGAATACCACTCAAAACTGATATGTCTGATAACCCTATATTCGGGGTGGAATGTTTCATGAACAGTGCAACTGATGGGTTGCCATCTGGTGTAGGCCATGTATCGTCAAGTAACAGAATACCATGATACGGCCTGATCATTTGAATCAGTTTATCAATTTCTGCTCGACTTTTGGGAGTTAATTGTGCCTGGGCTAATGCTCTCGACTCTACACAATAGCCAACTTCTATAAAGTCATCAACAAAAACCTCAAAAAAGATTGCAATAGATGAGTTCTTGAAAGAAACATGACTAACTCTAACTATCCCTGTACTACAAACATCATCGAACACTCTGGCTAGTAGAGCTGCCAGGGAGCATTCACTTCTAACCTTGAAAAAAAATCAAGTATGAACATCGCGCAAAGACGAATACCTTTTCCCACGGGTTTTGTAAACTAATCAACTCATCAGGCGAGAGAGTTTCCAAATTGTCTAATATTAATCGCATCTCTTTCTCCTGAAAAGAAAGTCAGGACTTGAGATAATATCTTTTCGATAAACCTGAACACCAAAATAGCCTTTCAATGTTTGTAAAGAGTCGATAGCTAAAGCCAATTTATGACTCAAAATCTACAAAACAGAATATGAACTCCCGTTTTTCAAGAAAGTGACGTACCTGGAAGTTTAGAACAACATGATCTTCAACATACGAAGGCATAACAAAAACTATTGAAAACATTTCAGAACAATAATCACTCAGAGTAGAGACCTGTAATACCTTGGTTCACTGAGATCAACTGTAACTTATGACCGTTTTGGGATAACCAGCAAAGCGGTAGTTATCAACTTTCAGTTCGAACCTCTGATCGTACGATTCCGATTTAACACATAAAATACTCGCAAGCATACTCGATGTCAACCTGGAATAGTACGTTTATTAGCCAAGATATAAGCTTCTAGCTAACCCGAATTGAGTTGGGAATAAATCGGCAAAGTTCGACGAATTCAACCTAAAGAACTGTATACGAGATTTAACTGTTAGACTAACGATTTATTCATTTGGAACGCATCAGCCTCTTTCCTACTCAGTGGTGAAGTGTTATTCGGAGCAGGCTCATTATCTACATTTGTAGAATATCTCAAGATAACAGAGTTACACAATTACCTTGTGTAGGGACCCTTCGATATGGATACATGTACAGTAATTTTTCACCCGGAGTTCCTTTGGTTACCAGCAGTATACCCAGAAGAACTTCTTGATCTTCCTCTTCCCACATCTTTCTTAACGCAGCTATTAGTCAATCATTTTCAAAACAGTTATGCTCGTCAAATATTCTAAGTTCGAAGTGAACTAAGCAGTATTGTTGTATTTTACAGGTGAAACCCTTTATAAGATAAAACATCAAGCATATATACAGATAAGATAGATAATTGCATGAGACCATTGATAGTTTAAAGTTTAAAGCATGAGTTAATCCAATTCTTCATCGGTAGAGCATTCAGAATCACTAACAACTCTTCCCTTATCAAGACTTATTCGTTTCCTGAAAATAGGAAATAAGTGGTAACCACGGAAATTTCAAGTGAAGTTCACGTGATCTGAAATTCATTTTGAAATCGTACGCAATATATACCGGTTGTATTCTAATATCGCGGACTTTCGTTAAATTTCTATTTTCAGAGACAACTCACGTCTTCAAGAAACGTTTAAGCATTGCAGAGTTGTAGTCTAAGCCCAGTATCGAATTCAACTGAACGAAGTTTCCAACCAGTTCACCATTTTGATAAAATTGAAGAGAAGGTATGGCCTTTTCAGTCTGTAACAGATATACAGTGTAAAACAGTATTTTACGACTTACAAAAGCTTTAGACATATCCAGAATTGTGCTTTTTACTCTCGCGAATTTTACTTGCGGATGATCGCAAGCGAGGATCTGTATATAGATAATTGATGCAAATCATTGATTCTATACAATCCAACCTTGCAAACATGACTGATCTTGTTGCAGGATTCAACATCAGGCTCGTAAAGCAGAATACCCAGCAATTGGTCTCTGCACGAGTCAATTATGCTTGTGAATTGGCTCTGAATGGAATCAGTTACACGGTTTTGCTGATTTCCTACCTTCTCTGTAAGTTCAGCCATTCTCCCTTGTGCAGCTTTTTGCATCTCTCTTAATCGACGTGCGCGTAAATTTTCCAAATCATCTTCCTCAGAGTCTTCAGCAGCCTTCAAAAGATCATCTTCAACGAACTCTGATTCTTAACCAACCGCTTCTCTGTCTTCTCGTGTACCAGTCAGAATACCGCGCTTAGCCTGTCGAAGAAGCTCTTTAGTTTTGAAAGCTTTTTCTCTCTTTTGCTCCTCCAGGAAATCCTTGTAATCATTAAGTACACCTTTGGGACCCGTATTTCCAGAAGTTCCCATTTTACTCATTACTTTGGCCTATAGGCAAAAGGTTGCAAAATAACCAATGTAGTCAAACCTGATGTTCATCGTCATCTTTAGCAACAGTCCAAGGCTCGTCTTCGCCATCAGAGCTACTACAATAACCAGCATTCTTGCCGTCCAAGAGTTTAGATTCCAAATTCATCTGAGTGGAGTGAATAAGAAAACGGGGCAAAAGACGGGAACGGTAGCGAAAGATGAGAAAACATCCAACAGAGAGACAGCAGATAGAAAAAAAAAATTTATAAAATCTTCAATGTTTTTTAATATATTTCTCAAATTCTGTGATTTTTTCTCTGACTTTTCCTCTTTCTTTTCCTTTGCATTGCTCTTCTACATCCATTTCTTTCCACTTATTCCATGAAATGTAAGGTACACTCCTATCTTCTAACAATCGATTAATGCCAGACTCTTCAACGAGGAAATAAGTGGAAAATTAATAGGAGGTAACTTACTTCCAGAGTTCCCATCAATATCTTTCATGATTTCGTTAGCCACTGCTGAACTTTGCTGTTGAGTGTCAACAATAACTCCCCTTGGACCATGAGCACACCAACCCGCAGCATAAACCTTGGAATCATCCTTCGTGCGAACTCTACATTCATCTTTCATATCTATCATGCCCTAAATATATGATTTCATACTGATCAGTTTGAAAACAAACTTTTTCATTTTTAGGAACGCCATCCAGTACAACAGTTTCGAATCCAATACTGTACACAAGTAGGCCACAAGGCATTTCCTCTTTTTCATTAGTTAATGAGTTTTTGAAACTATAGAATCAAGAATGTTATTCCTAATTCTGGATTAACTCACACAACGGAAGTTATTCGATTATTGCTATCTGCGATTATTTCAATAGGGCTTCGATTAAATAAAAATTGGCACTGTTTTTCACCTTCTGGTTGACGCACACCATCAACCAATACCTTAATAATAATAATTAATACCCCACTATTATTCGAATCAATGTTGAACATGATACCTGTAACAATCGTTTCTTCCTCCTGTCGAATGATGCTATATCAATTTTCAGTTGTTCATGGGCGCTAGCGCTCATTTCGACTGAAGTATTCCAACCTTTCACTTTAAACTGTTCTCTGAGTTCTTTGACAGTAAATGATACCTTAATCAAGAGATAATTCAAAGGAATATGATTACAAATTACATCTCTGGGTCCCCTCCTTCCTATTATTTTAATGTTCCGCAAAGCAGAATCTTCAAGTTTCTGTATATACTCTGAGGGCACATCGGTACTTCTTAAAGTGCTGTTGGGTCCAGCTCCTGGAACATGTTCGAAAACTGATTAAAAGAACTATAATTTCTGGCTACCAGCTGATAAAATTCTAGCACAATCCAGTGCAACATTTCCATTACCGACTATAATAGCATGAGGATTGTCTAATAGTGGGCCTGCAGCATGGGGCACTCCACTGTACCACGAAACGAAATCTGAGCCAGAAAATACATTTGTTGAATATTCTCCTGCAACTCAATATATTCGAAAGAGTTAATAAACCCATTTCAAACCTGGAATTTTGAGATTCCGAGGTTTGTGCGCGCCATAAGCTAGTAAAACACCATCATAATTCCTGGTCAATTCTTCGAAAGAAACGTCATTTCCTATCCTAATGCGAAGAGTTAGTGGAAAGGCATAGTTCGATTACCTAACGTTACAGAACAAGGATATTCTTTCGCTATTGTTTTCGAACATTTTGTCAAAACCATGAATACAGTTCTTAACCTGAAACTGGAAAATGATATTATATCTCCGGAGTATCCAACTTCTTGATGATCTGGTGCAACACCATAACGAACTAATCCAAAAGGCACGGGAGACGCATCGAACACGTCAAGTTTACAAGAAGACCTCCTCAGTATAGAAGCACATGTGAATAAGCCTTGAGAAAAACAAAAAATTAGCAGTTTATCTAATTTTCGGACATACAAACCAGCAGGTCCACTGCCAACAACTGCTATTCTTGGAACATTGGAAGAGAAACAACAAACTCTGGATAAATTAAAAGACGAAGATAACAAGAGATTTCCTATTCTATACATTCTGAAACGTCAGAAATGAACTTTTGAACAAGATTACAGATTTGGTTATATATGGCTATAGTTGAGTGACTATATTTGAGAGCAAGACAAGACACCAACGAATGTTTATGAAAACCCAAAACTCAACAACGTCAAGAGCAAAAATAATCATGAAGACGCGGCTATATGTGATACAACGATTTTGATAAGCGACAGAGGACGGCTCCTCTCGCCTGCATCGTGTTCATCACTTAATGGGAATAAATCGTCTGTTACCTAATGAAGGGATAGATATGACGATCGATAGAAACAAAAACAAACCTGTACTGTCCCAGTTGTGATGGAATATGTTAATGTTCCATTAAATAATTTAACAACATTCATAAGAAGAACCAACGCACGATTTAAAGAAGCTCCTAACCCATAAAGAATCACCTGTAAGCCGGATGAGGATTGTATTCAATATATCGCTAGTTTTACCTCATTTTCCCCATTCAACAACAAATCCTGAACTCTTTTAGATTGAGCGGCTATATTAGTACTTCTGAATGGCAGATTATGCAACTTCTGTCATCATGCAACTAACTTTTTAACAAAAACTTCATTTGGTCGCGTATGTCCAACCTTATGGGGTTGACGTCTCTTGACTTCGAATTGTTCTGTATCTACTCTTCCAGAACTCATGACTTATAACTAGAAGAATAGAACTACAAATGCCATACAGAAACAACTAGCGGCTATCCAAGGACTCAAACGCTCGCCGATTCGAGCAAATTTCCAAAATATTCCGAGAAGTCTGAAATTTAAGACCTTCAATGTACTTCTGCCACCAGCCACAAACCCCTCTTTGTTACGGTCAATTAGCGATGGAGCAAAGGCACGTAAATAGGCACACGTGCAAATAAGCAGAAGGAGAACGCTTATTAAACTTTGAAAATTGAATATGGCAGACTATAAAACCAAACTTTTGCATGATATTTTGATTGAACGAACCAGTTTGATTAGTGTATTCCCCTTCGAGAAGGAGAGTCCAAATTTCTGAAATTTTAAATGTTTCTAATGTTATTTGGAGTTAAATTGTTTTGGTTTTCATTTTGTACTTTTAGAAGTTTTAATATTTTAAAAAAATAATTTAATTAACATAAAAAATCTGTTGATAGCGTTCTGAACATCAGATTGATCAGTTGTAGTTACACGCTGTCCAACCTTGAAGGTGGGTCGAAATGAGTCTCACAACGGTCATGGTTACCGTACCCTCTATTGGCAGGATTTTCTAACAAATTTTTGCAAAATGCCTAAAATTTGTCTGGTGTAGAAGCAAGACTCGATTGAGTTATTATATCATTTCAGTTTACTTTTCTCTTGTTTTCAATAGTTCTTTGACATTCTTTGATATTAGCTATTTATTTCTAGTTTTATAGGTAAAATGCGTTACGTTTCCGCTTACTTGCTCGCCGTTCTCGGAGGAAATGCCGCTCCAAAGGTAAATTATTTTCATTATTCCGAGTGCCTGCTTTTTCTTGCATCTTTTGGTTGAAATGAAAGCTATTTTCTACCATTGGTTTCAAATAAAGTACTTATTTTAGTTATAGGTTGATGACCTTAAGAGCATTATCTCTTCCGTCGGAATCGAATATGACGATGCCGCCGCCAAGCTTGTTGTGTCCAGACTCCAAGGAAAGAGCGTTGAAGAATTGATCGCTGAGGGAGCTAAGGGACTCGTCTCTGTAAGTTTTCCTTAAATTTCAAATTTTTTGATTAGCTCGGAAAAAAAGCACTGATTTTCAACCTGTTTGTTGCTGTCAGCCGTCGAACCGAGCAAAAGCGTACATAAATCGCTTTTGGGTGAGGTGACGAACTTAAAAGTTCATTGTCTCAATAGCGTTTAGACATTCAAAACATGAACAAACACGTATTTATCGTAATTAACTGTTTGTTGTTTCAGGTTAGTGGAGGAGCCGCCCCAGCCGCCGCCGCCGCTGCTCCAGCCGGAGGTGCTGCTGCTGCTGCCCCAGCTGAGGACAAGAAGAAGAAGGATGAGCCAAAGGAGGAGTCCGATGATGATATGGGATTCGGTCTTTTCGACTAATTTGTTATATGAATAATTGTTTCATCATTGTTGAATTCATACATTTTATGAGCAATCTGTGCCTGAATCTTAAACAGGGGGAAAAATGTTTTATGAAGTACTCGTGTGTTCTCTTAAAAACAAAGGTTTGTATGTTCAGTAGATTCCAAGTGGTTATCAGTCCTTTAAAACTATCGGTTTATCATTTGAGTGCAAGAAGGGGATGGGGGTTCTACATTTTGCACTGACCCGTAACCGGTCTCGAAATTGGGTGGGCCATTGAGTGATTTGGTTATTGAAGATGAACCGGTTAGCAGGAAGACTATCATCGTTGCAAGCTATTCGGTTTAGCTCATCTGCTCCACCACAGTTTCACTTGGAGAGATTGACTGGTAAAGATGCTGGTAAACATAAATGGGATGAATAATTGCAGTTCAATGTTCTATTATAGGTATTGTTGTATTTCATATGAACAGACCTGAAACCAAGAATGCGATCAGCAAAATATTCCTTCAACAGGTACATTTTAAAATGAGACGAATATTTAATATCTATTCAGTTACGGGAAAGTATAAGCACTGTTCGTTTTTGTAAAGACACGAGAGTTGTAATATTAAAGAGTGATGTACCAGGCGCTTTCTGTACAGGTAGAAAGTTCACTCTGAAAGATTTGAATACATATTATAACAGGAGCCGATTTAAAGGAAAGGAAGACTATGCCTACCGAGGAGGTGCCCGTCTTCGTGGACAAGCTTCGATCCTCGTTTTATGAGGTTATTGAATAACGTCATAACAGATTGAGGTTCGATTCAGCTTGAAACTTTGCCACAGCCCGTGATTGCTGCAATCGATGGATTTGCTCTTGGCGGTGGGCTAGAAATGGCTCTTTCTTGTGATATACGCGTAGCTTGTGAGTTACCATACGGCAGAACAGTCTTTATTAATCTTTCCAGCCAAGAATGCTAAAGTCGGACTGACTGAGACGAAACTCGCCATAATTCCTGGGGCAGGTAATGGCATTCGGGAAGTATTTCTCATATATGTGATATTCAGGTGGAACTCAAAGATTAGCTCGCGTTGTTGGTCGTTCAGTCGCTAAGGAACTCATTTTTACCGCCAGAATGATTGGAGGCGAAGAAGCAGCGCGAATCGCACTCGTTAATCATGTTGTAGAGGATCCATTCAACAAAGCTTTGGAAATTGCACGAGAAATCATTCCACGGGTGTGTTTTGGCAACTTGTATGTTATTCATTTTCATTGAAGGGACCTGTCGCTGTACGATTGGCCAAAACAGCTATTGATTTGGGCTCCCAAATGGATTTATCAAGTGGTCTCCTTGTAGAACAACAAGCATACGCTCAGGCACGTGTTCTTGGACTGAATTTGCTGAATGTTGTAATTTTAGATTGTACCAACCAAAGATCGTATTGAAGGATTGAAGGCTTTCGCTGAAAAAAGATCACCTGTATACAAAGGAGAATAGATTCCATCTTTCCTATAGTTTAGAACTCAATAAATATTGTATTCAACTCATTCTGATTTGAACAGTTCAAGCTGATAGTTACTTATGAAATTGCTGGGTGATGTAGATTCGTTCATGAGTGTTTTTAGTATGCGGTTCTCCGTCAAGCAGTTAGCCGTAAAATGGGATGTGTTTTCTTCTGTTGTATTAACTCGTTATCCAGTCATTGCTCCTCCAATGACGCCGATTGAACATAGGTTTTGTCACCTCTATTGCCCGCTCAAATGATCCGTTCTAGATACCTCACTTCTCAGTTAGATATAGAAAGAGAACGAAGTTTACTGAGCGATTTTGAGTTGAAAACAAAGAAAGACGAAGCGTAAGTCCTCCTTAATATGGATCAAGCCTGAAAGCTTGATAAATGGTAACCGGTTCTACGCAGTTTCCGAATCAAAGCGAACACCTTCTTGAGCTTTTGGGTGGACGTCATTGAGAATAAACTACAAATAATTTCTATTCGTCTTTGTTTTGACTAGCATTTTTTAAGGCTTCTGGAACAAAGAGCAGCTTTAGAGAGAGAAGGAAAAGAGCTTTCAGAGCTTGATGGAGAAATCGGAATAACAAATTCAATGAAAATTGACGATTGGAATAAGAAATCCAGCGCATTTGAAAAACAGTATGTGAACATTGAAAAGTCTGATAATATAATAATAATATCAGATTTCATTTGCATAATCCCAAGCATTATGAAGTGAATGATGAAAAAAGCCTTCGGCGATGTCTGGATGAGAAGCTGGTGCTTATAGTCAAACAGAAATTTGGAGATTCCTCATACGCTAGTCCATGGGTCCTTCCCCAAACGAAACATAGAGAAGGAGAAAGTCTTCGTCAGGTATAACACGAAAACAAAATGTTTCAAAATGTGTATTTCATTAAGACTGCAGAAAGGTGCCTTGGGGATATTTCCAACGGGAACTTTCAGGCTTCTATTGAGAGCAATGCTCCCTTCTCCGTTCACAGCTACAAGTACTTTCTAATTTTGATAGTTTATAACTTTGATCGTTAAAGGTATCCCAAGCCTTTGGCTAAAAAGCTTAATGCTGATGGCGCCAAGTTGTTCTTCTATGCAGCCGCCTTACATCCTAAGAGCCCTTTCGACATAAATAAAAACGAAGTTTTAATATTTTATCGTTGTTAAAAAATTGTTTTTCTCCAAGGTTTCCGATCTCAAATGGGCTAACGCTGATGAATTCTGGTCGATCGTTCCCGGCAGGAAATACAAAGAAGCAGTGCAAACTGCCTTCCTTAAGTGATGAATAGAGCTTTTATATGATCGTTATATTTCATAAAATGGATATCAATACAAAACAAAGATTGTTCGTTGTTGAAATCGAGTTCTTACAGAATTCCGCAATTTCGTTAAGGAATGAAGAATGTGTAAGATAACTTAGCAAATAACTCGATGTTCATACATCCCCAGGTTTCAAATTAACCACTCCTGATCAAACAACAGATTTCTAATCTGTTAACGTGAGAGCTAAAGTCCGAAAGTATGATGTCAAGTTAACAGATGAACGAGTGTTTTGGTCAGCAGGTTAGTAGTGTTATGATCGATGAAGACGCAAAACTTGTTGTCGGAGAACTCTAAGCAGCGTTTTTTCCAGTTATCCACCTCAGACTAATACGGCAGCATTCAGCCAAAGTACTGATAATCACACGTCATCCTTATGTCTTCTCAATGCTATCAAATTTTAATTGATGCACAAGTTTTGAGAAGGCGACTGTACTTTTATTTGTGTTGTACGAGATTGTATCTAAGACGGTAAATGAGAACTAGCTAAGTATCTCGTAATGTTACAACCAGATTGCCAGGTCAAAACAGCCCATATACGTACCAATACATATGCCTTTCAGGCTCATTTTGCAAGTGTCTTCTCCAATTTCATCCCTATTTCACTGGTAATTCATACAACTACAAACTATTCCTACTGATTTTTTAGTTCTCCTACGCATGTACAACCTTTAGAGCCATCCCACACAATTAGTAATGAAATCTATTTCCTCTTCAAACATCGAAATAGTAGAGGTGACGCGGAGATTAATGAAATTCCACTCAAGGAGTTCTAATCCGAACGGTGTGATAAGCTATGTCTTATCTTTCTCTTCACGGCTATCAAAAACTTGATCTCACCATTTGAATTTGTTTAATTTCTTGAAATAGCTTTTCTGTTGTGCCATTCTTCGATTTGATTTGACTATTTTCAAGGAATTCGTGGTTTTCCATGAAACTTTCAACTGGTTGTCCTATCTCGTTTCTCGAAAATTTTCGTAGCTTTTCTCTATACTTTCTTTGAAGCTGGTTTCATGTATATTTCAGGTCAGTTATGTCCACTTTTTTTCTCAGCGTACCTGATTCTGAATCGACTCATCAACGAGAAAGAAGGTGAAGCGTTCGTGGGGTGTTTCCGCCAAAACAATTTCCCTTTTTAGGAAGAGCGATGGCTGCATCGTGCAGGCATTTGTGTCTAATGGCCTACGCTCGAAAGAGAAGTTCAAGCGTAGTCGTGATAATCGAGACCCTAGCGCAGACAAAAGGTGTGCTTGAAACTTTTTTTTAATAACGACTAATACGTTTTTCAGTACCGAAAGGGACGGAAAGCATAAACGCTTTCGACTCTTTCCAAGCCAGTTGGATAGCAATCTTATAGAGTGTCTAAGAAGAAATTACGAGTTAGGTAGGCCGTTTGATGGTTTTTCACCTTACTTGACCATATAAGAACAAAGGGTTATTCGTCCAAAATGAGCGGAAACTTCTCGAAAAACCGTTAAACTTGGCAGTATCTGCTGTTGATATGATAGAAAACAATGAGAAGTTAGTGTGAAAGGCATTTACACGAAACATGTAATTTGTAGAACAGCTATCTTCGAATTTTTTCAATTTATAATTTGGTTGTTGGGCTTTCATTTCTATTGTGCTGTATCAGTAGAACGCATCTACCTACTTCTTGTCCTCATTTATCTCTCTTTTCTCCTTACTCTTTCATTGTCTTCCTTTTCACTTTCCTCTTCGAAAGATGGCCGAATGATAGAAGTGAGTTCCCGTTTCAGCTGCTTATGAGTAGCAATTTATAGATTCTATGAAACTGAAAACTAAGATAACTTTTCCTCTTTTTATTCTTCCCTGTTTGTTTTGTACCTCCCCAGATCAGACCTCCTCGGCTGTTTCAGTTGAATCGTTGAGAATGAACCGACAGATATGAAAAGATAAAATCTGTTGTGTCATCACGAATTCCTTGAACTGTTGTGTCAAAAGCTAAAACGACCAGAAAATAGATGCCAAAGCGAGAGAGTTACGAAGCTTCTTGAGAAACAAAGGTTGTTAAGTGAAAGCGAGACCTTCTGTCAGTTTTATAAAAATGCCAATTTCAATTCGATTGCCTTCCCCTCCTCTTCATTTACATTTCTTTCGATCATTCTTCATTTCATCCCACAGTTCTTAGGTTTATTCAGCTCCAAACAACAATTAACTTTTTATTTTTTTTGATTTGAGCGTGGTCCATTAGTGAGAGAGGTAGGCAGTATCTCTACACCTCACATCAGAGTTAGAGTTAGAAACAAAGAAAATACAACAATTGGTTTCTCATGTGACTTTCAATTGTTACTTTTTCGATTTGTCCTATGCTTACGCACTTACAGAGTTACAAGTTTGTATTTTCAAGTAGTCATTTTCTTGTCCAAACCGAAACTGTAGAGTGTGAATAGTTCTTAGATGTTGTCCTTGCTTACCTCCTTGGGTTCAAGCCTTGTCTGCAGAAGGCAGTTGTCGGACGATGACCTTGTTGGTCCAATCTAGAGGTTCTTTCACAACAAAAATACCGTGAAACGCACTTCAGTTTTTCATATATTTCTTTCGATGAATGCCATAATGAAGAAGTGGACGAAACGGTAGACAGTTTAATTTGATGCTCTTGTACTCCAATTAAGGTTTTTTTCGAATTTCCTGTTTGTTCGCGCTCGTTTCTTACATTTGGGTTTCACAATATACTCTTCTATCGTCCTCTTCCGCCTCTTTTGCTTCTATCTATCTTTAGAATCAAAAAAATAATAATGAAGAAGTGAAAGATGATCAAAATGATTGTAACATTTGAGAATAACTTCTACATTGAGCGACAATCTCATCCCCGGCAATTGTAATGGATTCGAAATGAAAACATTCAGTTTCTTTCTCAATTTCTTCAATCTATCATAATCATTTCCTCTCATTTCATTTTCATTTATCTTTTCATTGCAAGCAGCTTTCCTGTTTGTTTGGTCTTCTTGTTGATTATGAAGATGACAATCATTTTCTCTTCCGTTTTTTGGGTGTGGTATGAGCAGTCCTTTTACTGCTGCTCTTCTTCAATTAGTCTTTTTATAAATGAGACCAATGTTCTATTACTATGTCCTATAAGACCCCGTTTTCCTCTCTATTGCTTTGATATGTTTTCAGCTTAGAACCTGAACAGCCTAAGCTTCTCATTCTATCTTCGACACGCTTAATCACCAACGTCATGACTGTCTCAATCAATTAAGGTTTATTCTAGTTAATACATGCGTTCTATTCTGGTAACCCCTTCTATCTGATGCTTTGCTTTGGTCAAGTTATCATTTTTCTTTCTCTTTCATATTCTATAATGATATCTTACATGCAGTCAGTACATGCCTTCACAATATTCATTCACTTGCGCCTCTCTCTTAGCTTTCCATGATTGCATATTAATAACTCACATTTGTGGTTTCATGCCATACGTTCATCGATGCTAGTGACCTTCTTTTGAAAATCCATCTGTTTGGAAGATGCTGCTTCTTATGCCGATTTCCTGCAGCTTTAAATGGACCGGTTCATTGAATGCCTTATCTATTTCTCAAGCTTTTAGCACTTCTATCTCACACTCTATCCCATGATCAGCGTAGATTGCGTAACCGCAGAATCATAGAATCTTAAAAATGAAAAAAAACGTGGGTTTTCCACCTGCCGTTTCCACTGTGAATATATATGCAGATCACGCGCGCTTCACGTTTCACGTCAAAAATTGCGCGCGTTCAGGCGCAATTACAGTTACTTTCGAAATAAGCAGACTCGCGAACGGTTGTGTATAATCGTTTATCCACTTTCTTTTCTATTCTCCTTAGATTAACGTTCAGTTTTTCCCTTTCTTTGCCAGTACACAAGCGTTGTTTAGCCACTATGCTGACAATTCGGATGGCCTACCGTTTGGAACTATCCGTTAATCCGTCTTTAAAAGGAAATGTGTCCTTCACAGCCATTTGATCATCATCATCATTTCCTATTCGTATCTGCTTATACTTACAACGAACAATCAATTTCATTTCGTAACTGTTCCTCTACATCAAAAATATGTGCTATGCACATATATCAGTTTCTCCAACACTCCAATTCATATCTTGTTTATCAGATCTCTCTTTGTTTTGCCTGTTACAAAAATATTGCTCGACATTTTTTCATAACAGAAACACAGCTTTTTTTTAATTTATAACAATTTTTCATTGACTATTAACATGTCTTGTTGCAGTTACTGCTCTAGCCGATATCGAGAGTCCTGAGGACCGACCTGCTACCCCTAAAAAGTAAGTTTGTTATTAACCTTTGCTCTCACATAATATCCTATAATCTCTTCAATGTTTGACTTTTTGATAGGATCTCTATCTCAAAGTTCAACTACCCCCTTTTTGAGCCCCAAAATACCCGCCAAATTCGGAAACAAATCTGGCGGCTATGTATATTATATACAAAAAAGATTTTGGTTTAGTGATTAATGGAATTATCATTCTGCTACGACCTTTCGCATTAGTATTCTTACAGTTTTTTATGCTAACTATGTGATATTTCGTTCGTAGAAGTCATGTGCGCTAATTAGATGTAGCATGGTGTTCCGAAATCCGCTTGAGGTAAAATTGATGCTATCGGATGTACCGTGTCGGTATGAGACCTGTTCACACAGGCAGATGGTACGATTTACCTGGAATCTCGTTGTCTTGACCTCGTATTTTAATGCCCTTTTGTTTGATATTATACATAGATTTTTTGAAGAATGTTCTTTATTCCTGAATTTCAGAATGAAGGGTCCAATCCCTCGAATTGAGACGGATGACTCTCCACGTCCTCTCATTATCCGTCAGCACAACCCATGTAAGTACAATGAGTATGAGAGCTCTTCTATCTCTTCCGCAGAGTCAGCCGGTATGTTTTGTGATGATTCTTGTTTTTCAACTGGTGGTATTTCTCTTAATTGTACTTTTCAGGTGGATCGGAAGACATGCCATGCTCCCGTTGGGTCTGGCTGAAGCGAGAGATTCGCTTCTTTCTTCTAGACGTTGTCGAAGCATTAGAAACCCCTGGAGAAACCATACCTTCCAACAACGTTGAAAATTCAAAGCTCTCTGCTATTGCCTTAAAAAGAGACTTGAAACGATGCTGTATGTTTTTTAACTTTTGATTATTACCATTCTTGATCTTTACAGATTCAGCTCTGCATCCTTTCATAGAAGTAGCAGCTGCCCTCTACGATTTGCTCTTGTGGAAAAGTCCAATTTCAACACTTCTCCTCACTTTGGTATGTATACTGTTGACACTGCTCATCCATCAATCAAATTTTGAAGGTTTATTTCTTTTCTATAATTCGTGGCTGGACTGCATCTCTAGTACTTCTCTTATTACTCTTTCAATTATCGCTCAATTATCTACATTCCGTTAAGTAAGTCGCTTCTTCATCGAGAAGACAGTAATTTTCATTTCAACAGGAACATCGATATAGGACTTTCATTTTTGCCTAAAAAAGAAGTTCCATTGCCTCGTTTTGATATTTCTGGTGCACAGCTTATTTTCGATATAGCTAAGGTTGCCCAGCAACTTCTACGATTCAGTGCCGATTTTCTCGAGAAATTACACAAGTAAGAATTCTTCTGATAATCCCTAGACAATTGACATCTTTACAGCTTGTTGACTTGGAAAGAAGAACGGGTAACATGGAAATTCTATTACCTAGTCATCTACTGGCTAGTCTTATCGATGGTCTTTAATACGGGAACTTGTCTAGGGATGTGTGGTATGTAAACGGAATTATTCTTTTGATCAGAAGCTGTTTTCCTATAGGTCTTGCTCTTGGAATCAGAATCTTTGTCACGACCTACTTGTTCGATCGTTTCCCAAGACTTCGTTTCCGATTAGATACTTTCGGCTGGTTCTATAGAAATTTGCCTATCAAAAATCCGCAGTCCCCTGTTAACGGTCCAAAAACAGATGAGGAGAGATGTGTACGTCATTTTCAAACTCAGTGCATGAAAACGTATTCGAAATATTTTCAGATAACACCTGGAGGTGCTTCTAGTCGTCGTTCTACCATATGTGGAGAAATGTTTACATCAAGACTTGGCTCCAATTTCAATTTGGATAAAGGCGGCCTAATTGGCACCCCTACTGTCTCCACAGACACAGTGAGTGTTTTTCGAGCATGAATCTTTGAATAAAAGAATTTAGAAGGAAAAAAGAAAACAATATCACTTCAGGAAACAAATATTCGGCTGGCTGAGTGCGGCTCATTCTCACAAAATTCTTTGTCAGATGGAAGAGATGAGAAGGATGACAGCAGCACGGAGGAAGATCCCATGATCGATAACGTTGTTGCATGTAATTTTGCTTTTGATTCAATTATGATCATGTTTCCGTGCATTTTCAGTCCGCAGTTGCGTAATGAACGAGAAAGACAAACTCTTCCCGAAAGGAATCAGTACTGGCATTCTCTACTTGACCGATGCGTATGTTGCAAATGAAAGTTTGCAGTCCACTGATTCTCTACCTTTTAGAGCATTGATCTTCCGATCTAGAGCAACAAATGATGAACGACCAATTATGTTTTTGTTCCATGATATTGTTTCTGTTAAGAAGGTTGTTTTCTCTCTACGCCGCCTCTGTTAATGCTCCATTTGCAGATCCAGTCCTTGAACTCAATGTCATTGATAGCAGGAACTCGGAAAGGAATAGAAATTTTGGTAGCTGGTCGCCGGAAACCTCTGCAATTCATCGGAATGGCTCAGAGAGATCCTTTCGTTTCTCATATGGGAGAGATGTGTTTCAAATGCCAAGCTAATACTCACTTCATCGTTGACTAAACTCCTCCACATATATATATATCCATAGATTTATCTTCATTTTATGCATGTCAAGCAAGAAGTTTGTACATAAGAGCCGCCTTGCGGGTTTTACTTTCCTTATTTTCCATTTCTAGTCCGTGGTAGAATCTAAACACCAAATTAAGTGCCTTAAATGCTTTACAAAGCTGTATATATGATGTCTTACGAGTTCTTTTCCTCCTTAATATGTGTATGTACATGAGCATTGTATTGACTACAATACCAGAAATTATTTTTCTCATATTTTCGACTAAGTGATGTGCTATCTTGCTCACGAAATTCATTAATTTTCATAAAGATTTTAAATAATCCTCTTTTTTGTGCATGTGGTCTTTGGATTTCCAGTCATTCGAGAAGTGATCTCCGTCTCAACAGTGCACAGATAGTTGTGAAGACGTGAAAGTTGTTCACAATTCTAAAATTTCCGTTCATCAATCCTCACAGAGGACCGCTACGAAAAAACACTTAAGTAAGTCGCGATGGAAAACTGGCTGTTGACAGGGTAATATGGTGAAATGCTTATCAAGTTTGATAAAATTGGAAAACACCTTGGAACCTGTTAACAAGTAGTTGCAATCGCCAAAGCTACGCAATTATGAAGTTAATATCTTAGACTACGTTATACGCATGAACTTTAGCAATATAAGTACACATAAATGAATCACATTGGTCTTCAATATTTTGCTATCAATTTAGGGAACACAACAATTTTTTTTTCTTAATGTGTTTTCACTTAGAGAAGAATGCAACCACCCTGTGCGCTAGTCAAGAATGATCAAAGACGTTTTCTACCGGAAAGAACATAAGACAACATCTGAGAGAGGGGATTCCGATGTTTTTCTCGTTTTGGGAATGTTTTGCCACAAATCAGATCGTTTAATCGGAGGAGTTTTTAATTTTGAAGAAATTTTTAAGTAATCAGGCTAAATTACTCAAAATCAACACAGAGACATGACAAGATTGATTCAGCCGACCAGATTCAAACAGATGCACACACACGCTAAATTACGTACTTCATTTTTTATTTTTTGATGCTTGAGTTTGCATTGCTAATTTTCATCTGCTGTATTAAACTGATTATTCATTTGTCAGCTTCTTCAGATAAATGGATAACATCTCTCATAATAGAAGAGTGGAGTATGAATGTGGCTGTAATGAATGGTGGCCGTTGAGTAATTTGTTTTTCTGTTGTCATTGCTCAAAAACGAGGTTTTTCCTAATGCAAGATCACAGACTGATATGAAACTTCAGATGTCATAGTTGTGCCTATGTAGAAATCGATCAAATGTTTTGCTCCAACTGCTTAGAAACTGTTCCTCCTGGAGAGGCTAGACTCAAGCGTAATCGTTGTCATAATTGTCATCAATGCCCCGTCTGTGGTGAGCTGGAACAACTCAATTTGTTCGAAACTGTTCTTCGTTATAGAAACAATTCTCTTTGTTCGAGCAGTTGGAGAAAATACATTTTTAACATGCGGAACATGTCGCTGGACAACAAAAGACAGTGATATTCCTTTTCAAACAACTAGCACCAATTGGCCAATGTATTCGAGTTTTTTTTTCAATCAGTAATAACTTCTGATTCAGGAGAGAAAATCCATTAGAAAAAGAGCTTAATTTAGTGGAAGACCAACTTCGAGGGTTTGCCCTGATAGAGAAATCCAAAAGAGATACCATGAAATTCAGCAAAAGGTGTTCTGACATCATATAAGCACTTACTTTGCTCTTTCAGGCGATCCAACACTGCTTCTTCGCTAACTTTAACAGATCGTTATAATCTACAATTCTCTTATCAAAAAAGAAAAAAGACTATGGAAAAGCCAACAGTGGAAGCTCCTATTCATGAAGCTTCTGAGGAGGTTTTCAATTTGTTAGTGTGATTAACAATGCTATAGGTTCCTGAACTGGATATCAACGAAGTTTGTTCCAACAAACGAGAAATTCTCCCATTGGAAACTTTAATAAGACAACCTTTGGATTATGAGCAGCCTCTGCGCCCTGTTCGTATGTTATTAACCCCTAGAAAAGCTATTAGGTAATGAATGCTTGCCAACAATTTCCATATTTCATCTTTAGGTGCAAGGAATGTGACCACAATGTCATTAAGCTGGACCACGGACCATGTGCTTTCAAATACAAAGTCCAAGTATATCTTTTATTGTTTTCCTTGCTTTGAAGTCTCTCTTTTTACAGTATTTCGCCAGAAATTACATCCCGGAAGTTAAGCTATCTAGAGAACCTGAGCTCTTGAGGGATCAGTCCACGATAGTATTTCTATCTATAGCCAATCAAAGCATGGATAAAATAGATGTTTGTTTCTTGTTTCAACTCACAGCTTATTTCGACTTCCAGGTTAAATTAGAACATCAGAGTGATTCCAAAGAGCAAGCGAAGTTCAAAATGGAGCCCATTGAGCTTTCTTTGCCGCCCGCAGATGAAGCAGCAGACTTGTGTGAAACACCCCTCCCTACAACTAGAATCGATACAAAGTTAGTTTTTTGGATCATTGGATCACTCATGTTCTGATTTCCAGTACTGATCCAGTAGTTTTCCGTCGTCGTCATCGTGTTGGGGTCCGATTAGAAGCGGATTGTTCGAATAGCACTGTTCTAGGGATTCGATTATCATATAGAAGCGAGCTCTTATCAATGCAAACGGAGAAAAGTCCTCCAGAATGGTTATTCTCAAACATTCGAGTTCATTTAACAAATTAATGTGAAATAGTTCATAATTTATTCTAGTAACAATCTAAATAAATGGTTTTACGCTCAGTTCTCTACAATCGCAATCTTCTTTCTGTCAACACCTGTGAGGTTAAGCTCCTTCCGTAACTTCTCACGTTGTTCCATCTCTTCCTTTCTGTTCATAACAACATTCGATTTCACGTAAATAAAAGCAGTAAATCCAAAAATGATGATTAAACCATAAGCGATCCAAGTATACCTATGGTTGTTATCAAGACCGTAATGCTTGACCATCTGAAAGCCATTCATTTTATAAGCTTTTCAAATTCAGTCTTACTTCCGATCGGTAAACCCAGTTCTGTCCTCCGCTTTCCTTTCGTTTCGCTGCTTTTTGTCGAATTTGTTCTTCAATAAGATCCAAGTTTCTTTAATAAAAACAAGTTAAGCGAATATATGTACGTAAATACTTACGTCAAGTCTCTTTGACCCTCGGTTCTGACAAGTCGAGGATTTGGCTGCTCTGAACTGAAAAGGCGCTCACATCTGAAGTTTCCACGGGGAAAAAGTGCGCAACTCCGGCGGAACAGTGTTGCCATCTTTAAGCTGAGCTTATAGCCAAGTAGAATTCTGAAGAGATGCTGAAGGTATAACTTCAAGTTACGCAGTGAGAAAGCACACGCTCAAAAAATAAGCGAACTACGTACTAACAGACTTCAAGATGAAGTCTTCATCAAGTTATTGCTCATTGCTTCTCTTTATAAGCTAAGATTCAAAGTTTTTTTTGACTAGGTTCGATGAATGATTGTTTATAGACTTTGGAATCTATATATGTCTTTTTATTCATTGACCGAACGAACTTTTATGAGATTTTTTCTTTTCAAAATGATGACTTCCGTTTTTTTGAAGACTTGAGGTGTCGAACAGTAGTTTTGTACAATGAAGGTAGCAGAGAAATAATAAGCCTGAGCAATCAAACATGGAATATCCTGATTCACTCCCAATTCATATGCTGAACCATGACACAATGTCTCAACTTTGCAACATTCTGGACGCTCATGATGTTTGGGAAGAATTGAGTAAGCTATCAAGTATCAGGTTGATCAAATCTGCAATTTCGTTTAGTATCACATATGCCAGAAATATCAATGATAGACGTGGATGGCTGTAAAAAGTTCAAAGCTGAAGGAAGTCCATCATGGTACTTGTTGAGAATATGGGGAAGCAAAGGCTATACAATAGCTGATTTGTATACTGTATTCGCGCTAGCGAAACTTTTGAGATGTATGAAAATCATTCGAAGCCATGGTGAGTAGTTTCTATTTTCATCTTTTTCTTCTCAGTCATTATCACTCACTGTTTACTATTTCTTACAGTTCCCAACAAATATCATCATATTGAAGACTCGCTTATCAGTAGTGGATCAATCTCCAAATCTCTTTTAGCTCCAAGCACCGATTATAAATCTGATTTTACACTGGTATTTTCTTGAAATGTTTGTTTTTGAGAAACGATGATGTTTTTTACAGCCAAAAATAAGTGAGGTAACCAATTCACTATCGAGTTTGAGTGGCTTGAAAGAGACTCAAAGTGAAATCAAGAACACATCAACTTCCGGATCTAGGTTTTACATACTTATAATCATTTGTATCGTCTTAATATTTAAGCTCCACCGAAGACTCTCTGTTAGTGGCTTTACAAAATACTTTATCTGTGACGTATGAAGAATTAGAGGTGGCGACTTTCTGTTTTCACTGTTTCCATTTTCTTGTTTCAGCTTGCAACAAATAAGTTTTCTCCCGAAAATATTTTGGGTAAAGGTGGATATGGAGTTGTTTATAAAGGAGAATGGAAACAAATGAATATAGCAGTTAAACGAATCAACGCCACCGTTGATAAGGGAGTCAGAGTTTGTGTTATAACTAGATTTATATTAGGAACACGGTGTTTTCAGTATGAGAAAGAGAGAGTCCGGCAAAGCCTCCAAGAACTGCGCACATTAGCTAAATATAGACACGAAAATATTTTGCCCTTATATGCTTTCTGTCTCGAAAGTGAAGAGCCTTGTCTAGTTTACATGTATATGGCGAACGGATCTCTGGAGGACAGATTGTTATGCAAGGTAACTCGATTGGTTTCAATGTCATGATCACTTCCATCATTTCAAGAGAGGGACCACAGCTCTAACCTGGCAACAGCGTTGGAATATTGCAGAAGGAACTGCCCGAGGGTTACTATATCTTCATACAACAGACAAAAATCCAATTATTCACGGAGATGTAAAGTCGGCTAATATACTGCTGGACAAACATTTGGAACCGAAAATTGGAGACTTCGGTTTGAGTAGAGATGGTCAGGTAGGTATGCAAAAACATGATGTTTATTGTCGTTTCTAGGTGGAAGTTGCGAGTGATGAGAAGTCACCGTTAATTGCTTCTCATATCAAAGGAACTTTAGCTTATTTGCCACCTGAGTTCATAACAAGTAAAATATTGTCAACGAAATTAGATGTTTATAGTTATGGGATAGTACTGCTTGAAATGGCAACAGGTTTTTCTACCACTGCTGAATCTCTGATCTATAGTTCTCTTAAGGTTTACGGGCATATGCAGAAAACAGAAAACCGTACATCTTACTGGATTACGTGTATGAAATTCAATCCAGTATAGTGCGAGGGAAGGGAAATCTGCGAGAGAAAATGAAAGACACCTTAATGGACAAGAAACAATTTTGTTTTTCAAACGATAGTTAGTTCTCAGGCATACTTCATTAACTAAATTCATTTTCTTTCCAGGCAAGGACACGTTCTCGTTTCATGAACTATTGAAACTGGGCATGTGGTGCTCTCAGAAAGAACGAAGTACAAGACCTAGTTTTCAAGAGGTCACCAGCATGCTACCAACCATTTTAGCGAAAGCGGATCGTAATTAATATAATCTTTAAAATGTATTGTTTCCTTTCCTTCTCGTCTTTCACTTGTACAGACAACCGTGAAAACTTATTTATGTGAATCTGGTTTTTAATTGAATGAAACTTTCTATTCATCTGGAAAAAATACAAACAATAGCGGTGAAACTACTGTTTCTAAGTAAATGAGGGGTCTCGGTATTAGAGTTTAGGCATACTAAGTTTTTTAATAAAGGAATGTGCAAGATTAAAAGATAGAAGAGAAACACAAGGAAAATTCGTTCCGAAAAAAAGAAGAGAACAACCGCTCTGACGATGGTAGAAACTAAAAATGGGTTTTGTTTGAGGATAGTTTTCAATTCTGTTACAGCACAGTTTGAACACACTTATGCGAATTTAGTGACGTGAGAAACTTTGATTAGCATGATGCCAGATGATACCGTCTTTTGAACAGAACTTATTCAAGGACGGAAACAATATATTTCAGAAAAATTAGTTTTTTCTCAATAAGTTCAGTAATATTGTACTAATTGTTTTTTAGTAGTCCCCTCGTCAGATTCTAAAAGAGCTTCAGAGGATAACAGGTCGATCGAAAAGGAAAAACACTGCCCTTTTCGCTATGTTTGATAATTGATAAACAGGTGAATTTGAAAGTTTAAGTTGTCCTTATAATAAAATATATGATGGGACGGATAAATAGTGATTATTATGCTAGTCATCTGGACCATGGAAAAGGATAAACTGAAAGTAATTTTTCCTGACGTGTTGACCTTACTTACAGGGATACTGACAAATAACAATATGGCTGGGTCTGTATAAACAGTTTTTGTTTTTGAAAATTTGCTTTTCAACTCAATTCCCTTCACAAATTTAATTGAAATCGAAATTGGATATGTTAAAGAGTGAAACTACAAAGATCAAATGGTTTTCTCACTGTACTAAGATCAACCTTGTACTGTTCCAATGTCTGATCGTTCATTATTTCAATTTTTGTTGATTGATGTTCAACTTTCTCGATTCCTCACTTCCTGCATGGGATTTACGATTGAAAATACAAGACAGAATACTATATGTTCATGTACAGGTTCGATGCAAAGTGTTTTTAATAAATATTGGAATGATTTAAGGTTCTATGCACGTTTTCTAGTTTTTTTCGAGTTATGTTGAATTCCGATTTCCTAGAAAAGTACCAGGAAGTGATTGAACTGAAAGATGTAGTCTTCGAAGAGTTTCACAAATTTCTTGAAGTAATATATTGTCCAAGTTATTACCTGCAGAGTAGGAGACGTAAACGTAACTACAAACCCTTATCTCATTCCAGGAAGAGAGGTTGAGTACCTGTTTGTTCTAGCTGACAGATTTGATGCTCCTATTGTTTTGGATAAATGTGAAGAGTATCTGATGGAGAATCTGATGGAGTTGGAAACCATAGATTTGTGGACACAGACATACAACCTTCTGAATAACAAAGTGAACTTACGCTTCATTTCTCATGATTATCTTGGTTTAAGAGCATCTGTATAGAAAATATTTCTATTCCCATCAACAGTGACGCTATGAAGAGAAAGAGAATTTCAATGAAGTACAGCTTGAAGACAGGGCCACTAAACTGGCAAGCTTATCTTGAAGTTTCCCCTGAAATCTAATTTATTTCAGGGAAGTTGTGTTTCAATCTAAAAGGAAAGAAATCTTCCTTGTATTCAGTACTGATCTTTCGGAGTTAAATCCTCAGAAGTACTGGGAAATATCTTTGGAAGTAATGCTATGCTTACGTACTTCCGGAGGACATTCTTGCTTGAACGTTGTACTGTTCAAAGACGGTTTAGTCGGAGGAGAATCTGTAATCCTTAAAAATCATGTCTGAGCAAACTTTTAATTTCCAGAGCGGTCACAAATGTGGATTCACCCATAACTTATGTTCACTTTCAAAGTTCTTAATGTTTTATGAATCCACATTCTCAACGGGCCCCCTGAATTTAGATATAGAGCTATCAGTTGTGAACTGTAATGCTTTTAGGTGATCGTCTTTCTTTCATTCTCGTAATGAGACTTCTATTCAGAAAAGCAGAGAGTTTTGATTTTTATCAACCCACTCTGGATGATGTAGATACTATCATTGAACTCGGAGACCAAGACTTGCATGTCCATTCACAGGTTTTGTCATTCCATTTTTCGGTAACTCAGAAGTAGACACCCAGATTCTTCATGTTTGCCTACCAAATTTGGCAAAACTAATAAGAGATGAAGATAATAAGAAAACCATTAAAATAGGAACGGATCGCGAGTTAACCACATACCTTCCTTATATTATTCATTATATTTACTGCCGAGGATCCTTGAAAAGCAGTAAGTGATACATATTCTTAGACGAGTGAAATGCCAAATCTCTTTCAGTGTTTGACAATTTCATAGTTTCTCAAAGAGTTGAGAAGTTAGCAACCAATTTGGGGTTGACTATCCAGAATTATAACGCCTTGTACACTTTTTAGTTTTAAAACTCTTTAATACTAGTGCAATCAATTGTCTTGTGATCATTTTTGAAAAATATTGCTTATTATGCCAAAGACATCTAATAAATGTTTATTCTTGAATTTACTGTTTTGAAGGAAAAAAGTTTCCCACTTCTCTCAAAGCAAGTCCTGTTTTTCGTTTCCGAGTATGAGCTCCAAACGGAGCAGTTCTGAATGAATGATCTCTTCACTCACTTACTCCAAGGATGATACAGATAATAGAATAATTTATACGTTCATTTTCCATAATCAGGATATTTCTTACAAAACAGTTGAAGAAGTAAAAATCGGATAGCTTGAACTATGCACTGCATAGTTTGCCTTTTTTTCTTTTTTCAACTTATGCTCTCTCCAGGTTTGTTTATTACGTAAACAACTGGCGCACGCCCAATTGCGTACTTTTGCGAAATCTTGGATATAGTCTTGTATGCAGATCTGCCATGCTTCCTGATATTAAGGTTATTTCAAGCTTTCAACCGATGCTGAAGCATTCGGTTTCAGATTGTACCACTTGGAGCCGGTCAAGATGTAGGACGTTCTTGTATTCTGATCTCCATCGGAGGTAGAAATGTTATGCTCGATTGTGGTATGCATATGGGATATCAAGATGAGCGACGATTCCCTGATTTTTCGTACGTTCTTTTGCTCTCCATAGATTCGGATAGCTGTTTTTAAGATATATTGGAGGTGGTGGAAACTTAAATGATTATTTGGATTGTGTTATTATTTCTCATTTCCATTTGGATCATTGCGGCTCTCTACCTCATATGAGTGAAATAGTCGGGTATGATGGTCCTATATTCATGACTCATCCTACCAAAGCTATAGCTCCTGTTCTGCTGGTATGTCTATCTTACTCATCCAAACCTCCTTTTTTTTTAGGAGGATTACAGGAAAGTGCAAACGGAATTCAGGGGTGACACCAACTTCTTCACTTCTGCGCATATCAAATCATGTATGAAAAAGGTTCTGAGGTTGATAGTTACTCTCAAGCTATATACTGCTTCACAGGTTATTGCCGTTAACTTACACGAAACATATGAAGTTGATAGCGAGCTATCAATTAGAGCTTTCTATGCAGGGCATGTCCTGGGAGCTGCCATGTTTGAAGTGAAAGTCGGAACTCAATCTGTTTTATATACAGGCATTGATCAAAAATTGGGACCTCGATACTAAGCAGCTTTTAGGAGACTATAACATGACACCTGATAGACATTTAGGAGCGGCAAGAGTTTTACCGGGTTTGAAACCTGATGTTCTTATTTCGGAGTCTACCTACGCAACTACCATTCGAGACTCCAAGCGTGCCAGAGAGAGAGACTTTTTGAGGAAAATTCACGAAAGAGTTCAAGGAGGAGGCAAAGTAAGGTTAAATAAAATACACGGTCTAAAGGCGTTCTTGAAGGTTCTTATCCCTGTGTTTGCGTTGGGAAGAGCTCAAGAACTGTGCATCTTACTCGAATCTTATTGGGAACGAATGGACTTGAAAGTTCCTATCTATTTCTCTCAGGGTTTGGCAGAAAGAGCTAATCAGGTTTTTCATTTATTAAACTATTGTTGATCCTTTCTTTAGTATTATAGACTATTCATAAACTGGACTAACGAAAAAATAAAACATACTTTCGTTGAGAGGAATATGTTTGATTTTACACATATCAAACCGTTGGAGAAGAACTACGAAGATTTACCGGGAGCTATGGTGCTTTTCTCCACTCCAGGTATTCATGATCTTGTTTCTTTTTCTTTTAAGAGACTTCAGGAATGCTTCACGGTGGTCAGTCTTTGAAAGTTTTTAAAAAGTGGTGTGGAGATTCCAAAAATATGATCATCATGCCTGGTTTCTGTGTGGCGGGTACAGTTGGGGCCAAAGTAATTGGAGGCATGAAGAAGATCGAAATTGAAAGTAAAATAGTAAGAGTTCTGTTAGTTGACGTTAAATTTTCATTGCTTTACAGTACGAAATCAACTTGGGAGTAGAATATATGTCTTTCAGTGCTCATGCTGATGCCAAAGGTATCATGCAGGTTGGCTTTCATATATTGCATGAATTATAATTTGGATTTTTAGTTGATTCGAGATTGCTCTCCTCGAAGCGTTATGTTCGTTCATGGAGAAGCTGGTAAAATGGAATTCTTGAAAGAGAAGGTCATAAAAGTAAGAAAAACTGCAAAGAAAGTTAATACGCTCTTGTGAAGGAATTCAATTTGCCTGTGTACATGCCTGCTAACGGAGAGACAGTCAGTATCCCTCCGGTAAATTCAATGCAGATTGAGGTGGGGATTTCAAGGAGAGTTTGTTATATATGTGCTCATCTATAGGTGCCGTGGGATATTATTGAGCGTAGTATTGAACTCGATCCGACTCCTTCAAAAAAACATTGTCCGTTCTCGGCATGTTTGTTGGTTGATAAGCAGGTAAGATACCAATTATTTGAACCACTAAATGAAAGCTAAAACATTGAAAGACGGGACCCGAGATAGTTTCTTGTGAAAAAGCTGCTCATCAACTCAATTTGCCTCTTCATTACATATCGTTTTCTCATACTATTCCTTGCAAAAAACCCGTGAACTGGGAGAGTTTACACATCAAACTCCTAGAACTAGATTGTAGCTCTCAACTCAAGCAGGTAGGATATTCAGGATTTACTGTAGTACTCCCTAATTACAGGATGGTATCGAAATGTTCCACGGTGAAATAGCTCTCATCAAGTTTAATAAAAGCAAACCTGAGGTATGATTGTCTTTTTTTAATGAAAAACTATCGATTTTTTTCAAGATTGAAATGATTTGGGACGAATGTCGGGAAGCATGGCAACAGCAAGTGTTAGCCATCGTCGAAGAGCTTGTGAACTAGAAAAAATGATCTCCACAGTTGTTTTATTTGTTTGTCACTTGTTGTTTTCATTTGATCATCATCATATAATTTAAATTTTTTGTCTTGTTCCGTATAGCGTGGGTTCATTTCCCAATCCTCTTCTATTGACTAATTTTTTTGATGTTATTTCCAACAAACACTTCTAGCTTTTAGGGAGATGCTGATAAGCGAGTTTTTACCATGTGATAGTATAGTTCCCTTACTGGAAGAGGGGGACCTACTGGAGTTTAAAAGAACAATGTATCTCGCAGGATCTATGACAGAGATTTATCGAGTAAGCAATCCGCAAACTAAGTCATTAAGTATGTTTCAGCATTGGGCTCTGTTCATTGGATTCACAGACGGTGTTCCAATGGTTATTCATATCTCAACTCCAGACGGAGATTTTACTAATGTAACCGGATTTTCGGTGAAGGATTCTATGTCCGTTTTATCAATGTTTAGTGGGGGATCTTCAGCGGAAGTAAGTCTCGTCACATGTTTCATCATCACGGTTTAACTAACATATTAGGTTCGCAGCGATAGCTTGAGGGGTGTATACGGAGAAGATACTGCTCGAATTAACAATTCTCTTGATGAAACCCACAGACCTTTTCCCCATCCTATAATTGTGAAAAGAGCCATGTTGGAAGTAAGTTTCTTGATTTTGTTCGAATGTGACAGTGAGTGTGGTTCAGCTTGGCAGTAAGAACTATAGCATTATCTTCAATAACTGTGAACATTTCGTCAAGTGGTGTCGATACGGAAACAGAATTAGTAGTCAGGTATAGTGTCCATTGTGCTATGTTTTTTTAATATTCTCATTAGGCCGTGGCCGTCAAGTCTTTCCTCTTATCTTCCGTCCTTGCTGTAGGTGTCAATCCATTAGTTGCAGTCGGTGTGGGTTCACTGTTTGCTGCAACATCTAATGCCGTTTCTCGCCATATACATAGAACCTTCGGCTCAACGAATGCGTTTTCGTTTTTCTAACTTATCATCAACTTATTATGAACCGTGTAAATATGTGATTACTGTTAAGTATTCTTTATTGTTATTCTAAATAACTAATAATCTGTGAATTTGATTCGAAATCGTCCGTTTTATTTATCTTTCTTAGCTTTGAAGTGAGAAAGTATTAAACTGTTTTTCTCATTCTTTTCAGTTCTTTTGTTCGCTGAAAAACATAATAACCCATAGATCATACATATTGAACAGTAACTTCAGACTAGTACCCCTAGTAGATACACATTTCTACTTCATCTATTTGGAGCCTGGGCGGCATAGCATTCATCGATGCGCATGTATCAAACTACGTAGATACAGAAAAACTCAGTTAGATTACATGGGTTGAACCTGTACATAAATAAGCCATAATTCCTTTCTGACACCCTCTTCTCGGACTTACACACAATAACTACATTACGAAATATATTTATTTGTTTCATTTGATTGGCAAATGATTATTCGAGAACAGAAATTAAAACTCTCATAGTATGTATGGAAGAAACGGATTAGCATTTCTCATTGTCAACAGCTGAATAAATGTCCAAATTGATGTATGTCATGTCGTATGGAGACTTGTTGATGTACTCCTTGGGAATTTCGTATTCCGTAGTTCTGGTACAGTCCTAGAGAATGATCTTATATATCTCGTTGTTGTATTTATAACTCACTTTACTCTTAACTTTGCATTGATGAATAATCTTGAGGTAAGGGCGAATAGCTGTAACTTCGTTTTCGCCTCCAGTGATCTGTTTAAGATGATAATTGGATAGCCAAAAAATGTTATGCTTACCAGGAAGTCTCCTTCGCTGTTGGTCTTCATCTCTTTCAACAGATCGTCGGGATCGACTTAAAAAAAGTTTGAATTAAAGCGTACTTGAATTAGTTTGTGCTTACATCGATCTCTTTCCCAGAGCTGGACTGTAACATCTTTGTATCTGCGCTTCTCGCAGATTACAGTTCCTTTGACAGTGATATTCTGATCGTAAGCAGCAACTGCAGACGTGAGGGCTAATAAAACGATGAAATATTTCATTTTTCTGAAAAAAGGCGAAATTGGTAAGAGTCAGATGAATGGAGGTGTTGCTTACCGTTGGCCAATTTATAGAAAATTGCAGGTGAAAGGTCTAGTTCCGTCAATGATATTGAAAAAGGCGTTACAACAACAAGACAGAAGATAATCAATCTGTCCAATGATTTCACGGGAAATATTACACTTTTGTAACTTTTTCTTTTAAAGTCATAAGACAAACTTGATTATCAAAATGTTTTGTCTGAGTAATTGTTAGAACAAACGGTTTTATACAGGGCTAATGAATCATCAACTAGATGAACTTGACGACAGTTATCGTCATCGAACATACTCTATTACGTGATTCATAGTTTCCTGTCCGCACAAGAGATGGGGGGAATCCTTTTAGTCTGAATATGATTTGCACTTAAGCAAACTATTATAAATACTATAGGGACAATCAAAACAAATCATAAATAGTAGCATATCCTTAATTGGCATTAAAAATAACAAAAAGGAAAGGTGAATGAAGTGCTAACTAAGGGTCAAACACATCCAATTATCATAATTATATCTTGCCACCTACTGTTCAACAAACGGAAACTCCCATACATGGATATTCATAACTTCTTTCTTCCAGATTTCTTTTAATAGTCTGAACAGATTGATTAAGATATTTATAGGTGAAATAGAATGAATGGTTATGCTAAATGACCTTATGTTTCATGTACAAGAGTCTTTACCACTTAAACGGCCATCCAACTAAAGTCTTTCAACTTTAACGCTCCATATGGTCATTCTTTATATGTACTCCCTATTGTAAACCTCACTTATATACTTTATATCAAGTGTTTCACATTGTACGCCCTTTGCATCTAACAACTGCCTTCATCCAAATCATTCAGACTCATTTCCTCAAATTTTAGACTTTACCCATGACCGACAGTCAATCCGAGTTTGTACGCGTTCTCACCATCAAAGGTTTCGTTCAATAACCGTCTCGTCTCAAATTATATCATTTACTGTTCCAGCTGCGAACGGAGAAGAACGACGCATGCAATTTCCTGTAAAGCTTGATCTTCTCAGACCCAAACGCCCGAGAACTACGTTTACAGACGAACAACTTGCAACTCTTGAGGACGCATTTAGGTTCGTATGCTAATATTTTAATTCCGTGAACGTATGACTACAAATTGTCATTTTTGTTTTTTCTATACGTGATGCGGTTGTCTCTAGTCAATGGGAGCTAATAACACACTTAATACTTTGTTAATACTCGTTTTTGTATTCAGAACAAATGGCTATTTAACGGGAGCATCTCGTAGCCAATTAGCCGAGAAGTTAGGCCTCAGTGATACACAGGTACTGATTAAGTTTCTTCGTCTCATATGTATAACCTTTTAAGGTCAAAGTTTGGTTTCAAAACCGCAGAACGAAAGACAGACGAAAAGTTCCTTTGCATTCGAAGTGAGCGAGTTCATTATTATACCTAACTTTAAAAAAACATCATTAGGTCAATTGGTCAAGTCGATTCTAGCGCAGACAAAAAAGAGCATACCATGAATACCTCAATGAGCTTTCCTATATTAGCTCAGAACTCTCTAAACGCAATTCCTGGATCATCATCTCTATTTTATCCAAACGTTTCTTTTCCAAATATTATAGATTATACGTTGTATCCTTCTTCGAATACATTGACTTCTTTATATTTCCGATCTTGTTCATAGCATCACTCATCACATTGTTCTTCCTGCTTTCTATTTATCTTTCATGTTTTCATGTAATATGAGTAAATAATTATGAATTCTAAACTTTATTGAGTTTAAGCATGCTTGGCTGTGCTTCTCTTGACGGCTGTAGCTCTGCGGCTAACAACACGGCGAGCTGCAGCGACCTTGCTTCTGGCTAAGACTTTCTTAGCGGCAACTCTTCTACTGCTCATGACCTGAAAAGTGTTGATGATTTATCAATATAGCAAGTATGGTTCTTACTCGTCTGCCAGAGAACCCATGGCTTCTGTACATGCCATTTCCGCCGTTGTATGGAGAACCACCATGTGGTGGGCAAGGGCAATAAGCAGCATCAGAACCGGGAATTCCTGGGTTTCCAGGGGCTCCTGGAGTTCCGTCTTCTCCACTTGATCCTGGTCTTCCGGGCTGTCCAGCTGGTCCAGGAGCACCTGGGGCTCCTGGGCCGGAATGACCTGGTGTTCCATTGTTTCCAGGGTGTCCTGAAGGTCCTGGTGGTCCTGGTGGTCCTGGTTGTCCACGTCCGCTTGTTCCTGACTTTCCTGGTCGTCCAGGTTCTCCTGAGTTTCCTGGAGATCCAGGTGCTCCTTGATCTCCTGCTGGTCCTGGGGGTCCTGGTTGTCCAACAGATCCTCCATAAGAAGAGGCTCCTTGATCTCCATCAGGTCCTGGCATACCACTGGATCCATCTGGACCAGGAGGTCCTGGTGGTCCGGCTGGACAACTGATACAACCGTCATTACCGCCATAAACAGAGTTTTGAACTCCTGGATGACCATCATGTCCTGGCTCTCCAAGTGGTCCTGAAAAAATCATCGTATGACTGTATTATTTTAACTGATTCAAACCTGGCTCTCCTGGAATTCCTCGCTCTCCTGGAGGTCCTCGAGGACCTGGTGGACAATGGTTTGGTTGTCTTCCACAATTGCATTGAGGTGCTTGTCTTTTCTCTCTACGGAAAGCGTCAAATGGATGTTTGGCTCCTTTGGTTGGGAATTCTCTCATAGCATACCATGCTCCATTTGATAGGTTTACGAACTCACGAAGCTCAACCAACGAATCTTGATGGAAGCTGTTGATATCATCGTACAGATTATATGCGGACAATAAGCAAAGAATGATGGCAAGCCCGGATAGGCCGGATGCCGTCGCTGCTACAATCTTAGCAGACATCCTGAAAGAAATGAAATAGACAAGGAAAGTAGCAAGAAAACGAGTAACACAATAGTCAATGGCGTTTGAAGTCAACTGACCTTTCGCTGAGTGAGATGGCCCTTTTATAGGAACTTCACGAGGCGGTTGCCGTTCGCCAATTTTCTTTTTTCTCTTCAATGGAATGCTTTAGTTTTTGTTATAATTGACTTTCCGTCTCCTTAAAATCATTTGAAAATCAGTTAACATTTCAAAACCAGAATAACCAAACGTTTCGGAATAAAAAGCATTTCAAGGTCTTTGATCAGCAGGTAGAAGTAACAATATGAACGAAAAGTTTCTAACTGTTTCTTGCGACAATTACTTTCACAAAATATATAGTCTTTTAATGCTTGTATTGAACTTGCAAATTAATGGATGAATGTGTAACCCTCAGGCTTGAACGCTATGGTTTACGATTTCGCTTTAAGTGCTGGAAAGCAGTTGTAAGTTTCGCTCATCCTCTCTCCGTTGATTGAATAATTCCATCTGAACTTGAAGACCGAAAGTTTCTGCATTGAAACAATTAAGAAGCAACACATATGGAGTTTACTCATTATGCTTCGTGAAAAAAAAGAAATGCCGTTCGCAGGAATTTTTTTTTCATAGCCCCTAACCTATTCCTTGTTTATTTAAAGGAAAGTATGTCTGATTAAAATGAGAGGAAAAAATAGAATTTCATTCTTTATTCATTTTCATAGATGACAGTTCATTTAATGATGTTCGGTCTTTCTTCTGACGACTCTCTTCTGTCCAGTGTGTCCAGAGCTGTGAGCCTTCTTGCTTGTAGCATTTGGAGCAAGACGAGCAGTACGGTGCTTGTTAACACGACGGCGAGCAATAGCGGCACGGCTACGAGCAGCAGCAGACTTTAATAATTCGAAATTGAGGTAAAGTATTCAATATATAAACTCACAGCCTTCATGGAGTAACCGTAGACACGTCCACGGTGGCTAGCACGCTTAATATCATAGTTATCTCCATCACGTGGAGGGCATGGACAATACTCAGCTGAAAATTCAAATGAGAGAGTTTAAACTGGAATATATATTACCATCTGATCCTGGAACTCCAACTTCACCTGGAACTCCATTTTCTCCATCGTTTCCTGGTGCTCCTGGAAGTCCCATTGGTCCTGATTCTCCCATCTGTCCTGGGGCTCCTGGGGCAGCTGCGTGTCCTGGTTGTCCGTCAGATCCACGAGGACCGGCTGGTCCTCTTGGTCCTGCTGGTCCTGGAAGCCCACGACCACGATTTCCGGATTTTCCTTGGTGTCCTGGTTGTCCACTTGATCCTGGTCTTCCTGGAGCTCCTGGGTTTCCTGCTGGTCCTGGAGGTCCTGGGCGGCCGACTGATGGTCCTCCGTAGGCTGGTGCACCTGGTTCTCCGTCGGGTCCTGGGAATCCTGAGGATCCATCTGGACCAGCTGGTCCTGGTGGTCCAACTGGGCAAGTAATGCAGCCATCATTGCCACCATGGACAGAGTTTTGAATTCCAGGATGACCGTTGCTTCCTTGAGATCCTCTGTGTCCGTCTTCTCCTGGGGCTCCTGGAGCTCCTGGGGGTCCTCGAGGTCCTGGTGGGCAGTTATTAGGTTGTTGACCACAGTTGCATTGTGCTTGACGCTTGTTTCTTCCGATCAAGAATGGGTTCTTGGCAGCTCTGTGTACAGTTACATCCGTCATGGAAGTCCAAGCTCCGGTGGAGAATCCCTGAACAGAACAATGAGTTTTGCTTTTTCTGAATAGCTACCTGGAACTCCTCGAGTTGAGACAAAGCATCATCGTAAAAGTTGTTGATGTCGTTGACAATGTATCCAACACAGATCAAACTTCCGGCAATGACTGCTGCACTGAGAACGGAGACACCCGCTACCAGGGTTTGGGTGGACATTCTTAAAAAAAACTAATTAGCAAGATTGTTCAGAAGAGGCTTCGAGGAAGAAAGCAACTGCCATTTTCGCTAGCCTAACTACCTTATATAGGGTTCATCAGAATGTTTCTGTTCTTTGGAATCTCTAAACAACTCTTGATATTTTTAACTGTCATCATAATTGAACACATTTTTTGGTTGGTGATGTCTTCAGTTCTTTTAATTTCCCAGAAAATTGTCTAAACTATCCAATCATTCAATGATATTCCACAATTCGAAGCGAAACTGGTAGTTTTTTTCGGCAGTCTCAGTAAGCTTTCGTGTTCGTTCAGTTTCAGAACCTCTGTTGGTCTGCCGAATGGAGCGTGACCGCGAGGTAAAAAAGCAAGTTGACGAGAATATCGTTCTTCAATTTTATTATTCCTGGTAAAAGATAATCTCAAACTGTCTCATAAAAGTAAAAACAACAAAACCTGAATCAATTTCTTGACTGCAATTTAAATATGAACGATGGAGCTCTAAGAAAGTTTGATTCAGAACTCGGAAGAGGATGAGGAATTGTGAAGGCTGAAGAAGGGCAACAAAAGGTCGGCGAAGGGAGGTTATACTTACAATTTTTTGAAAATGTCCATAAATAGAACATGGAAAAGATTAAATACACTGAACATTGCATATATACGAAAAAATGTATGTAATGAGCCATTTCTAAGAAACAATACTTCAGATCAGAAAAGCGCACAAAACTTTCTTTGGTAAAAATTATTTTCATACATGGATATCGTTTTTGCCACAAAGCAGTTTCAACATCCTCATATGATCAAAACTATAATACAATAGTGATTTTGGAATGCAATAGGAGCATTTCAAAAAATATTTCACCAGTCTTTCAAATCACTCAAGCTTCGAAAGTTTACAAAGCTTGGAGAGAATCATCCCCGATTTCTTCCATAACTTTTTTGAACTCAAAGGTGCTTAAAGTGGTCTCAACATCAATTGTTGGCTCACAAGATGTTGGCCTGCTAAGTGGGATCACAGCAAAATCATTCTGAACAACGGGTTGATTTAGAAGTGAACTATCAATGTAAACATACTACACTTGGTGGTTCACTCCCACCTCTTCCCGAACCTTCATAAGGGTTATATTCATCATCCGAGTCTTCTTCATCCGTGTCGTCAGAAAGATCATGTCTAGAAGCATTGGGATGAGATTTCATATTTCATTCATATTGCTTACTTTGTAACCAGACTTGGCAAAGAAAACAACTTGTACTCCACGTCAAAGAACAATTCCGCTCCCGGAAATACAGCTCTGTTAGGAGACAGCTGAAAGAACTTTTTCGTTAACTCATTTTTCTTCATCTGGCTTACTTGGAAATATGAATTTGTTGGCAACACGTCTTGCACAGAAATCAAATGGCTCTCGTAAAGATTTCCTAACTTCTGTTTTTTGACGACAGGCTCTTCGCCTTCCTCGATGGGAGGGCACTTAGAGTTTTTGCGTTCCTCATTGATCGTGTCAGCCAGCTTAAAGCATATGTAGAAAGATATTCATAGAGTGTATGTACATACCTTTAAAAAATTGGTATGAGGAACACATGTCCGCCTGATCAAGATATTTGACATATCGGCTAAGCCTCCTTCACTAGGTGAATCAGCTTCATCTAAACAGAGCCGGTTAACATGATTATGATAACTGTGTCTTACAATAATTTCGTAGCATTTTCTCAAAGGGTCCACCCAGGGCTAAACATATTTCTTTAATAATTTCATCACAGTCTCCAAGTAGTTCGATATCAGCAGTATATCCTGATAAAGGCTCTCTGGAACAAAAACTAAGCAAATAAGATCAGTGAACATTCTACCTGTTGATAAGGATTTGTGGAACATCAGACGCCAAGCTGAAAGGAATCAGAGAGACGGGTCTGACTTTCAGAGAAGATCCTGCAATATTAAAAACTAAAAAACGGAAAAAAAATAAGATATACCAACGACAACCAGTAGATCAACATCATCTTTGTCGATAGCCATTTGACGATGGAACTCTTGGGCTAAATCTTCTCCGAAGAAAACGATATCAGGTTTAATCACCCCTTCCTTACATTGGGGACAACGAGCTACTCTCTGCAATAGGAAGATGATAGCTTGCATAGGATCGTAATCAAACCTTAGCCATGACGTCTTCTTTAATGGTTTCACCTCTGAATTTGGCATTGCATCCCAAACATGTAGCATTTTTGAAAGAGCCTTAAAGAATTTCGATTAAAAGTTTCTCTTACATCCTCACCATGACACTCAATTAATCTTGTTATTCCTGTCTGATCTTCGAGAGTATCAATATTTTGTGTATAGTTTCTTAAAAGTTGGTCTGTTTTCTCCAACTCGTGGATGAACCGGTGAGAAATTGACGGTTTGAACTGTCCTGGGAATATTTCCTGAAGATATTTTTAGATTAATAAAATGCAAAATAAATCTCAACCGTGGCGAAATTATAAAAAGGAGCAGGATTAGAACGGAAATATCTGATATCGAACATGGCAGTTGGATCAGGTAGGTCAGGAAAATCGATATGTAACCTTGCATATATACCTTAATACGACTATGCACAAACAAATAAAAAACATTAATTTACCATTTTTACTTCTGAAGTCAGGGATTCCACAAGAAACGGAGACTCCAGCACCTGTGAGGACGAGGATACGTTTTTTTGTTCTAAAGGACAAATATGTGAGATCGAAAATGCACTGGGAGAACCTGAACAACTCGATGGCGTCATTCATCGTATTGTATTGAGGTAGCTTTGTTCTTCTGGGAGGTTGATCTAATATATCAGATAAAATATTGGCAACCTGTATAAAACCGTTGCTATATAAATGTATAATAAAACAATAACAAACCGTATCGTCAGACCAGCCTTCCACAGGTTCTTGTAAACCCGGACAAACTGTTCTCAAAATGTTTTGGAGCGAAACTCCTTTTTGTAACATATTCTCTACAACAACAACGACAGACGCGGAGCCCTACATGTCCAGTATTATAATGACCTACAAAGAAACGCACTCACTCCACACTGCCAGCTCTCCGATCCAATAGGAGTGGGCGGGCTCGGAGGTTCCTCCTCTGTATTCAAAGTATTGAGAACTTCGGTTACAATTTCACTGGAAGCCAAGCAGAGATCTATCAAACAGAAAAAGTAAACAATCACGGGAGATTGACCATACTTGGGTACTGTACGGAAACAGGAAATGCTTCTACGGAACTTTCGACGATTATCGGTGAATCTTCTTTATTATTCAATTCATCACAAGATCCATTTACCATTCTTAATTATGTGGTTAAGAATGGTTTATAACATGATGTATACTTTTGTAACAGAGAAACAATGATAGTGAAAGCGTACCCGAATGACCATTGATATTAAGAAAATATTTATAGTGATAGGTGAACTAAACATGAACATTTAAAAAAAGATTATGAGAGAGCGCACGACTGAGCAAAATATGTAAATTGAACACTGGATTACTTATATCGATGAAGCTGGCACAGTTTGGAGGCTTTACACCAAAAATGAGCCACGCGGCACCTTAGCGCGAACTTGGTGTAGGTAGTAATGATTAGACATGGCATAAATATGTTTACTAGTCGTTTTGCTTGCCACTAATATCGATGAAGCAGAAAAAATGTGGATCAGAATTTTGAGAATCAGATGGTAAAATAAGCATTTTAAAAAAAGGCTCAGTATCATTTATGTAGTACATAGAGCGATCAGTTGAGTTACTTCTCAGAATATGAATAGACACTGATGAGAAATGAAAAAAAGTAAGAATCCAGGAACAAATTGTATAAATGAAAAGACATTTTTTGAATAGAAGGCGTGGATACTGACTTTTGTCCGCAGGCTGCACAAGCGCAACCGATGTCATTTGACAACGACGCGACGCAGCGAGCGGTTGCATTCAGACGCAGTGGTAATTACACGGCAGTACAATGTGTTAGGAGATGATACATAGTGAAAAGAAATGTTTATCTAAATTAAAATCATATTTAAATTCTATCGAAGGCAAGTTTTATAAATAAGTAAGAATTATACAATTACAAGCATTTTAAAAACGTCAAACATGTAAAAGAGTATGAATTATTACAGTTTAAAACCCAAAGAGATATCACACCATGATCGGTAAATAAAACGTCATGAAAGAATTCTTTTAGTATTCTATATAAAATATTTAAAACATAACAATGAGCAACAATCAGGCACTGTTTGCATTCGACAACAACCCATTAAGTATTTATGAGCAGGGTAATAAGTAGATCTAATAAGTGAAGAATTGGTTAATAATTATACGTGAATAAGTTTAACTTCTAAGTGTCATCAGGATATATTTCATCGGGCAACTGATATCCGAACTGGTCCGATTATTTGCTTTAATGTGTTGTGTATGGTGCTAGGAGATAGACGATCTGTGGGTTCATCATCGATAGCAAGAATACGATCCCCCACTTTGAGAGAACCTTGAAAATATATTTCGTCAACCATTCAAACAAACAGTACTAACCTTCTAAAGCAGCTACTGAACCCTCAGTGATTGTTCGAATGAAAATACCTTCAGCACCAGTTCTTTTAGCTAGAGCTATACCTAAAACAAGAGCATGCGGTCACTATAACAGCGAAACAAACAAACAAACCTAATATTTCATTCTGTTGTTTATTAAGTGTGACTGTTATTGCTCCTTTGTCTTTAGCTTCATCTGATTTCTCTTCTTTGCGAAGACCAAGGACTACAGTTGAGCCTCCACTACGGAGCATTGACACAACTTCTTGGTGGGTACATCCCGATACTGAATGTCCATTTACCTGCAATGAATTGTATCACTTATGCAATCAATGAGAAATCTTACTGAGATCAATTGCATGCCAATTTTTAAACGGGGATGTCCAGCTGCTGGTGAAGCAGTAAGTTGTTTGATGCAAACTCTGCCTCCTACCGAAGCTATTTGAACTCCTATACTACCTGTTGAATTGCGTTCTAGAGAAACCTGAAGAAAAATAAGAATGCAACTTATAAAACAGTTTTCGAACTTCAATAAGATCATTTTCTTCATCATCATCATCAGAATCTTCTTCACGTTCCTCATCTACTTCATCAGTACTATCAAGGTTTGATTTCCTGGTATATCTAGTTTTCCTCTTCCCAATGTGAGATGAGGAATCTTCGGACAATCGAGAATAATCAGATGACTTCTGAAACGAACAAATCAGAAACAGTGATCAAAGGTTCTACAAACGTTCTCAATTGTGATTATCTCATCTTCATCATGATGATCAAAAGAGTACATCGAGGATGTTGGAAGCCTGAACTCGCCGCGCTCTTCATCGGACTCATCTAAGTTGATTCTGAAAAAAATGGAGGTATATAGGAAAAAGCTCATGAAATTTTTCTTACCCAGAAATAGCTTTCATATCAAGAGTGTTCTCAATGTTGAAGGTTGGGAAACTATCACCTATAGCTCCGAAGTCCGACACTGCTCTCTGCCTTCTATTAGCAGCCTTTCGAGGGGCAGGTGGAGTTCGCGAGACACCTGAAACATATATTATAAAACTCGCTCAGACCAATTAGCTAGAAGGTGTAAATTCGGAAGAGGGTAAACCTTTAGTAGAAGGAGGTGCTAGCCCTGCAGGCAATGTACTGCTTTTCTTCCTAACATCTGCACTATCACGAGAAGCTACAAACACAACAACAACATGCATGTTTCAGTGAGAACATCATCACAACATCGATGTTCAAAAAAGTCTTACTTGATTTTTCGTGTCTAACAAAACCGTCCAGTCTAGCGATCTCCATCTTAACGAAGGCTCCACTTTTCTTGACGAATTCTACAGCAAGATGACGATCTGCTCCTTCGATTGACTGTCCATCGATAGAAACCAAGCGATCACCGAGATGTATTCCCTATACGAAAAGTATTCATGATATTCTCTATTAGGTAATTTACCGCCTGCATGCCAGCACCGTTCTCAGCAACTGATTTAATGTAAACACCTTTGACTCCGTTCAAGTTTCCATCTACTAATGTCAATCCTAGTCCCGTAGTGGGATCCTTCAACGATTTCTTGAAATCTAATCCGACTGAAACACCCACCTTCTTTATGGTTACTTCGAACTGCATTCGTGAGTATTCACCGTTAGAATCTGGACCAGAAGCAGGCTCGAATCGTTCAATGTTTGGGTCTGAAAAATGAGAAAACGTGAAATTCTCAAGAGATTTAAAATGGAGATAATTTTTTCTAGAAAAAAAACTACGAACGACTATTGGTCTCAGTGTCGGAACTTGCAAAGTCATCTTGAGACTTCATCTGTACACGGTTATCAGAAGCGGTAGCACTGGAAGGCATCATTTCGAACAGACTCGAGGCGTTTTCAAGAGGGGAAGCGGATACATCTGAACACAACACAACGTCCACAACACGATGAAAAAACTATCATGTATCACTCACTTATTGGTGAAGGAGGAGATCTGCCTTCTACACAAACATCAGGCATTGCCTGGATAGTATTCTCATGGCGAAGTGTTGTTTTCCATTTGCGCATCTTCATCATAAATTGATGTTGAGAAGCGGAAAACTTAACAAAGTAACTACTTCTGCAACAAATGGTAAATTAGAATGAAGAAACTCAACAGGTTAACTCACTTAGAGTGATGATCGGTGAATAGGATTGTCTCGTCATGCTGCCCGCTGACAATCACGAACCTTTTCTTGTCAAACTGTAATGTTTGAGTCTCAGGCCATTGATGTTCAGATCGTCTTATACGGATTCCACCCTGAAAGGCATAAAGTGAATGAAAGTATCCAAATGAAACAAACCTGCTCTTCATAGACTGTTATTCCTCTAGGCATGATAGCAATCCAGAGAGATGCTCCAGTATCAGGATCTAAGGGGTCAGCCCCTACCGATCCGACGGGTTTGTTGCGGAATACTCGATGCAAGTGCGCTCCAAACTCTCCGTGCTGTTGACATATCTGAAGAAAAGGAAGCATTTCCCATATAATTATTTGAATGATACTTTGATGAAATTATACTCTGCGTCATATGATGAAACATCTTTGTGTTGTCCATGAAGTTCAGCTAATCGTTTCTGGTCGTCATTAGAACAATAGCGCTGAAAGAATCTGTTTTCTATGCATGAGAAGTGTACGAACCCTCGGTAAGTAATGATAGTTATCAAAATAGTCTAAAACAGCAGGTGGTGGTCGGTTTCCAAACTCAGCTTGGAGAGCAAAGGCAGCTAAGTCGTAAGCAACATCTCGCTTAGGCTGAATCCTCTCATCTATCACATCATGTCTAACTTGTAAGTAGAGCTCATGCATCGTTGTTTCTGTTCTGAAATATTGATTATATCATCAGGAACTTATTGAATGAAAAACGTACTTGATGAATTCTAACATCTGCGGATAGAACCTGAAGCGTAGGAATAGTACAAAATTATGCTTATGCGGGCCGCGAGTTCCGATTTTCCAACCTGGTGGCGCAAACTTCTCAAGTCTTTGCTCTTCATCGATGAAAAAGTGTTCATTATCTGGAGAGAAAGAATGACTAGGACTTCATTTAATTTTTTTTACCTTTTTTGTAAGATAATCCAAAGAAAATATGCTCATTGATGTTCATATGCTGAACCACCAAAGAGAAAATATCTCTAGCTATAACATCGGTTCGACAACTGACCTAAATCAGAATAATTGGTTAAGAAAAATCTATTCGCACTCTTACTTCAACTCTTTGACCGTTGAGTAGCTCGACTAGAACCTCTGATTGCTCTATCCGCATGATCGTCAACTTTTTCTGGAACAAAGCTTCGTTATCAATAAATTCGGTGTACGAAACATACCTTTTTCGCACTAGGAGCCTTAAGTCTTATGCTAGGATGGCGAGAGTTGTCATAGAACTCAGGTAGAGCTCTTGTCTTAATAAAAACACATAAGCTCGGGTTATGAAGATGGATAATGCCTCACCTTCCTTTTCCCTCGAGAGCTAGCTCGGCCGCTGATACGTGACGCTGCCAATGAATTCTTTCTTTCGAGACGTGGAGACTCTGTGATCAACATTTGAATAAGCGATAAATTGTGTTATAAAAGTACCTGATGCTTTGGGAGTAGGGACAGGCGAATCTTCGACCACAGTTTTCACCGAGGTATGTTTAACACTCATCGCTTGACTGAAAGCTAAATCTATTGGAGTTTCAGCTTCATCTGGTGTTTCAGGCATATGATGTTTAACCATTTGAGCCCGTTTTACAAACGGAGAACGAGATTCCTAAAAAATGTTTTTCGGTTGAAAAATAATGTGTAAAAATTAATTTTACAGTTATTACTACGGCATCAACATGACTTCTATTGATTTCATGATCGATCTCATGTGAATCTTCATTCAATTTTTCGACAGTAGCCCGAATACTATCGGTTTGTTCTTTCAAACGATCTAACTGTACGTTAGCGGAATTCCGTCTTGAACGTGGTGGAGCTGAAAGCATATAATAACATAACATTGTTGTTTAAAGAGCATACCGATAACAGGAGCTTCATAAATATGCGAAGGCTTGGTGTTAATCTTCTCATATTTCTCTTGTTCATCTCGTTTCTGATCCAACTTATCCATGGAGTCGATATGATCATCATCAACTGCAATTACATATACCTTTAAGTGGTATCATAACCAAGTAATATACCGATATCATCGAAGTAGCTAGCCCGGGATTTTGGTTTCATAAAATCAACATCGAACTTATGATGAGACACATCAACGATTTCATCGGATGACGAGGAAAACCTATACATGAGAACATGATAACAATTGGAGTGTTAACTATGTTTTACCGGTGCATGAGGGGTGATTTCGTAGGAACTGTTCGCTCCTCAACTACGCTCTTGCTGAAGTCCAATACATTAGATCTTTGCAAGGACTTGTTCTGGCTCCTGTTCAGACTCTGAAAAGACTGTTGTTTTAATTCTCCTGAAGCAGATTAACCTCATCGGCAAATGGATCTCTTCCTGAAAGTGTTCCTCCATGATGAATCTCATCACCGTCAAAGGGAGACACTTCAGCAGTTTTGACGAAGTTGTCATTGAAAGAGTTTATAGAATGCTCTTCCACATATGAATCGTTAAGACGGGTACTATTTCCTATAGGAGAACCTATTTCAAGAATAGGAGTGCTCAAGTTTTTGGGAGAGAATGTTGTTCTACCAATATTAGGAACTGAAGAAGCAAGAATGTATCTTGGAGAACCAAAGTAAACTAACCCTCATGTTCATGCACCTCTTCTTCTTCAATATCTTCCTCTTCTTCTTCGAAAGGTGAGCTATCTTTTTGCGTGCTATTACCGGAAGAAGTAGAAGTCGAGGTTGAAGTAGCTTTAAAACGACTTAGAAATCTAATGAAGAACACACCTTACCTCGACCATCCTTTTCGTCTTCTTCAATATATTCAACTGCTTTTTTAACAGTTGGTATAGTGACAGAAGCCGATAAATCATCTCCAATGTCCAAGTCATCAATGTCTAAGCCTCCCTCGGGAATCTGAAAATCCAATTCAGTTATGGACTCGTTTAACGTATTCCTACTTGATTGCTTTCTTCGTCTCCCATAATTTCTTCATATAAGCTAATGAGAATGTCGTGAGGGTCATGACTTCCTAGTTGTTTTCTGAAGCAAAGGCATTATGATAGAAAATAGTTTTTTATAAACCTTGCTATTTGACTCATTCTGTTCGCAGTGGGCCTAGTATCGACATGGCCAACTGTCAGAATATTTACTAGAGAGAATAGTTGTACATCATTGGATTCTTGAGCGCCACAACTTCGAAGCACTACAATGATCATTGTGTTTTCTGTATTCAATATTTCTATGTACCTGCTCCGAGACAATACACAGCGGCAGCGGATTCATTGCTTTGACCTCTCTCCCATTCTGGAGGAATGAACTCGGGTTCAACAGTTTCAGAAGGGACGGTACGTATCTAAAACAGTGTCTATTATGTGTAATCAAACTGTACTAACTATTATTTTCCCTTCATTACTGATAAAGATGTTCTCGGGATCAAACACGGTACCCCTTGGACATGGTGGTAATGAGTCAGCAGCTGTTGTCGCCAAAGCAAGAAGCTCTACAGGTTCAAGTCCAGTTCCACGTACCTAGACAACAATAATTAAATAACGGGTAAAAAAACATTCATACTTCTACAACATCAGCTATGCTGACATTAATGTTGTGAGCTGTATTCATTGAGTCGAGTTGGAAAACATATGAAACTGAAAAGAGTTTTGAATAGGAAAAAAAAGAAGATTAAAGATAATAAAAGTGGGAACAACGATGAATATTGAAAAATAAACACAAATTTGAAATGGTTACAAACTAAAAAAAACCCTGGGGGGTGAAAAAAGATTATTGACGAATGTAAAACAATACATGCATGCTGTTTGTTTGTAAATCACATCGAATCAAACGTGTACTCTGGAGGCTTGAATTGGAATTGAAGCTGTAAACTTCATCAGTTTTGAAAAAAAAATGATCAGAATTCAAGATAACGAAAATAGGTTTTAGTTGCGATGAAGAAAACCTTCAAAAGACTTCAGCAAATTAAACGAAAAACGAGACATATACGAACGTTAAAAAAGAAAATTTGATCGATAAAAGGTACAACACAAGCTTATGAAGCGCATAAGTAGCTGTATAAGCCGTTTTGCAAGAAATGAAAGAGGTACATCATGTGAAAGACAACCTACACTTTCAAGTTATCCTTAGAAAAGTTTTAGTATGATTGAGAATGCTGTCAACGACCTACGCACACATGACTCTGAACATAATAGATCTGCGTGGACAGACAATGACCATCTCTTCTCTGGTACTCTCTGGCCTTCTATCATCTGTACAGCGCTCTCAGGTGTAAATCAATAAACGGCTACACATCAGAACTGTATAGCCGTGTAAGTATTTAAATGAAGGATGTTAATATCTATCATGCTATTCGAGGAAATTGATAAAGATATTGATATGATCATACAAGCATCAAAATATTCAAGAGCACAAAATGTAAAGTTCAGTTTTTTCGTGATTGATTTTCAATCTTCACTATACATTGGTAAATGAAAACATAAACAATTATATATATTTAAGAGTACATAGGGAATTCGAAACAATTCCTTATCTCTACGAGCCGATAACAAAGCGGGAATGAAATACGTGGGTGCCCATGAATGCATCTTGACTCATCTATTACTAAGCAATTGGAGAAAAAAATTGAGACCTCCCAGAAAATATGTACCTGTCGATAGTTCAATATATATTTTTATATATAAGGTGTGTAAATCAATGCAAACCCTAGTGTAGTTTCAAAACATGAAAAGAACGATAACAGAGACCATTAGTACAATATTCTTATAGAAGAACCAAAACATTAGGATCTCAGTAAGCAGATAGACCAAATACAGTTCTGACAACGTTGAGAGTAGCTGTCAGTTTTCTGCGTTCGTTAAAATCAGCGCAATGCTTGCATCTTCAGCGTAATGTTTGTACTTTCGTTTCAGACCAAACAAAAACCGCAGATAAGTTACCAATTAAATTAAATGAGAATATAATGTAAAGAAAAAATTACAACAAACGTCTAGTCAGAAGAACAACCGCTCATCATGCACATTAAAATGAAAATGTCATTTTTCACCTTTTTCATAACTTTCCCACGCATTCACGTGTACATTCTAATCAGCCAGACTGAGCGCGAAAGACAAACTTGCATTTGGCCAACGATTGAGATATTTTGAAGATTATATTTTTGCGATGTTGGATGGCGTTGAAGACAATGATAATTTGATAAAGATGATAAACTGAGAATTCAAGACGAATTTAGAAAAGAAACGTTGAATGAATGAAGATATTTATGAGATTAGGTCATCATTGCTCGTCATCGACATGGTCTTTTCGATCAATAAAGAGCTGAACATTTGAAGGAATTTGTATACAGCTCATGGCGGGTAAGTACATGAAGAAAACAAAGATTTTGAAGAAGATAGAGGTCGAACAAATAAATTGGGTAATTTAACAAATTCATAAGCCAACTTGCTACATAATCGGAGATTAAAAGTTGAGAGAGACATGTTCTGGCATTTTCGTTTACATTTAAGCTAAAATTTGTTTATGAAAGTGATATTTACGTATGGGAAATCGTTGACGAACGAAAAATGGGATGACGTTTTGGGAAGCAGCTGGCAAATGCTTACAGAATGCGAATATGCTTACGTTTAAATGAATATAGATTGAAAAAAAAACGAAAAGACAAAGTGATGATGAAGCAGGCAAAAACAAAGAGAGAAGGGGGGGGGACGATGGAGAAGAAAGACATCGAACATTATACAGCGCGACGATTATCTCCCGCAGATAGAAAGAGTGAAAGGAATACAGAACGGCTAACAGCAAATCGTGACAGCAGCCCAGATTCCTGGTTGCTGACGGTTGATTCGTTTCTCTCCCCTTCTCCCTTCAAGATATAAGTGACAAAATTGAGAACCAATGGAAGAGAGATAGAGAAGGACAGAAAAAGATTGGAGAATTGGTCCATGAACTCTCCGGAAGTAACACGTCCAATCATAGCTCCACAATGCCAATTAGCCTAGATTAACTCCTCATTTACTACAGAAATGATCTTGTTCGAGGCGAATTCAATGAAAAAACCTGGATTTCATCAATATTTAAACATTAATTCTTTCAAACGAATATTACACAAATCTTAGATTTAAAACAATGACCACACTTATAGCATATTTACAACTTCGCGATACAAAAAGACCAGTAAGGAAATTATGAACTTTGGACTATGCGAGACTTATAAGGGAAATTATTCAGAAGTACAGATGGTGACAAGACACAATGCCAATGAGTTATTTTTAACGATCTTATAATCAATTAAGAAAACCGGAAAATTTCCGGAATACTACGCACTGTCCGAGACAAAAATAAAAAATAAGTTTTTTGCTTCCCTTATATAATACTTGTAGAAGATCAAATGGCAAGAATCACATAACTGTATGGAGCACCGAGATTTTTGAGGGCAATAAATAAGATCTAAGACTATACTGATTTCTCATTAAAACTTTACGATTTCTTCCGTCTTGCTCGCCGTGAATAGAGTACTTCTGGCTATAGAAGAGGCAAACCCTGGAGATACTTTTTCGATGGTTTTATTGCTGGGTGGAGGAGATGTTTGAAATCTTAAATGCGACATTAAAGATTTATCTACACTTCTGTATACGACTTACGTTACTTTGGGTTTTGGCGGAACAGGCGGAGGACATCGTCCAGCACCAATTCCATTCAAATTATCGTAATTTATCCGACCATCAACAGTCATAGGCACCTGAACAACGAAAATGATTGTCGGTGGGATGTTAAACACTCACATTTCGCATTTTAGGGGGCAGAGTTGGCGGGGATCTAACTTCCCCTTTTGGAGGTAGCCCAGGCGGACTTTTATTCAAAGTGTCTTCGATAGTAGGGATCAAGTCCCGGACAGGACCGTTCAGTAACTTCGTTTCAACAATGTGGACTTTCTTTTGAGGAGAAAAACTTGTCACGCTCTCCACCAAATCTTCCTTGGTTGGCGTCACAGGCCTGGGTGGTGGTGACACTTTGCTATCAACCGGGAACTAATCCAAATAAACGTGATAAGAAAGCTTAACTATTACCTTATTCTTGTTGTTCTTGTTTTTTTCCAAAGTATTGTTGAGTGAAGGAGCAGGTGAAGGTGTGCTTTTCAGTGATGCGCCACATTCGACTAAAAGTTTGTAAGCTTCCTGCGCTTCAGGTGACCATTCCATATCTAGACTTGAGGCTGGAGGAGAAATTCTAGAAAAGCTAGAACGTTCAGGCTCGCCAATATACTTTGAATTTACGTGTTTTTGTCTTGTCCTTTTGATAAATTGGACTCCTGGAATTTTCCTTGACTGAGAACACTTTCCGCCCGTTTGTGCTCCTTAATCTTCAATGAAAAATTGATGGTCTAAACAGGGAGAGGGAGATAACCTGTTTCTCTTTCCATCTTCCCAACTCATCATTTGTCATCATTCGTACTTCGGTTACAGATTGTTTAATGGGAGATCTGAAAAAAAATTCGAAATTCGAAAAAAACAAAAACAATGATGCTTACACTCGTTTCGTTCTTGTCTCCTGACTAGATTGCAATAAAGGCCTTGTTTCCGAAAAATCAAATGTGGAGAGGGAAAAATCAGTTAAATCTCTTTCTAAGTTCTGCACTTCAGACTCCAGACGACAGTCGGAAGCGTTGGTTGTTCCATGCAAACCGGCACTGAACAAATGGGCATTGAATAGAAAAGTTTGGAGTTTCTAACTTTGGAGTCCGAGCATAAACAGCAGACACTGGTCCTGTTCTTTTCTTGGGCAGCGATGAAGATGTGTCTTCGAAAGCCAAGTTGGTTTGTTCCAAAGATCTGAAAGGATAATTCCGTCAAACAAGGATATAATTAGTAATAACCAACCTTATGGAATAGTCAAGTTCATCGAACATATCCTGAATCTCTTTTTGAACGCTACCCGAAGAGTTATCCTGTAATAAAAAGAAATGAAACGTACGAAGAAAAAATTCGTTTCCACCCACGTTTTCAAAAATAAAAGCAAAACATAATAAAAATTTTATCGAAAAACAAATCATAAACGTACGCTGTGGGAAAGGTTGGAATGGCTTTTAACCCCGAATTTCAAAGTACCAGGTTGTGAAGGCGCTCTTATTTGAGGAGGACTGGTAGGTTCCTGAAGGTCAACTTATCCGGCATCTCATGAAACACAACAAACCGATAGAGCAATATCTCGTAAAGACATAGTTTCTTTCAAAGATACGCCATCTCTCAAAACACCTGGACGGAAGTTTACAGTGTTTGAGCGTGTTGTCGAAGGAGAAATTGGTGGAGGCACGAGTTCCTTCTTATCTAACTTTAATGAAAAAAATTAAGAAGGACTCAAAAACAGTATCACCTGAAGCAGTCCAAAAGCAGTACCATCTATTCCTACGTGACAGGTATGACGAACTTCCCCGACGGGTTCACTAATTAAAGCTTTTTTCTTTTCTCGAGCTTCCAATTTACTCTTTAAAAAAAGGAGTGATGCTGAGAAATAAGAGAAAAAAATTATTACCTTTTTAGAATTCTTCTTCTCCTTTTCACCTTTCTCTCCTCCTCCTGATGGCATACAACTCGGCATTAGAACAGTGTTGTTAGAAGGAATCTCAGCACCTAAAAATTTTAAAATAAATATACCGTGTACCAGTGTACTTGTAATAACCTAAATAAGCCACAGTGTCAGTTGGTTTGAACAGTCCAGTCTGTCCATTAGATAGCGAACCGTACCAATAAAAACCATCAGGATAAGTTGAGGGTCTTAAGTACAGGCTAAGGTGTGAGAAAAAGATAGAAATAATACGTTTTGTCGATAACAGTAATCAAATCATTTTTACTAAACTGCAGGTGATCAAACACTCCATCTCTAACATCACTCACTGATCTTAATGTTTGAGGTAATCTATAATGAGTTTACATTCAAAACGTCTTCTGATGTAATGTACCTATCAGGAAACTGTGAAACAATCAGAGCAAAAGTAGGACGTTCAGTGTATGAATGTGTCCAGCACTCTTTCATAGTCTCATATATATCTTCAGGACAAATTGTGGGACGAGGAAGACATTTTTTTTTGATATCAACCGCATGCAAAATCTGTCAGCTTTTCATAAACAAATGAACTTATAAAATAAAAAACCTCAGCTCCGTTCAAACCATTCCACGGCATATCACCATATGTGAAAAGTTCCCATAGTGTTACACCATAGGCCCATACATCAGAAGCAGATGTGAACTTCAAACGCAACTTCAGCACATGAAATGATGAGAAAACTCACCCTCAAGAAATTGATGCATTCTGGTGCACACCAAGCTATCGGTAGCTTCAATGAGGGACTAAATTCGCTACGATAGTAATCTTCTCCCACTCCTAGCGAGCGTGAGAGGCCGAAATCGGAAATTTTAACCTGGAAACATGCGTAAGTACAAGTCAGTATTGATCGTTTCAACCTTTTTGGGAGAAAAAACAAGAACGTTTCGAGCAGCAAGATCGCGATGAATCAACCTTTGAGACTCTAGATATGACATTCCCTACATAGCAAAACATAAAACAAATCGGATTGGTTAACAAAGGGTACCTTAGCAATTTGTTCAGCATAATCACACAAAACATTCACAGGGAAAGAATCTCGTAAAGCCGGCTTATGCAGACATTCTAACAGGGAACCATAAGCAGCTAACTCAGAGACAAGCATAGTTCGTTTGGTGTCAAGCACAACTCCATAAAGACGAACCTTAGGTAAGAACACTTAACAAAACCTTGGAATTTATTCCCCACCACATTTTCATCTTTCATTCTCGACATTATGGAAGCTTCTTGGAGGAAAGATGTTGAAGATGTCAACATCTTCTCTGGTGATATGCATTTGACTGCTACCTTCAAACATTATTTACATTGTGCAACAGGAAATTGAAACTCGATATACCTGCATATCAGTTCCTGATACACCGCCCTTCCATGTGGCTTGCCAGACCGATCCGAACTCCCCACATCCTAGTTCTTTACATAATGATATCCTGAGGAAAGGAATGTTGAATGAAAAAAACTCCAAACCAACTTTTCAGGAAGAATGACATGTTGATCTTCATCATCGTCTTGTGCAGATGCACTGTCTTTTCTATCACCAGGTTCGTTTCGCCCGAAAACTTTTTTCAACTTTCCAACAAAACCAGAATTGAACATTTTGTCATATTCTTTGCGAAGTCTTTTTTGTTCAGGCCTACTCATACCTAAATGACACTCAGGGTTTGGAGGATAATGCCTCTAAAATACCAATTCCCGAGAGGTCTTGCTCTTCGGTATACTGAAGGTCATTGGCATTTCTGAGCTTGAGTGAATCACGCAGTTTATTCTCGTACCTGAATAAACAAAAACATATATAATTTGAATAATCAGACATACTTTTCCAAATCAGCCGCAATTAGTAAACGTGATAAAGTAGTGTCGACATCTGAAGATATCTTAAAAAGTGATCTTGCGAAATGAAATACCTCGACTAATAGTTTTGGTTTCCGCCATTGATGGCATGTTCTGTTAAACTTTATAATCCATAAGAATAGAAACCCGTAGAATCTGAAATTTCTTAATGAGATTATCAAACAGAAATCATTTGTTGAAGAACAATCGATATGAAGACAGAGACATATTAAGGAAAGCAAAAGAACAGGTTCGAAGTGAAACTATTATAGAAGAAATAGAAACATGTATAAAATAATTGTTTCTAATCATAAAGCTATATTACTGCCTACACGCAACCATCAGTATAGGTGTGACCGCCGGGTTGACTCTGGGAGCAGCCGATATGTTCAACCGGTCAGTGCCATTCTCAATTACAAAATGAAATGAAAAGCCTAAAATCAGACTTGGCGAAGTTTCAACTAAGATCGATGACGTAGTTTAAAGAAAAGGCAACGCTTTCCCAATACCAACATAAGGAGAGTGTACAAACGAACAGGTGTTCATTGGCATTATATATTTCTTGACATCAAAGTGTACGAAATCTCAACATTACTACCCGTGGATCACATAATCTCGCCTCTAATTACCGAATAATACATGGTGTTCAAGCAACAGCAATAGAAAGCATTCAAAGGCATTTCAAAACCTCAGAAAAAAATAAGATGCTTCAAGAACAAAAATAGAATTTATTAACAAGGTAACAACAACAACATAACAGTATGGACTTCTATCTTCATCTGCGCTTACGATTATTTCATAATACTTCGGCCAGACTTCACAGTTCTCTTCCGTTTTATGGCTCTTACAGCGGATTTTTTGAGCTTTCGCCTCTCGACCTGATCATCTGATCTGAAGACATAAGAATAAAACAAGCTTACAGAAAATACTAAAAGTTTTACCTAGTTTTTTTGCTTGCCGTCGAGAACTTGTACTGGTCAATCTTGGCTTCTTGACTTGAGTCGACCTTCTTTGTTTTCAATTTTTGTACTGCTACACGCTTCTGCAAAAAAATGAACGTCACTTGTAACCATTTCCAGCAAACCTCGATCTGCTTTTTCTTCATCAGCTTGGTAACTCTAAGTATTCTTTTATCATACTTGATATCGGGAGTTTGAAGAGCTAAGTCGACGTAATTTTTTTCCTATAAGAAGCTATAATGATTGAACTTTTCAAAATTTTACAACTTTGAAGCAAACGAAACCAAATCCTTTGCCGATTCCTGTATCTTTATCTCTTGTTATTCTTACGAATTCGACAGGACCAACGCTTTCTTCAAACACAGCAGCTACCTCATCTTCTTGGGCAGTGAAAGGCAGGTTTCCTAGGAAAATCTGTTGATAAATGAATGAAGGTACGAAATACCGATATAAACAGTTGTATTTTTATCATAATCTTTCTTCTTTGACAGTGTAGATACTCGAATTTTATGCCCGTCGATTTCTTCTCCGTTCCTTGAAAAAAAAGCCGTTAAATGTTTAAAAGATCATTCACAAACTTTTCCAAAGCCTTTTCTACGGATGCTGCTTCCTTGAACTTCACATAAAAGAGAACAGACTGCTGATTCCAATGGAACTTGCGCTTTGTATTACAAATTCGTTTTGTCAACGCTTCCTTAGATGGAACTACACCCCGCATCCGTATGGATTCGATCTGAACAAATGGAAAATATGCAAAAACCAAAAAAAGTGAAGTTCTTACCGCTCCATAAGGTTTGAAAAGAGCCCGAATGGTTTTCTCAGTACATGATATGGGAGCGTTTCCAATGAAAATTGTTCTATCGTTTTCTTCAGTAGTGTTACTGTGCTTATGGAGTGCTCTTTTAGCTCTGCCGAGAGATTTCAACGTAAAAACCTGAGAAATAATGTCAAACCTCTGAGCATTACGATCCGAAGGTTTTTCACCCTTTTCGCGATTGGGTTTCTCTTTTGGTACCTCTTCTACCTTTTTCTTCTCTATTACTGTTGTAGATTCTCCTTGTATAGTTTTGAGAGCAACAGTATCTACGTGGATAAATTAAAGACTCTCTTTCCGCAAAGTCTAGTACTCACTTATGATTTCTTTATCCGACTCTTTACCAAATATGCTCGATAGCATACCAGGCACATAGGCTTCTGAATGTACTTTTTAACCAATTAATGGATCGCACTATTCACCTGATGGGGTTGACGCAGTAGTTTTTTTTTGGATTTTGGTTTTTTTCTTCTTCGGCTCATTCAGTTCCTTTTGACCTTCTGTTACCACAACACGCTTCACTTTCTTCTGTTTTGGTTCAACAATCTTGGAAGTTTCTTCGATCACATCTTCGGGAGTCTTTTTGACGACGTTGTCGTTATTTTCAATAGTTTTCTCTTTGAGAACTTTCTTAGTTTTCTTGATCGCTCCCATCTGCAATAAACAATGCGAATGAATTAAAGAATAAAGAAAAAAACATGTTAAGGCATTCCTAAAGGTGAAAAACAACATGAAAATTAGGCTGGTTTATCGAATAAACACGGAAAGTTGTAAACAATAACATGAAAGAATAATATAAAAGTAAGATCAGAATAATCCGTAGAGAGGAGCAGCAGTCATTGCCTGACTCATCATTGGTGGAGCCATGTGAGGTACATCGTCGTTTATACGAGAATCAACACGGAATGCAACCTTGAAGGGATACAGTTAGTGTTTGACATTTCGAAAAAAAGTTACCTGGAGGAAGAACTGTTTGCTGTCCTTATTCCACATATACCAGAACTTGTCTGATTTGTCGACTTCTCTAGAAGGAATTTTGAATGCAATAGTTTCGTATGGTTCAGCAGCAAATAGCAGATATTGCCATCTAGAAAACTCTAGGGTAAACTCAATATTGGAAAACGAGAGCTTGCCTTTTATCTGGTGGTTGAATCTTTTGCTCGTAAGCAGACATGAAACGATGACGAGGAATTACTCCTTCTGCTACTTCAGGGTAATCAATTTGGAAAAGCAGTGCTTGCTGTCCAGACGCAGGATCTCTTTCTCTTGTTACCTATTACTAATAAGATGAAAACTACTAGTAAAAATAACAAACCTTATAACCAGGTCGACCAATTTTTACAAACTTCTTCAATTCGACTTTCGGAACTGCAGGAGCTGGGAGGTAGGGAAGCTCTTGTTGTTCCTTGGCAGCTCTTCTAGCCAAGTTAGACTGATGCTTCTTTCCTTGTGTATGTGTAAGATATGACGCTAAAAGCAAGATGAAAAAGAATTATAGCAGTATTTGAACCTAATACACCCACCTTCATTATTGTGGAGGGTTAGACAGAGTTTACATTCATAAGTACCGATGTGATTTCTCATGAAATAAGGATCTTTCGCGAGATCAATGGTTTCTAAGGCTAATTGCCTGAAAACTTGAGGTTTAACTCAGAACTGGGTAAATGTGAACCTGAGACGTTCTTTTCTATCAACTCCTGCATCTGAAGCAGAGGCTACTCCTCCTCCTCCTGTTTTTCCTCCAGCTCTGTTTTGGAAATCCATCTAAAGAAGAATTAAAATAACACTAAAATAGGTAACGAGACTTAGATACGTAAAACTGTCAGAAACAGTCAGGAACTGAAACTTGGAATAAGGGTTAAGAAGTCTTTACATTATTATACGCACCGAATAAATTATACAAGTGAATTAATATCAACAAAGTTAAATCGTCAAAGTACTGAATGGGATTTACAGTACGCTCAAAACATGGCTACGTATCACCATAAAGGTTAATAGACCCGAGATCAATAAGTATGCAAGAGTGTTGTACAAAAAGGAAACAAAAATGAAACAAATTGTTACAGCTTCCAATCGGATATTAGCTTGAGTAGATTCATTGGGAGCATTGTGCGGTCCCATTGGTCTCTGAAAAGCCGTTTGGAGAAAATTCAGTTTAACTATCTTACTTGTAAGTGTGGATCAGTTGAGTCATCTCAGCGGCTAATCTTTCTAAGTCAGGTATAGGCCACGAACGCGTTTTTTCGATAGCCTGGACGTGAATGATTATAGGAAATTATAAATCGGGAGCTTACTTCATCCACAACATGATTCAACTGAGCTCTGTCGATTTCGACAACCTTTATATCATCTGTGGCAGAGGCTACATCGAGATGCTGAAATCGCTTACAAATATAGAAAAAAGTGAACCGATTTACCAAGTTAGTAGGTTCTGTATTCGTTGTACAAGTATCGTTAGTTTCTTGACTCGATTCAAGTTTGATAGATACATTGCAATCCATGTGTTCATTCGTTTCATCTACAACGTTCTCAGTCTCATCGCAACCTACTCCGGCATCTTCGCGAAGGGTCGACCCTTCTGACGTTATAGCTGCTTCTACCTCAGGCTTTTCTTCGTTATCGGAACCTTCGATTACGACTTGCTTAGTTGCAATCTCAACATCTATATCTATTGCCTCAGTGGAACCCCTATGAGTAGAGAATCTATACAAAAACCATTCGAGTTAATACTTACTGGCTAAGAGACATAGCGATTGACTTGACAATTGCTTGTGATTTCTTCTTCTTTTGAGATGAAGAGTAGGTGGCTCTTCTGTATTTGGCCATTCTTCCAACAACTCGTCTTCGAACCTTTCAAGAAAATTATTAAAAAAAAATATCAGGAATAACTTACAACTGGATTAGATTTCTCACCAACTGATGAGACAACTGCGATTCCGTTTGCTTGAGCCACAATACCCTTCCGAACGTTTTTGAAGCAGTTAACTACATTCCATTTAGTGTCACGAACAAATCCTTTGGGTAGATCGAGAAGCTTGTCGTTAACAGGAGTGATTTCAGCTTCTTTGAGGAGACGAGAAGTTTCTTCGAGTTTATCAACAAAATCTTCATCAAACTCTTTCTCGAAATACTCTTCTACGATATCTCTGAGAGCCACTGCGCTATGCCGTATAGTTTTTCCATAAAGATTATCTGATGGATTATACTCAAGTGCATTAGTTACAATCAAGTTGATATCCGAAAGAAATTGGTCAGGGTGAGTATACTCTCTTCTGAATTGTTATGACTATAGAATTATTTTGATGACTGAACGAACCTGTCCGTTTTTGCCATCATATCGGTCAAACACATAGGACTTTTGATTATGGTATAATAATCTTCAGCTTCTTCCTCATCTACTGGCTCAGCGAACACTGTGAAACGTCGGTCTCGCACGAGACGTCCTAATCATATATAATTATAAAAGACAATATGAATGTACAAAACCTAATTGATCACGCAAGAAGATGCGGAATTCACGCAACTGGTTACTATAAAGTTTTTCCAGTTCTTTTGCTTCATTGCCGCCCAACTTTCTCGCCGGACCATCCTCATGAGTTGCTTTTTCTGGCTCAACATACTTGGTACCTGAAGAGTTAGAAATTACTCAGCTGAGATAAAGTTAATTACTATCAAATTCTACAGGCTCTTCAAATGCTGGGGTAGTGAGATGTTCGAAATACTTGCGTCGCGTTTTATCGTCCGGTGATTCAATTCTAAAGAACAATAAGGAATAATCTCGAGTGCTCAACTTACTCAAGACAATTGTTGATTCTGAAGATTTGACGAACTTCAGTTTGACAGGAAACGTATGAACACTCAGTTGTGGCTAAGAGCATAACACCCGTGAAACCCGAAAGCTGATCGACAGCACTTTTAAGCTGAAATTAGTTAAAATGAATAGAATACAAAAAGCGAAAAGTACCATGTGAGAAACACTCAATGGAACTACATTGTACCACTGGTCAATACAAGGGAGCAGGATGATACATGGGCCGGAGCTTGCGGCTCTAATCACAGACTGTACTGTGTTAGTAAAAGCCTCCTGAAAAACTATGTCAACCGGCAAAAGAAGATAGTTGTCACCTCAGGATGTCCATCTTGGAACAATTTACCAACAGAAAGGGAGTACACAGGTAAGTGATCAAGACGCCCGAGAAGCGAAGGCAATACATGAGACGATTGTCCGCAATTTGAATAGTTCTCCGAGCCACAAAGTAACAAGCGGACTTAAACTACTTGTTGAGAAAAGCAAAACGAGATAATCAGACCTGCAGGCACAGCGGGAGGTTCTTCCAAAGCTCTCACTATTTTCTCAAGTTCGTTCGAGCTAATTGCATTGATAGACTGAGATCTTTGATATCCCGTAGGAATTTGCGAGGATAAAAGCAGATTCAGAACAGGAGTGAGTAGAATAGACGTTCTATCATCTAGAGGACGAGAAGGAATAGATAGATCTGAAAAATCCCGCTTTTTCAAAAATTTAAAACAAACGAATTATAACCTCTACGGGATGCTGGGGTGATACGTTTCATTGCCTTGAGTATGTGATCCTTGCCAACTTTAATAGATTCCAAATCTAGCTTCAAACGTTCGCTCGACATGTAGATATGAGGATATCGACTACGAAGAGAAATTAAAACAGCTTCCGTACATAGATACTAAAATGAGTAGAATCTAATACGACGTCATGTTTGCTTGGTTGAAACCTTCAAATCAGCACCACAATAACCGCTTGTATTATTAGCCACCAAATCAATATCTTCCTGACTCGGTTGATTAGTTCCCCATTTTGAAGTATGGATATTGAGGATTTGCTTTCTTGATTATGACAAATGAGTATATAACTTCATTTAAAGTTCTAACCTGGCAGAAACGTCGGGAAGTGAAAACTTCAACTCTCGATCAAAACGTCCGGGACGGCGTAGAGCAGGATCAAGCGTGTCTAATCTGTTCGTTGCTCCAATAACCACCACCTAGAAATAGTATAAAACACGGTTTACTGATCTTGAACATACTTCTCCTCTGTTATCAAGTCCATCCATCAAAGCCAACAAAGTGCTCACAATACTGGCATGAATTTGATCTTGCCTAGATGATCTCACGGGAGCTAGTCCATCAATTTCATCAAAAAATATTATTGAGGGCCTCATTGCGTAAGCTTGATCAAACAAAATTCTTAAAAAAAAAGTTTTTCCCTCATTGCTTCAGAATTCACCTCAATTGTCTTTCTGATTCTCCTACCCATTTACTCAAACAATCAGCACCCTTTCTCATGAAAAAGGCAACCTAAAGCTACAATGTATCCCGAATGAGAAACCTATCACTACCTTCCGATCACCGCGACTGCACTCATTTGCTAGAGCCCGAGCAACCAATGTTTTTCCTGTACCTGAACAGAAACCGAGAGTCACATAATAGTTCTATTTTATGTTACCAGGAGGTCCGTAAAAAACAACGCCTTTGGGGGGAGCAATGTCGAATTTCTTGAAAACATCAGGGTAAAGCAAGGGGAAGAGTACAACTTCTTTCAGCGACTGAATATGATGACCCAAACCCCCAACCTGAGAGAGCAGATGGAAACTTAGAGAAAGTAACTAACAAACCTGTTCAAATGAAACATTTTTGTCAATTCCCATAGGATCGATATCACTACAAGAAGCTCCTGTTTGACGTAATCGTTCTCTTATAACCCCATGAGAGGATGAAAGATCTTTTTCTTTAAAAATAACATGAATTGGGCGAAGATTGATCATCGTACCGGTTAAATTTACAGGTACAAGACGATTCCGGGCTTTCATCATACTGATTTCCTTCCTTATTGCGAATCGTTCATCATCTACACGTGATTGTCTGAACTCACGATCATCTTCATCTCCTGTGGAGGAAGAGTCACTTCGACATATTCTTCTTCTATGAGCCACTTTGTTATGGATAGCAAATGATAGAAACTTACTTATAATCACGTCTCATCTTATTTTGACGATGGTTTCTGTCTTTGATTCTATAGCGATCATCACGGAACCGGGAACTTCTTTGCTCAGATCGATTGACTTCAACAGCATAACGCTCAACAGGATTCCGTCTTGTTCGAAGTGAATATTGGCGAGGACCTTCATCCTTAACAGATTGAAGCTTGAACAAATGAAAGTCAAAAATAAAATTTACCTCACTACTCTCCAAAATAGGTTCCTCTTCATCATTTTTGGACTTTTCTGGGGTAGGTTGATCGTCCTCTTGATCTCCTTCTTCTTTATCAATTGCTGTAATTTCACGCTTTTCTCGTCTTTCCTGTCTTTGTGTTCTTGGAGACACAATACTAGCTTTCAAATCCGAGCTAGAGCTGGCTCTCATCTTCGGGCTATTAGTCTCTGACTGCCTGTAATTCATACTTGTTTGTTTAACGTGACTTTATTTCATACCTGTTTCTTTTGACACGATCATAAATAGTGGACCCATCATTACTTAACTGATTATCCAAATCATTCTTCAATAAAAAAAACTAACTGCGCCGGAAGAGTGAACTCACATCATCTTCTTCAATAATCTTTCTTCTCTTAGGATTTCGCCTGAGCTCAGATGACGTTACATTTTCATCGTTTATATCATTAATAGTTGTGTTATCACTGCGTGTTAATCTGTGACTTAAAACACAGTGTGAACAAAATGTTTTTCATGAACTTCACCTTGAACGTCTTGGTATTATTCTTTCTTCTTCATCACTTATTCCGAAATCATCTTCTGATTCTGCATAACGAAGAATTTTACGCCCTCCTCGTGTGTAACCTGGTTTAGTATGAGTATTTAATTCCTGAAAATAACAATTCTCATACAAATCTTCAAAACTTCAAAAGACCCTTTCTCTGAGTTCATTGGCTCGGCCTACAAGTTTCTCGATCTGAGAGTTGAAAACATGGTCACATAAACCATTTTCCTCCAAACTTCGATAAATTGTAGACCTATCCCGTCCAGATCGTCTCAAATTCTTTTGGGGAGAAACTGAGTCAATCCTACGGACCATACTGAAAAATTACTTCGTATTTTAAAACAATGGAGACGTTAGTCTTATGATTGAGAACGAGAAAGTGGAACATGCATAACGATGATGAAAACATGCGAAGCCTGATATTCAACAGAGGAACGATGATTAACTGTGACTATGTTTTTTTATTCAAACTTCTCATTTGAGCTTATAATGATATGGATCTTATTTTCATTTGTTTTGTGTAATTAGAAGTAAAATCAATTAGAAAAGTATATGACTTACGAATTCTTCGATTTTAAAATTATTTACCACTATACGCTATTCGCAATGGAGCACGCCTCAACATGGCGAATTCAAATTTCTGCGAGCTTGTCAAGCCATTTTCAGAAAAGCGCTTCAATTATTGGAGAGAATTTTGGTGAATATAAAAAATATATATGTCACTCTTCGATGGTGATATGATCTTTCAGTTTATTAAGGTGTTAACGCAGGTTCACAACAATTGATCAACTATTGAACGCTAAAGCACAACCAACATTTTCCAAAGGTATGGTTCGTAACTGAAAAGTTCAGATGTTCTACTCGTTTCGACTAGGTTTAGTTTTAGAATTACACATAACCGGTCTTAATTAGTTGAAAGCTGTAGAAATGAGCCTGTAGATTATCCTTTCTCGGTTTCGTTCAGGAAATGTGCATTGATGTTTTTTTTTGGCACAGTACTACAGTATAGTCTTGTTAGCATGCAGTAGATTTCATTCTAAAGTTGTATGTTACTCTTTGCGGTTGTGGAAGCACTCGTTCTCAGTTCATTTAGTTATATTTTGTTGTTTTTCATGTTTGATGGTTACAATAAATACTGTCCTCTAGTTCTCAGTCTTGACCACATTTCAGCACAGGGTTCCTGGTATCTCAATCCCAAAAAAAATTTCTGATAGTATTTGCAAATGAAGTGATAACTGGAGACATGATGCGCAACTAAAAAAAGTGAGGAAGGATTAGTAGTGGGAACAGGAGATTTCTTTTCAGGTCCCTCAGAGCGTGAACACATGAGCTGGTTTAATCGAGCAAAATGACAGAGACCCCACATGTTCTCGAGAACGTTATTATAGAAACGTAAATTTCATTTATAATATTTACTTTGACTCATAGCCTCTAAGCCCAACGAACCATGATTTCACTATAATCCGCTAACAAGTGTGGAACGGCTTGACAACTTCTTAACGACACCTGATAAGAGATTAAAATTAAATGTGAATAGATAATTTCTTTTTCTTTTCACGAGTTTTATACAGTTTTTTTCTTTAAAACTGAGTAATCAGCCGTCTGAATTGAGCATTTTCGTCTATATCTATCATACTAACTATGCGATTGATCGGATGGGAGGTGATATTAATATTCACGATCTGCCTCCAACAGGTTCTACTTCCTTATACAATTCAATGATGAATATTGGATTTTAGGTATTGACTGAAGATTACTGCTCCAATAATGGCGATCTCGATGTCTCCAACATACGGCCTCTCAAATGCAAACGTACTGATTCTTCTCGTGTCATAATCATTTTACTTTTATTATTTAGTTGGAGTGAATCAAAGACAATGTGTGAATTGGCGCATCCCGATGGCCATTTACTTGAGAAATGCGGATCAAGGTTCGGAACAGAATGTTCTTAGTAGTATTCTTGGCTTCATGAAACAAGTGAAGGATATGCTACTATTTTTTTCTTTCAACTGTTCACTAATACAGGCCGCTTTTTACTGTGATAATAACAGCTATACTCAACTGTACATACCTGGACCTTACGCGGAAAACAAGTGTCCAAAATTCCACTCAGTATTGGAGCTACCTTAGATTTGACTTCTTCTTTCATTTAGATTACAGATTCCATATATTCAAACATCACTTATAAAACAGCAGCGACAGCAAAGCTTGAGCTGGAAGACGTCGATCAAGATTCCCCGGGATATATACTTTATAACATGCTGTACAAAATGGTTCTCCGCAGTTCAACGAATCACTTCACGCTAGCCAATTTCAGAAAGAATGTCTTCTACAGACCCCTCTGTCATCAGATCAAGGTGGAGCAGCCTTTGTATTCACAGATATCACGTACGAACAAATGTGTGACGATATGTTTCTGGCCAATTCCGTACGTTGAATTTTATCATTTACGTTTTTTTTTTATTTTTCAGCCGTTTCAGTTAGGCACTCTGATTGCTGAACTTATTTCCAATAAGTACTCCGTTGTCTTCCAACTATTTTCTAGTAAGTAACCTAAACATACTGTAGTCAAGTGAAAAACCTTAGGGCAACCCACGGAAGACTTTGTGAAATTCCAACAGCTCTTCAACGTATGTACCAAATTGAATGACTGTTATCTGTTTCTGAACGCATATGAAGATGATTGGAGTTTCGATGGTGTTTGGTTTGAAACTTGTCCTCGCTATGGATTGGAAATGCCGGAAGGAGGTATGATTTTGTTATTATGCTATGATTATAAGTTTCTTCAGAAATCATATACTTAGTGAGCTTGTGTGCTTCTTGTGTTGTGCTATCATTGGCACTTTTCTGCGCTTTCTTCCAAAAAACTCTACGAAAAATGAGGCGTTCGAGAAAGCAGATGTTCGATTCTGTTCACAGGCAGAAGTTATAACAATAATTTCAGAAACAATGATTTTTGCACAATTATCAAACGGGAGAATGATAAAACATCTTCTCCTACGATGGATATCATAGCTGATGACTGGGAGATCAATCTGACCGATATTCTACTGAAAGACTCAGAAGTGTTAGGCTATGGAGCCTTCGGAACAGTATTCAAAGCTATAATTGCTGAAGGTGAATTTTTCTACCGTTTCCTAGTTTTCAATGTATTTCATTCCAGGAAAAGTACCATTGTTACAAAAGCAAGGATATGCGGTGCAGCCTCTTATATGTCTTCCAGATGGAACATACGAGGTGCGAATGTTTTTTTCCTCTAATTTAACTTCGTCTGTCAAAGGCAGCGCTGAAGCGGCTTCCAGAACATTCAATCAAGAGGAATATAGCTGATTTGAGAAATGAAATTCAGTTTATGAAAGATTTGGGATATCACCCCCATGTTATAAGGCTCGTTAGTTTGTCTACTGTTTCAACTCGTCTTCTTTAGTATGCTTGGATGCGTCAGTGTGAACGATGATCCAATGCTGGTTCTGGAGTACTGTGAGCATAAAGATCTCCTCAATTTCCTCAGAAAACATCGTGGTAACTACATGGACTCAAACATGAAGAATGAAGAAGAAGAAGATTTTTCCCTCGAGTTGTTCGACCCACCTAGCCCCATGGCAGAAAACAGTGGAAGCTCTTTCATCCCCATAATAATCACCCCAAAAACTTTGCTATCCTTAGCCTGGCAAATTTGTGATGGAATGGTAAGACAATTTTCGCTTTCCGATGTTGATATTGATACTACCTCAGACTTACTTGGTCAGTAAGGATATAATACACAGAGATCTCGCTGCCAGAAACGTTCTGCTTAACTCTCGATTAGTGGCGAAAGTAAATCCACATTGTTTTTTTTTGCGAAAATCTTCAAGTGTTTGTTCTAGATTGGAGATTTTGGTATGTGCCGTAGATCCAAGGACGTTTTTTATACTTCGAAAGGAGGTAGACTTCCCGTGAAATGGATGGCTCCAGAGTCTTTGAAGTTCTTCAAATTCTCTTCCAAAACCGATGTGTATGTTTTTCTGTGTATTTGAAATTCATATGCTATTTTAGATGGTCCTATGGTGTTGTTTTGTATGAAGTCTTCTCATTGGGCTTAACTCCATACATAGCAGTGGATCCAGAATATATGTGCGATTATCTTGACGAGGGCAACCGATTACCAAAAGTGGATAAGTGCCCAGAGGAAATGTTTGTTTCATCCTAAACGCTGAAGTGTACACTCAATATTAGATATGAAATCATGGAAAAATGCTGGGAGGCAGATCCTGAGAAAAGACCCTCTTTCAATGAGGTCCTGAACTGCTGTTCGTTCTAAGAACCTTTACTTTTTTCAGATAAGACAATCATTGGCTACGTTTCTGAATGAAAGTGATGGAAATTACAATTACGTCGACTTGATGAATCCTCCAATGAACTTGTCGTCGAGTCCTTGAAACGGAGTAGGAAAAGAATCAGAAAAGAGCTTTAATTTTTGATATCTCATACGAGTTCCAAAACTACTTTCTAGACTCACAAAGAAGTGTTTTCTCTTCAGGAGACACTGAAGCTTTAGCTGGAAAGCAGTTGACGAAATTCGTTTATTACGGTTATTCTTATTTATGCTTGCGATTGAACGATTGAATATTCATATTTGTTAAGATATGCCATATAGTTTAGTGTTTTCAATAAACATTTTTCTGTGTTTCATAGACTGAGAGAAAGACTGCAGCTAATATGAAAACATCTTACTCGTCATTGTTATTTCATATCACATAGAAAGAGAACAGTAACAAACTAAAGTATAGCGAGTACATTCTAAACAATTGATGTCACTATTCTTCTGCATGATGAACAAACTCTTTCATAAAACGTCAAGCATTAAACAAATTCAGGAAATTCGGTCGTATTACATGAAAGCTTTATTCTGTTATACCTCTCCACTCTCTAAAGAGCAACTTGCACATAACGTGAAATTCACGTCGGAATCACATTGTGTGCAATACGTAATGTAAACTTTACATTTTTGATTTGGCGTCTGCACGATACTTCTTGTCAGGCAATGCATTCGTCTGTTGTTTTGTAGATATGATTTCGATTCAACTCTTCCTATGATATAAATGAATTATTATTCTTTGATAAATTTATTTTCTAGCTGTTCTAGAAGGCGAATGCCACTCCCTGTTCCAAGTCTCATTAAAGATGGCGAATCTGCTGATGCTCGTTTACTAAGCTTGGACTCATGCCACAAAATCTTCATTCCCCGTGATTATTCCACAGGATTAAACGTTAAGTTTGACACAACCTATCCATCGAAGTTTAGTGGAACAGGGGTATGTTCTCACCTGTATGTACGTAATGAATGAAGTTTGTTATTCAGATAACGGAGGAAATATGGACTAATACTATAACTACAATCAATAAAATTTTTGAAGAAGCAGAGAGTGTATGATCATCACCATAAACTTTGAATTTATATGACTGTTTAGGTGGGATGGTCTTCGTTCTTCGAAACCATAATCGGATGTGCAACATGTTATATTAGTCGCATCTTCTCCTCCACGTTGTACGAAAAGAAAATTTCGGAGTTAGTGGAGTTCATTGAGAGACAAAATAGAGATATTTATAAACCTTCTGACGTGTATATAGTTTCTCCTATGGAAAGGGGATTGAGAGTTGTAAGTTCTCAAACTTCATCTGATGTAAGCATGTTGATTTAGATTGAAATTAGTTTATTGGGTACAACGACAAATGAACCATTGGATCGAGTTGATAATGCCAGAGGTAACACTGCTTAACCCGAAATCACTTATTTTTCTTTTACAAACCTCGGACGCATGTTTCTTTTTAAATTTCTATTGTAAATTATTCATATCTAACTTATTTCTCTGAACTCCATAATCAAGAGAGACTTTTATCCAGCAGGGGACTGCAGTACATCTTATATAATAACTTTAAGGTTCTATTTCTCAACATGAGTTTTGTCAATTTGTATTCTCGTATGTGTCTGTAACCTTGTCTTTTACGAAGCTTTTTCAGAAAAATGCTTCAATTTTGTCAACATTAGCCACTAATTATTTGACAGTTATCCTTGCTACTCGCATTATATATTCTCTTACATTCTATGTTGTTTCAGAAGTTGATTAATGAAGCAAAATTGAACCAACCACTTAGCGTACTACTCAGTCACACCTGAATTTTTCAAATCAACATTACACTCATGAGTTTTTCAAAGACAATTGCTCGCTGTTTCTCTTTTTTTCATTCATCTTAGCTCTAGCTTATCAGATCGAAAAGCGGGTATTTCATTCGATTTCCCCCGATGATTTCCATATACAGAGCAGATGTTATGTAGCCTTTCGTACTGCAATCAATAGAGAAGAGCGTGCCACACTACCACCGAACTAAAGCCACATCCCACCCTCCATCGTAATTAGAGGGAACGCCTATGAACAAAATGAAAAGGCACTCTCTCCTCTCTTCATAATTTCCATTTCGAAAATCAACACTTTTCTCGAACGCACATGTTCTTTATACTCTGATTTAAAGTGAGGTCTATTAAAGATTTATTTACCTCAAACGAAAGACATGAACGCTATTGATCTATGTGCGAGGAGAATCATCGAAATTCATTGAAATACATCAATAATTGCTTTGTAATATTTCTGTGAACTTGTTTGTTGTCCGACCTATGAATCGAGTTCTCTCATGAAATGCATTGTTTTCTTTCCAACTTCTTCTTGCTTTCATGTTAAGTCATATATGACTAAACTGAGAACAAAAACAAACCAGATAGAGCAATACTGTTTCTGTTCCGTTTTGCGTGTTATGTTACAAGTCCCTTCTGAAAACTGGTGTAACTTAGGATTCAGCTATCAATGACAGAATGCTCCGAAGGCGTTTCGAGAATCTTATTCAAGATGGCATTGTTGAAGGACAGAGGTTCGCTTTGAGCAGTGATCTGTGGAGGTGAATTTAGTCATCACTTAGAAAATTTAGTGACGAACAGAGCGGGTAGAGCTCTCTTTGTTAGAAGAAGCACTACACTCTGTGTGTGTGTTTCCTGAGTTAAATGAGTTTGCGATGGCAAGCTAATTAGATAACATCTTTGTTTGATAATTAGAATACTTTTGATTTAATCAGATATGCTACGGCTACGGCTCACTGTGATTTACTTATTACTATGAAAGCTAATCCAAATGATCCGGAAGAGTCAAAGGAAGCAACAATTCAGCTAATTAATATAGTGAGTTGAATACCTTTGATACTTAAGTACAGGTATTCATGAACTTTGTGTTATAGATTAAGAAATATGAGCCGAATATCAAGATTCAAGTAAGACATCATTTGCTCAAAGATTGCTATGCTCTCTATATCACTGCGGATTATAAGAGGTGACGCTTCCGCTCTTGATTAAATAACAACCAATTTGTAGTTTACTGAAAGGGGCTGAGTTATGTCACATCAAGAAGCCAATAAAAAATAAGTTTGGTGGTGGACTGAGAGAGTTTTGTTTTGAGGACGCTCAGTTTTTCACGGGGGTAGAAGGAAGGAATACATTCTTAACTGGCATGGAAAGAGCTTTGATAGGTTTGATGAGCCAATTTGAAACTATGCTAGTTATTTATTCAAGTGAAACAAATGATCGATATGATCCGAGCTCCTGCAGGCGGGCTTAAAATAGAACTACCTGATAAACGGATAATCATAGGTGAAGGAATGGGCGTAGGTATAGTTATTGAAAAGGTCAGATTGTTGAGAAGTTTGTTTTTTCAAGTGTCAAGATTGATATCGAATGACATCGTGGAGAATGTGTTGCCACTACACAACTCAGATTTCCTTAAACATCTCCAACAGCGTTGGGTACTCTCTTTCGGTTCGTATATTGTTTCCGATGTCTTTGAAGTTTTTTTTAAGGAGAACAACCAATTGATATGATCAAAGATTACTTTGGTACGGAAATCGGGATGTATTTTGCTTGGCTAGGACATATGACAACAGCGCTTTGGTTTCCTGCCATATTAGGTGCGCTATTTATGAATACCATGATTGAATGTAATGTTAAGGAGTGCTGATGTTTTTCTTCGGCGGTTTCAAGTATCATAAACATGAGAGCGAGCACACTGAGAAAATGTCAGATTCTGAACAAGTTTGACTGTGTCTCCTGTTCATTTTTTATTCCTATTTTCAGTTATGGTCGGATATTTCATTTGTGGCTTTCGCATTCTTCAATTGTGTTTGGTCAACAGCATATCTGGAATCGTGGAAGCGAAAACAAGCTGAATATTCATTCAAATGGGGGACTTTCGATTCAAATTCTGATTTATTTCTACAGGATCCTCGACCAGCTTTCCAAGTAACAAATTCAGACTAAAAAGAAAGTAGAAGGAAACATTTTCAAGGGAGATTACCTTGCTCCGAACCCTGTATCAGGCCGTATGGAGCCATTTTATCCAGCTTGGAAGCATGCCATCATTAGATACGGTAGTAAAACTTCTTTAAAGCTTAGCTGAGTATATATTTTTCAGGGGTAACATATCCCCTCACCGTGTTTTGTGTATTATTCATGTTCATGGCTATGTTAGTCATTTTCATGATACAGGATGCTTTTGATTAGTTAGTGAAAGCTATCGTACTTTTCGTCATTTTCGCTTTTTCAGTTATTTCGGATCCTCATTCTTTTTAAAAATATTTTGTTATCTGCCAATGATTGTGTACGCGTTGATGATTGTAATCAGTGACAAACTGTACAGATTACTAGCGCTTTATCTGAATGATCTTGGTAACAAAAACAATATTTTGAAGACAATATGGAAAATTTTAGAAAATTATCGAACTGATGACGAGTACGAGAACTTCTTGATTACCAAAATAGTAGTTTTCCAATTTGTGACGGCATTTGGATCTTTGTTCTACATTGCCTTTTTTCTCAAGGATATGAAAAGACTTCAGGAGGTTGGTGTTGCTAGCTGCAACTTGCTTTATCTCAAATATTTGAGACGTTGGCCACTTTACTTATCACTCGTCAAGTTACTCAAAATATTATGGAAACTGCTGTTCCATTTATTATCGAAAAACTGAAACTGAGTCGTTTAACATACAAAATGACTAGGAGTATGAGTGATGAGACTTTGCGACGACACGTAGAGGAAGTTCGGAAGAAACGAGAGAGTTTCAGTAGCAGTACAGAAGAAGTTGTCTTGTTCAGTTGTATAGAAGCTTAATACTCGTTCAGTTTTCTCCTCCCCGGTCACCTACCTTTAGTCTTGGATCCCCAACTACAGAGATAAGAAGGCGGTTTTCTCAAAGACGCATGGTTGGAACGGATAATCAACTGCATTTGCTAAATGTAAGCTCCCTGTTGCTTTTCTCTATTTCTATCACCTGTCGCTAGAGAGCGGTTGTTCACACGTAGTGCTTTCTTTACAGAATTATCCCTCCCGGTCTGCTGACAGTTTCCATTTTCGTTCACCTCGTCTTCCTATCCCTGAGTTTTGTCCGGACTCCACAAATGGTATCCATTCTAAGTTTTGTAAATAACTAGCATGATAACATCAAGGTTTGGAACTGGGTCAAGCTGAATTAGAGAGTTTGATGTCTGTTTATGCAAGGCCTTTAGATGATTTTTTGGAAATGTTTATACAAGTTAGTATCGCTTGTAGTAACTTAATTACAAACCCTTTTCCTAGTTTGGCTATGTTCTACTATTCTCTCCTGCTTTTCCATTAGCTGCTTTTTGTGCCTTGATCAACAATCTCATTGAAATAAGAGTAGATGCCTTCAAGCTTTGTAATACAGTTCAACGTCCATTCGGCCGACAAGTTCGAGATATTGGCGCCTGGCAGAAAGCTATGGAGGTACTAGCACTACTGTAGCTTGGCTGAACAGAAATCTTTTCCAGATTCTCGGAATTGTTGGCGTTATTGTGAATTGTGCCCTGATTGGTCAATCAGGATTAGTTCAACGCATCTGGCCGGATTTGAGCTGGGGAGGACAGGTTTTGAAGCTCACTTTACGAAAAGTAATATAACTAGTACTAGGTTCTTATCATAGTAATATTGGAGCATATCATCTTAACATCCAAACTGATTATCGACGTAGCTGTACCGGATGTTCCTCACTGGATACGCATAGAGACTGCGAAGCAAGAACATTATAGACGAGAGGCGTTTAAGGTGTTTCATCGTTGTAATGAAATTATTACCCTATTTCGTTGTAGAGAGAGTCACGAATGAATATGGGAGATCGGTCACGAGAAGCATCACCTTCAACTACACCATTATCAGAAGAAAAACGTCTCATGCTGGATCGAAAGAGTTCATTTAGACAAAGGCGCTCGATGACACCAATGAGGCCAAGCTCGCTTCGTAGACGTGATAATAGTAATTGCATCGATTCTTAAATGATTTTTTCATGTTTTGACTCGGGTTTTTTTCTTACGGGCATTGTTTTTGATCGAATAAAATTTTTAATTTCATCATTAGTTCGTGCGCGCTATGAATGTAATGAGCTGACGGATGCGGTTGCTATGCAACGGCTATCTGAACAGTTTACCTCGCAACGCTCACACATCGGTCTTTGAGCAATGGATTTTCGACCTTTCGGGTTAGGTTTAGGCGTATTCATTGCTATTATTTTATTTCTAACATCGTTTCTGCTGACACTGATCGTCGGAAAAGCAAAAGGATTGTAAGTTCGTACGGGACAACAAGCCGTTCAAGAAATATTGACTTGCAGCTCGTCCACAGTAGGATATAATATTTTCTTCGTTTTATGTTTTGTTTTACTGTTCACTTGGCCGATAGAAAAGAACGAAGGAAAAAATCACTCCAATCAGGTCTACTTACCTTGTCCACTTAAAGAAATAATCGTTCAAGCTTTACAGACCCAGAAAACGGATTTAGTATTCTTTCCACGAATATGCCTATTGATTTTCCTTGTCATCGTTTTCATACGATTAATATCAAATACACTACAGCACTGTCTTTTCAACGTTGAAAGTGTGACAAATGTAAAAAACAGGCATAAGATTAGCCAATAAATCTTATTAACTATTGCTTGAATATACGTATCCTTGTTCGATGCACCTACATCTTGTAAGAGATAGTGTGGTTTGATATCTCATGTGAACTCTCTATGAATAAAACAAAACCTGAAAGCTGCACAAGCGAAATGTTTGCTATGGAGGGTAACATTTTTTTTTCTAATTTTTCGATCTTCCAATCATCAGGTCATGAGAGAAACTTGAACGATAGGAGAGTGGACTCTGAGCCAGAGAATGCCATTCATTCATCAGGTCTGGGGTTCAAGAGAGATCAAATGAGCAGAGAAACGTGGATGACAAGAGTACAAAAAATTTTTTCATCTATTAATGATCAAAATGAATTAATACGGGACATGAGTGTTTCAGAGAGCTAGCTAGTTAGTGTAGCTGGGAGGAAATTGATTATGCAGAACAACCCGAATGAGGGAGTTGACTGAAAATTAAATTAAGAGAAGAAAAAAAAGATTTTGTTCCGGAAGAACGTTGGCATGATGCTATTGACTTCTCAAATATTCTGACGTTCGAATGATCATTGCTGAACTGATGTTTTCAGCCAAAAAAAGCACAAAAATCAATTTCTAATATGATCATCATGATTATCCTAGGAATGATCTTTTATTTTAAAATGATATCACATCATCATAGATATGATTGACCTCCTACACTTCTTTAAAAGCTGTATAAACATAATGAACTACTTCCTAATGATATAAAAGCTTCTGCCTAATGTAGGAAATCAGTCTGAAAATGAAATACTTCACTATCTTCCTCGCTTTACTTCTGGTATCAGCTGCCCTCGCTGCCCCCAAGGTGAAAGCTTTCCTTATTATATCTCTTCATAGATGCATATCAATTACAGAGAGGTCGCAAAAACTCATCCTCGGACTCCAGCTCCAAATCTGAAGAATCCAAATCATCTGGATCTAAGTCTTCTGAATCCAACTCCAAATCCAAATCTTCTGAATCGGATTCTAAGTCTGATTCTAAATCGTCTGAATCTTCAGAATCAAAATCAAGCTCAGAATCTTCAGAAGAAACAGATGATGCTACAACTGAGCCATCCGTCACAGACGAATACACCGATTTCCCAACTGACGAAGTAACTGATGTTACAGACGTGAGCGAAGAATCTTCCACCGATTTCCCAACCATCGAATTTGAGGAAACAACAGATGTTCTCTAATCTAATTGCATAATAATATTGTTTGATCACCAGTATGTAGAAACTGTGCCACCGAAAAGGATTTTTGTATTAAATAAACACTGCTTTTCACTACAACAGATTCATCTTAACATTATTTTTTTTTATATTTTGCAAAAGAAGAAGCAAAAAGAATCAATTATGTATTAAGTAACAGAGAATAGTAAATACTACAAAGCGACTATGTATATTCTATAGAAATACAGATAAGTATGCATTTACAAATCCAGAAATGAACACAAAGTCCACATAACGCTCATCTGTAATGCATAAATACAAATTTGACAAAACGCCAGTCAAATGACTTAGTCATTTGCTATCCTTCTAATTCCATTTTTGGTCTTTCTTAGATACTTCCAGTCATGGCTGATGCTTGGCTTTCATGTCTCTTTGCTTACTTATCTACTCGCTATCAGCGTTTATCTGAAGTAAAAGATCGTTCTGAAAATAAATTCAATGTATCTTCTAAAGGTTTAGTTGATCATCTTTCATATTATGCTGATTATACATTTGTATTTTAGACAGTTCCGTCTTGGGACCAGTAGCTGGAAGAAGAAAGATCAAAACAATTTTCTGAACAGTGATTGTATAATCAAATAAAATAATTTCATATCACTTTTTCTATGTCTTTTACTCAAATCTGACGTCAACAAGGTTCGTGACACTAGATAGCGGATATATCTCGTGGAATCGTCAAACGGTTCCTCATTTTAAAACTTATTTTGTTCTTTTTTTATTGAAGGCTGCTTATGTCTCCTCCTCTTTTGAGTTTGTATATTAAGCCGTTCTGGCAAGTTTAATCTCATTATCTTCTCAAGCTTACAAAATGATCTTCAAAGCTATCGCTCTATTCACAGTTCTTTTGGTTGTTGCATCTTCAGCATCTTCTTCTGCTTGGGATTCTTCTGACAGCTCAAGTAAGCTTCTTCAACATAACCTCAGCTCATATATTTGTATTCTCCAGTCTTAGATGAAAGCACTCCAAATGGAAGGTTCGCCAGAGACCTAACCGATTTAAATCAAAGATTGAAATTCGCCTTTGCCTTCGCTAAAAGAAGTGGTATGTCCGAAAATAAGTGATCGAGAGAGATAGAAAATAATATTTTCAGCTGACAAAATAGACAAGCCAAGCTTTGCTTTCGCCAAACGGTCATCTGCCGAACAAGAAAACAGTCGGTTTGCCCGATTTGCTAAATTCGCAGATATGAACAATCTTGTATAAGCCTGTCTAGAATTTCAATGTTGACATGTGGAAGAAAGAAAGAAAATAAACTGTTCTCTTTGACTTTTTAAATGTTCTGAACAATGTTATGGCTGGAGGTGTGCAAAAGGTTGAAAGACTAAGGCTTCAGAGAACAGACAACTTCCGGCGAAAAAATTGAAAGAAACCCATCGAAGCACTTATCCTAAACCTTTTCCTGTTTTTTTTCTGGATTTAAGAAAACAATCATAAACTTCAACTACATTTTAAACTTTAACATTACTCTCTCTGCTCGCCGTATTGAGATGCCATTCGTACCATGTAATTCAACGATGATGGAATGCCAACTTCAACGTGAACAACAGATATGTCGCTTGGGATGGCTATTATTATTTTTATGGCTTATAACAATTATTTATATTACAAGAGTTTCTTTTTTTCTTCTTCCAAATGTCTATCTCTACACTTTTCAGGAGTTGTGGTGGCAAGATCCAGAAGCTCTCAATAATGCCGATGACAACTATTTATCTGACTTACATGGCTTTATAATTTGAATTAGAAGATAATATATTTTAAATAAAAACTTTCAATTACCTAGCTCTACATGTGTATGGTTAACTAAAGATCACAGATATGATGCTAAAGGATTCGATCCCTTGTACCAATTGTTGTCATCCTGTTACCTTCCCATCCCGTTTACATTTTATTTTTGGAAACTATATAGGAATGGCTGTCCATACGAAAAACAAATTACTTAAATGCATTTGTTGTATTACAGATTATTATAATAAGAAACATAAGCTGGAAATCTCTTGTTAATAGTCATTAGGGATAAAGCAAAGGAAGGATCATAAGCATATTTTGCATCATGAAGACAGACATAAAGCTTCATTTCTTTCATGAATGCTCTGTCTACAAGTCGCTACAACTGATTTCTCTTTCGTTTACCGCTACTCAATTACTCAGTTTTTATACGTTTCATTGCAGAAGGGAAAATGATCAAATTCTCCTTCGTATGCTTGCTTTCGACATTTTCGATTGTTTGGTCGCAGGACAATGTAACACCCTGGCCTCTTACCACACCTTTCTCTTTAGCAACAACGGATATTGTCGATGCTTCTGGAGCAACTTTTCTTTCGAGTGAAACCAATTCATCTGATGGATTTTTGAATGCTCAAGGTGTTCCGCCAACAGTCAAAACACAACTTTTAAGTTCATTTTAGGAAAAATAAGATTGAGAATCGGACATATCGGTGCATTGAACGCCTTAAGAAACGATGTGAAGATTTTGGAAATTTCTCATAAATCTCTACGAGAAGAAGGTATTCTGGACGATGATTTTGATCTTGAGTTAGTTTTGATATCAAACAAGCATATTACTGTTGGCTGTTCAGAATTGTTTCTCAAAACGGATGTGGTGAGTCTTATGAAGGGGTGGCCGTTGCTGCTGACATGTATCATTTGCAAAAAGTCAAAGCATTAATTGGTCCTTATTGCAACGCAGGTTTTATTTATTGTTTTTGATGTAATTTGAGTACATTGGTGAGCTGTACAGAAATGGATGCTGTTGCTAGAATGGCAGCTTTTTGGAACTTACCAATTATTGGATATATGGCATCATCCAACGCCTTAGCGGATAAGAAGGCCTATCCGACATTAGCTCGAATTTCGGTACGACGCTATGAATTGTGTATGTGTCGATACACATCTTCTTACAGATGAGATCAACAAATTCGATTGCTGAAGCAACAACAGCTCTACTGAAGCATTACGGCTGGAATAAAGTAATGAAGATGAAAACAAATAAATAAAGATCATGTGTTAAGGTTGCAATAGTAACTAATACAGGAACATTAGCTTATGATCGAACTCTGGCATTCGAAGAGGTTTTCCATGCTCGTCAAATAACAGTTCTCAAAAAGGTTCTCTCATGTCTTTGACCGCAGACAATGATTTTCATACAGATTATGTTTGATGAATTTGCGGATGCGAAGTCAATGGTTAACTCAGGGTTGTTGAATGAAGTTAAAAGCACAGCAAGAAGTCGTTCAAAAATAGTTGTGGTTCAGTAAATCGTATTGTTTAGTAGTCATTTGCCTCTTTTCTAACACGAGAGAATCAACCAGAGAGTTCCTCACAGCTGCGAACATGCAAGGAATGCAAGTCAATGAGTATGCTTACATCTTGCCGTGGTTACAAGTATTATGATACCGTTGGTTATATGCTACCAAATTTTTAAGGATGGATTGAAAGATGTGACTCCTTGGATTGGTACAGAAGGAGAGATGCTACAGAAAGTAAAAGATCAATATGCTAACGCAATTATTGTAAGTTACTAGACGTGGTTACGTGACAGCTTCAGCAACGTGTGTATAACACGTGTGCGCCTTTTCATTTCACTTAAACCGGTGACCAAAATAGTTTGTTCATGGTCTTTCCTTTTCAATTTTTCTTAAATTTGAAATTTCTATTCTCTTAAGGCATAGGGTGCCAAACTATTTTGGCCATGGGTGTATATTTGAGTTCACCTAGACCGGTTGTTCTTGTTAGTTGTGCATTTTCCTTATTCATTTGTCTGTTTAAGATTGATGACGTCAATAGTTTTGATAACAGTATTACCACTCCTTTTCTGGAAAAGATCAAAGATTCTGGGTTAGGTCCGAAGGATGTTGATATGGTTTGGGATTCTTGATAGATCATTCAATTACTTTTGAGTTCAGGGCAACATATATGGCTATTTGTATCTGTTTGATGCTTTAAAACTATTCTCTCTGACAGCTCGCAAAGTATTGAACGAAACAGGAAAATCGGAAAGCCTTTTAAATGGAAGATTGGTTTGGAATAATATGCGAAGAATGAAATTTCAAGGTTCTCACTCAACTTACTTCTTATGTATTTATATTCACCATGAAGGAATGTTGGGCAGCTCCGGCATAGCCTCTGGTATAGTCAGTATGGATGATCGTGCTGAAAGAGCTCCTCTTTATAGAGGATTCTTTGTCACACCTGGAGCAGATCAGGTTTTTATCATACAAAATAACTGAGTTAATAGGTATACAGGTAATGTCTATGGTCCATATGGAACCAACAATGATCGAAAAGTGTGATGGTGTAGAGAATAAGACAGGCTGTTATGACATAGTAAAGACTCATGTTCTCCATAGTGATATCAATGTTTCTCGCTTTAAGATTGTTACTGATCTAATGAGAGACTTTTGGCCATCAGTAGACAGACGAATGCCACGTGATGAGCCAGACTGTGGTTTCCGAAATGAAAAATGTGATTATACTCTGCCGATAGTTGGTGGAGCTCTAGTTGTGGTGGCTCTGGGGCTGGCTCTAGGAGCATTTATTGCTCATAGACTGATGTATAAGCTTGAATATTTGAAAAAAAAAAACACTTTAAATGATTTAAGGGAGAAGAGAGCTTTGAACAAGTTACCTTTCCGTATATATCGTGATGATCTGCAGCTTATTGATGAAGAGCAGTTGAAGAGTATGGTAAGATGAGCTCATCTGGAAACTATTAACATTCAACCCTTATTATAGCTATCGTTAGGAAGTACAAGAACTAAACTCAGTAATATGAACTATGGAACACGCAATCATGCAATCGTTGGAACAAACACTCATGCAGTATATCACAAGTACTGTGTTTCATAAGTTAGTTCATAATGAGGAAGTGACTACAGGTACCCCCAACGGCGTCCGATCAAATTTGCCCGACAGGATATGCAACTGCTATCTCTGGTAAAAAATTTAATCATCCATATTCATTCACCTATTGAAATAGATGAAACAAGCCATCCATGATAACATCAACCCATTCTTGGGCATATCATTCAATGAGAAAGAAGAAGTTCTGTTAGCTTGGAAGTTCTGCTCTCGGTAATCCATAATGCTCTCGATGCTATAATACAATGTCTTCAAAGGGGAACATTACAAGATATCATTTACAATGATAATATTGCGTTAGACAGCAAGTTCCACGGAGCATTCATTAAGGATATTCTCAGTGGTTTGGAATATCTTCATGCATCAGCCATTGGATACCATGGGTCTCTTACCCCATGGGCTTGTCTCATTGACAGAAACTGGATGGTCAAGCTGACTGATTACGGTTCCCTCTTAACTACATATGTTGAATTGTTTTTTTGAATATTTCAGGTATTGCTGATCCTCTTGAACGTTGGGAGAAACAGCAAGCTATTTCTCGTGATGCTTTGACAGGAGATGATGATAAGTCACAGGCAACACAATCCACGAGTATATTATTGAGTTTTCAAAGGTTGCGTATTGGTATTTTTCAGGTCAAATATACGAAGCTCCTGAAATGCTCAAGAATCGTGAGAAAAATCGTGGTCGTCGTGTTGATCAGGAATGGCTGAAACAGACTATGGTTTTTAATGAAAATAATGTAATATAGAGAGATTGTTTCAGACCCGGAAAGCAATGGGAGATATATATGCTTTTGGAATAATCATGTATGAAATCATATTCCGAGCTTTACCGTTCCCAGAAGCAACCGATATAGGGCGTTAGAAGATTATTAAGTTCTTATGAAGTTGACCTGATCTTTTCAGAACTTGTCGAACAAATAAAAGATGGTTCACGAGTAGTCCGACCAACCATAATGGATAATAAGGTTCAACAGTAAATCATAGATATTACAGTTCTATTCAGATCATCAACATGGATTTGACTAACTTGATTACTGACTGTTGGAATAGCACACCTGAAATGAGACCATCGCTTCGTCGAATTAAGTTGAACGTGGAAAGCTATTTGAAAGTGTATGCTAGAGTTGTATAACAGCAGTTAGCGTCTGTTTTGCAGTAAAGGCTCCTTAGTAGATCAGATGATGCGAATGATGGAGCAATACGCTAATAACTTGGAGAAATTAGTTCAGGAAAGAACTGGTATGTTGGAAGAGGCTAATGTACGAGCAGATCGCCTCTTGAGTCAACTATTGCCATCGTAAGAATCCTTGTATTAATATTCAAAAGTATTGATCTGATTTCAGATTCGTTGCAAATGAACTCAAAAATGGACGGCCGGTTCCTCCTAAAATGCACAGATCAGCCACAATTCTTTTCAGGTATGCGAGCTTAAACTATCTCTTCACTCTTTCGCTTTTCAGTGATATTGTCGGCTTTGCCGATTTGTGCAGAGATGCCACACCAATGGAAGTTGTCAATGTACTCAATGGTGTTTTCGATGGATTCGATCAGTTCATTGCTAGAAGACAAGCTTACAAGGCTAGATTGTATAGCTTCTGTGTTTGATTTTTAGTTTATCTTAAGGTTGAAACTATTGGTGACGCTTACATGGTTGTGTCTGGTGTGCCAGAAGAAAATGGTTACCGTCATATCAATGAAATAGCTTGCATAGCTCTTGATGTACACAAATTCTTGAAAGATTTCGAAGTTCCTCATCGAAGAGATATTCGTGTTTCTTGCCGTCTCGGCTTCCACACTGGCCCTGTAGCTGCAGCTGTGGTCGGATTAAATGCTCCACGTTTCTGCTTGTTTGGAGATACAGTGAAAACAGATTGACCACGCTGTTCGTTAATGAATTACTTTCAGGTGAACATGTCCTCGCGTATGGAGAGTAATGGTGAGCCGGGAAAAACTCAGATATCTGAAGCTGCTAATACTCTGCTCTTGAAAGAGTATCCAGAATATGAAACCGAACTGAGGGGTGAAATACCTATCAAGGTGCTATTCTTCCTGATGTAATGAAATTCATTGGGATATTTAGGGAAAAGGCATGTGCAAAACATTTTGGCTGATGGGAACCAAGAGTGAGAGCTTGTCCTCTACTTATTGTGCACCAACTCAAAAGGTATGCTTATTCGATCAACTAAACGATCTCTTATGACTATTCATTCAGGAAAAGAGCAACTTCTCCAATTTCTTGGGTTCTCAACAACAGCAATCAGCAATGCCTCAGTTCAACATGCCTAGAAGTCCAAACACTACATCAAACGTTTCGAGTGTTAATCAAAGTATGATGTCTCGGTGAGAGACTTGCATCTGTCTCATAATCCTAGTAGTATTTTTGTAATATTTTCAATTTTGTATTGTATCGAATAATAAATCTTTTAATCTACAAAAAGTTTAATAATATAATCAGTGAAAGTGGTGAATGAGGTAGAGATGTAGAAAACAACCGCTTCATGCGTATGTACATTACTAAATGAAAATCTGAGACGCCCAAAGGCAGTTCGTTAAGAGCGAACGAGGCTTGTACGATTATCCTATGTTTTCAAACAGCAATGTTGTAGATTGGAGGATAGCTTGTCTAAGACATATAAGTCGTCTTAGCTGTAAGTATTAATGACAGTAAATACTAATCTTAATAAAAATCTGTTATCTATTTAAAAAGATAACCATTAAATAAATTATTATTATTTGCTGCTACTCCAGATCTCTATTTACTCCATATTTGGATCTGAAAGATGGCTGCTATCATCAGCTCTCTTCTAGTTTTTTTACTTTTCCAACCAACTTTTACAGTCAAAGTAAGTTTACATGTATCTCTTCTTCAAGTAAAGAACGGCGGCTTAAGGTTACACTTGGTCACATCGGAGCTGTTGGATATATGAAAAACAGCCAATACATTTTGGAAATATCAAGAAAAGAACTGATAAAAGATGGAGTATTGGGAGATGATTTTGAAATTGAGTATGTCATCTTATTCAATTCCAATCTCTCTTGTTAACTATCAGAATCATCAATAAGATGGGATGTGGTGATGCCTTTGAAGGTGTTGCCGTGGCTGCGGATATGTATCATTTGCAAAACGTTAAAGGATTTATCGGTCCTTATTGTAATGCCGGTAGGAGAACAGAATTTTTAAATTCAAATATTATCTTCAAGAGCTTGACGCTGTTGCAAAAATGTCAACATTTTGGAACATACCTATAGTTGGTTACATGGCATCTTCAAATGTATTCGCGGACAAAACGATTTACAAAACTCTATCACGTGTCTCCTTACGGACAACAAACTCTTTAGCAGAAGCAGTAGCAGCTTTCGTTAAGCACAATCATTGGCTAAAAGTGAGTTTTTCAATTTTATTAGAATGTCTTTCACACAGATATTCCCAGGTGAAAGGTATTTAACAAATAATATGAAATAGGTTGGTATAGTGACGAACACCGGTGTATTAGCATTCGAAAGAACATCAGCTTTCGAAGAGGTTCTTCACAAACGTGGAATAACCATATCGAAAAAGGTTTCAGTTAACAAAATTACTGTAAAACACAAGCTGTTTGAAGATTTTGTTCGATGAGTACGCAAATTCCAAATCTATGATCGCATCTGGATTACTCAATGATCTTTTTGAAAACGCACGAAGTTTACAGGGCCTTCGAGTTTGAATTATTACATTTTGAATTATAGTTATCATTCCTATCTTTTCTGCAACAAGAGATATGAGCAAAGAACTGATGAAAGCAGTGGAGATGAGCAATATCAACAGGAATGAATATGTTTTCATTTTGCCTTGGCTTCAGGTGCGCTTCTCACAGTTTGAAGGATATTCTAAATTTTGCAGATAGAGAAAAAGGACACAAGTCCTTGGATCATGGAAACTGGAGAAATTGATCAAAAAATGAAAGATTTGTTCGGGAATTCCATAATAGTAGGTTTTGTGAGGCACTATTCAGATCATAAAACAAACAGATACTAACCCTGCTGTAGATTTTTTCTGAGAACTAACAAGCCTCACTAATGGCTGGAATATTCAGATTGACGATGTTAACGGATTCGATGATACTCTTGTTACTCCCTTTAAAGAAAGGGTTGAAGCTAATGGTATGACAACTGATGATCTTGATATGGTGAGTAAAACTCATATTTTCGATGATGTGTGCCATGAATATACAGGCTGATATCTATGGCTATATTCATTTATTTGATGCTCTGAGATTGTATGCCATATCAGTTAGAAGAGCCATGAACGAGACAGGCAATCCGGATATCTATAAAAATGGAACCTACATCTGGAATCAAATGAGAAAAATATCTTTTCCTGGTATTTACAGTCATACGTAAAGAATGGCTGACTATAGTATTCAAGGTTTGGTTTCCGTTGGTGGTGTGACTTCCGGACTGGTACAGATGGATGATCTAGCTGAAAGAGCTCCTCAATACTCAGGTATTTGGGAGTTTTAGCTATATAAAGCTTTTCTTAGCTTTTCTTGTCTCTCCTAATTCGGATAATGTAAAAAAAATAAATGATATCGAGCCAAAAATTTTAAGCAACTGTGATGGATTAAAAACAAAGTCAGGATGCTTTGATTTGGTTTGTTACATCTTGAGCTTCAAAAAGATTCCTCCGTTTCAGATTATAACAGATTATGTGACAGGTTTTTGGCCTTCTCTTGATGGTCGATTGCCTCCTGATGAGCCAATTTGTGGTTATAAGTGAATAATAATAGTTTTTCAAATATCTTCTCATCATTATTCAGAAATGAACATTGTGATTATACATTAATTATTATTGGAGGAATACTTGCCTTTGTTTTGATTTGCTCCATAATTGGAGCTTTCGTACTTCATCGCTTTTGGTCAGAGAAGCATAACAGGCCTTAATCAACTTAAATTCAATTTTAGTGAAAATAGAACTTTGGCTAAAACATGTTGGAGAATCTATAGAGACGATTTCAGAGCTGTAACTGAAGACGAAATGAAATCTATGGTGAGGCTAATGAGAATGTCATGAAATGCTGTTTTATTTTTAGCTCTCTATCGGCTCAACACGAACCAAAATGTCGAATATGAGTAGCTTCGCTAAGGTTTGATTATGGATGAGAGTTGTTGTTAATAACTTTACAGCATCATGCTATACTGGGAACGAATACTCATGCCTCTTTTCATTTATATCCTCAACGAAGACCAATATCCTTTAACCGAATGGATATGCAGCTGTTATCTCAAGTACTCGTATAACTGTGAAAATTTCGAAATGATAACCAAAACAGATGAAACAAGCAGTGCACGACAATATCAATCCTTTCCTAGGAATGTCTTTTAATGAAAATGAAGAAATGGTCCTGTTGTGGAAGTATTGTTCGAGAGGAACTCTCCAGGTCTTAAAACTTTACAAGCAAAAATTCAAAAACTTCCATTTGAAGGATATCATATACAACGAGGAAGTTGTTTTGGATAATAAATTCCATGGAGCTTTCGTGAGGGATATCACACTAGGATTGGATTATCTGCATTCATCTCCTATTGGCTACCATGGATCTCTATCTCCATGGGCCTGTCTTATTGATCGTAATTGGATGGTCAAGCTAACTGATTATGGTTTATAAAAGTATTCAATGAAAACGTAAACACTGCTCAATCTCTAGGAATTGCTAATCCACTGGAGCGATGGGAAAAGCAAGGAGCTATTTCGGTGGAATCTCTCAAGGATGGCGATGAAAAAAGCGGCTCTGCGCAAGCTACAAGTACTTAAAGAATAAAGAGTCATATAACTTTGTGGATACAGGCATCATCTACCAACCTCCAGAGTTTTTAAGAAATCGGGAAAATAATAGAACCCGAAGAGTTGATCAGGCAAGTTTTTTTAGATGTCAGTCTGACGGGGAGGTGTGTTTAGTACAACCAACAAAACTTAAGAAAATATTATAGCCTTGTATTTTCTTTCGAACTATCAGAATGCAACTGATCATTTCAGGTATGGGTAAAGCAATCACTTACACGACGTCAAGCTGGAGATATCTACTCCTTCGGAATGATTTTACATGAAATCCTTTTTCGGTCTTTACCTTTTCCCCCTGGAACTGATATGACAGGTATAGAAGTTTTTTTTCACATTTTTACGTTATACATGCTTATTCAGAACTTATTGAGTATCTTCGAGATGGAACGAAAACATTCCGGCCGACAATCAAAGACAGAAATGAAATTCATCCTGATATTGTCTCCCTTCTATTGGACTGTTGGAACGAAAATCCGGATATTAGACCTTCCATACGTAGAGTTCGATTGAACACGGACAGCTATTTGAAAGTGTAGGAGGAACGGAGGAAACTTCCTGTTGAAATATTTCTTTATAGGAAAGGTTCCTTAGTAGATCAGATGATGCGAATGATGGAGCAATACGCTAATAACTTGGAGAAATTAGTACAGGAACGAACTGGAATGTTGGAAGAAGCCAATTTGAGAGCAGACAAGCTTTTATCTCAATTACTACCAAAGTGATTTGATTTTTAAACTCATTCCAATCTATTCTTTTCAAGATATGTCGCTAATGAGCTCAAGCTTGGTCGTTCAGTACTTCCAAAAACATTCAATTCAGCAACTGTTATGTTCAGGTTTCATGAATACCAAGAATTTGGATATAGTTTTAATTCCCAGTGACATTGTCGGATTCACTACGATCTGTTCTTCATCCAGCCCACTTGAAGTTGTGAACATGCTCAACTCAGTTTACAGCCAGTTTGACGATATAATCAACAAAAACGATGCATATAAGGTACCAAACTGAGCGTAGTACTGAGCTGAGCTGAGTATTCCACTCTCTTAGGTTGAAACAATTGGAGATGCCTATATGATTGTAAGCGGTATTCCGGAAGAAAACGGGAACAATCACATAATGCATATTTGCGATACTGCCATCGATCTTATGAAGGTAGCAGCATGAAGGGTTTCTTCCAATCATTTCATGTAGATTTTGAAAAACTATCAAGTACCTCATCGCCGAAATGATCGAATTCGCATTCGGCTCGGAATACACAGCGGTACAGTTTCTGCTGGTGTGGTTGGTTTAAGTGCTCCCCGGTATTGCCTGTTTGGAGATACGGTTACTATTATCAAACATTACTTATTTTTCAAGATGCGATGTTTCAGGTCAATATCGCGTCTCAACTTGAGTCCTCAGGCGAGCCTGAAAAAATTCAGGTCTCTGAAGTATCTCAAACACTTTTACGAAACTATTTTCCTCAATACCGATTAGAAGAACGAGGACCAATGACTATCAAAGTGAAAAAAAACGACCCGTTGAATAATTAAATTTATAATTTCAGGGAAAAGGTGAAATGATAACATATTGGCTCAAAGGTAGAAGTGAAGGATGATCTCTTACAAACCAGCGGATGCCTTGACAAGTTTAGGGCAGTTGACTTGTATATAAAAATAGTATAAAATAGAGTTACTTTTCCCACATACTAATTCTTGATAACTTTTTTTGAATAATAAATTAGTTTGTATCATTTTGTTTGGCCTAAACTCTTACACAACCTAATACGGTAGAGATACAAGGTCATCAGATGTTCAATTGGAAGGGGACCTTTTGTGCGGTGTGAGAAACTGATTTTATTAAAACTAGTATGGTGTGAACAACTATAACTGTTGAACGATGCAGTACTCAACCACATGGTGATACAATAGTATGGAGAACTAATATTCAAATTAAAAACTTCGTGAACAGTGAGAGCAGCAACTGAAAAACACGAATTGTTCAACTAAATTCAGAAGTAGAATTGAAAAAACTGTGGACTTTCTGTTAGAACCTAACTTTCCAGATGCCAGTTAATTAATGGAGATCTAACATAGACATATGCACGAGCTGTTTAGTCCTAAACAGCTCAATCCTATTAGGTTGATCGTATACTTTCCAAATAATTCATCAGCTATAAGACGCCAACAAGAAATAACCCGTAGCAACATCTTAAAGCCACTAATTATCGTTCAAAGGAAAAGCTGCTAGGGTAACCCTTCAAATGAACAAAGACGAAACCATGGACTAGTGATAACGCGAAGCGACGCGAGCGCCAATTATTCACGTGACGTCCAGCCCCAAAATATTTATTTTAATTTTCTGCAGCGGCTTGTGCGGTTGTGTTTTTGTTACCTATTTCATTTATTTTCTGATTTTTTCCTATCTAGATGAAATGCGAAAATTCGCTTTTTCCAATTTTTTCCTTTTATTCAAAATTTGATATATTTTCTACTTCTTTTTACGACTTCGAAGTTGGTATTTTTATCTAGGAACTACTGCATCTCTGTAATTTCGAAATGTTATACTCAATTTTGAGCATAGATCATTTTCTTCATTTTTCTCATTAACATCAAATTTTGAGTGTGTAAGTTTTTCATAACGTAAAATGCTAATGGATGCATTTCCGAGTTTGACAGACTAGCCTATCGGCGAGTTTATCTCGTTTGAATTTTCACGAAATTGCTCCTTATCATTATGACTCATGAAAAATGCAATCTTTTATATTATATTTTTCTAATATAACGACGTTTCACAAGGGCTGTAAACTTAGATATTCAAAAAACCGGTCTTCGATATAATTTATCAATGAGCAAGTGTTTGAGTAAATAACGTTTAAATTTCCCGCCTTTACTGCGAAGCTAAGAGAGCGCGTTCATTGGAGAGGCAGTGTAGAAAGCGGGAATATGGGACTTGGTCGTTTCCCGCCCGCCTATTTATTCGCATCCACGTCACCATTTACTGCCCATAGGTTTTACTAGATGCTTCAACTATTTTTTTTCTCTCCTAAATTTTCTCAAAGGTTAACTATTAGTGATGTATGTCTTATGATACGACTTTAAATTTTCAGTTCGCTAATGCCTACACTTTTCTAATTTTTCTTTTCGTCAACGCCAATGTTCCTCTATTTTTGTAATGGATTGCTAAATTTCATAATATTTTGCCTTCATTCAGTTTCCATGATGAAATTTTTTTTTTGACCACAACCTAAAATTAATCTTATTGTGTCAAAATTTTCTCGCTCCGATCTGAGAATGCTGCGCCTCTGCGCATTTTAGTTGCTGCTGCTGTGCCCTATTGCGATCAATACTGAGGTCTTACCGCGACGCATTGTCTAGGCAGCAAACGACGCCGCAGCGTCCTGCAAGTCGCATCACATGTTCTCTTGCGCGTATTGATTTCGCTTGACTTATCTCATGTTCTCTATTTGATATTAAAATTTGATAATTTTTTTTGATTTTTCTAGAAATGGCTCGTACTAAGCAGACTGCCCGTAAGTCCACCGGAGGAAAGGCTCCTCGTAAGCAACTTGCTACCAAGGCTGCTCGTAAATCAGCCCCATCGACCGGAGGAGTCAAGAAGCCTCATCGTTACCGCCCAGGAACTGTCGCTCTTCGTGAAATCCGTCGTTACCAAAAATCGACCGAACTTCTCATCCGCAAGCTTCCTTTCCAGGTAATCAGATCAAAGGCAATGCGTTTGATATATATTGATTTTTTAAGAGACTTGTCCGTGAGATTGCCCAAGATTTCAAGACTGATTTGCGTTTCCAGTCTGCCGCTATCGGAGCTCTTCAGGTTTATTTTTCGTCTTATACTATCCCACAATAACCACAATTTCTTCCAGGAAGCTTCTGAAGCTTACCTTGTTGGTCTTTTCGAAGATACTAATCTTTGCGCTATTCACGCCAAGCGTGTAACTATCATGCCTAAGGACATCCAACTTGCTCGTCGTATCCGTGGAGAGCGTGCTTAAACTCACTTTACATTGCAAAAGATCTCGTAATCTTCCTGTATTTATATTGTATCAACACTGTTTGAACTAGTACCTTTAACCGGCATTGATGTCGATGATTCCGAAATAAACATTAATATTATGTAACTGAGCAACAATTCGACCAATAAATCAGTACCCTCAACCGTTTTCTTTCTTCTGTACAATTTGGGAGTCTTAGGGTTTTTAAATTTCCAGGAGAAATATGCTATAGTAAGATAGGAGCCGTAGCGATACACTTGGCATTGATCTTGTGATCGTAAGGTTTACTGTTGTCTATGACTGTACAGTTGTCTAAGATTTTATTTCCTGCACGAAAGTGAAGTTTGCTTTAAATGATTTTTGTTTGAAGTTGGAAATCGATAGGTTGATGTAACATAGAATGTTAGGGGCGGAGTTTATGGCAATCAATACGACTGCCCAGTTTCGCTTCTTATACTGTGACCAAGCGCGAATTCAAAACAAAATTTACACGTACAATTTGTGAAGCAACGCATATATTTGATCGGAAAGGGATGAATATATCATTCGAGAAGCTTCTATGGGAATCAATGGAAAGCTACAAGCTGTTTGCCTCCAGAGAGCTGGAAAGGAAAACAAGCAATTTGAAAGTTTTTGAGCTCAATGAGCAAACAAATCGATTACTTTCTGTTCTACCTATGTTTGGGGTGACAAAGAATGTTTTCGAAGTAGTAAAAGGAATTCCTTCGGATAATATATTAATTTCCTGGGAATTCCAGTATGGTCGTTATTTCACGAACAAAATTGAAACATTGCTTCGTATTATTTACGCCTTATGACTTTTGGAGTTAAATTTAAATTTCGAAAACTTTAACTCGTTTTTTTCGTTTTTTACAACTCTATTCGTTCTACAGTGAATGCTGCCAAATGAAATTGGTATATCCATATCCGGTTGAAAGTAATTATGCAACAACCTGGATAGGAATGCACTGTCACTCTTCCTTTTTCGTCAATATGGCAAACAGATTTTCCCTTTCACATCACTTCTATGCCGTTAAAATGCTGTTGTATTCTCTTCTCGTGTGTGAAACGAACCCTCAAAGACATGACGTCATCTTCTACATATGTGGACTGTTTCATTTTGTTAAATACCATTCGTTCTTTCAATGAGTAAGCAGAACCGACATCACAAATATAATGTGGTGCTGTTTCTCGTTTGGCCCATTAGTATAGATTTTGCTTGAAGCTCGCAATCAAGCTTAATCTATACAACCATCAAACAAATGCTTCAATTATTTTATCGTGAAAGCTTGATGCTTGTTCGTTGTCAGCTAAGCCGTTGTATGATTCTCATTCTCTCCATCTTTCTACCTCATTACTCTCTCATGTTTGTGTCTTGCTTTCATGTAAATTTCAAAAATAAGAAAGAGATAGATGAAAATTACACGCGGATGAGCTCGATTTCTATCTCGATCGTATCATTATCACCTATCGGAGAATTTCTGTGTGCATCTGGCTTGTCACACATGCTAAATTATCGTTGAACACTCCGAAGTGAATCATCAAGCTTATATCTCGAATTAGACGAGATGGTGGATGCCTTCTTCCTAAACTCCTTTAACTTCGGTTGTCTCTGTGCCAGCAGCTGTGATAAAGACGAAATGAGTGTTTAAGCATTTGTTGTGGAAACATTACACAATTTTTTCAATTTTCATTCTCATCACACTGCCTGATCGTTCCAGATTAGCTTTTTCTATTTGTATGACTCACTCCGGAAGACAGCCTAGTACAATTTCATACCGCTTGAGTTTGCCGCCGGTCTCTATTCAGTATTCACATTTCGTTGCCGAAATAAGCTCAATGTTCACAAATCGTATTCTACCGTATCCCATTTAAACTTCAAATTCATAAAACCTGCCTAATTCAATCACCATATTAGATTGTTTTCCATAAAGTTTCCAAAAGAGTTTGCATAGCACGTGGAACGGCAAATCTCCGAGTAAAAAATCTAAGCCTTTCGTCGCCTTGGTGGTCTTGCTATTTGACTGTAAAACAACGCAGAGATCGGCTGCTCTTAATTTTTCTCTCATGAGTTTGATCATCGCTGAAATTGCTTACTTTTATAAACATTCGTAACGTTCGAGGAATATTTTAATTTCGTTCTTCCATTTTCTGCCCATTTATCTAATGAGTGATACATCTGATTTTCGGTTTTTTATATCACTCAATAGTTTGAAAAGCGGTGTGTAATTTGCTATCCCCGCCTCCAAAAAATTGAAATCTTTTCATTTCATTTGTTGCTTTTGTCTTCCTCATCTATTCAAATATCTTTTTTTTCAGATGAGAGCTTCGATTCTCATACTGTTGGTGGCATCCGCCTTTGCTGCTCCAGTCACAGAGGTATCTCATATTCCCTTTCTCTCTGAACGCCAATGACCTTTTTTTTGTAGAAGCAGGTGAATGACAACAAGGATGTTGCTAAAAGTAGTTTTTTTCTTAGAGTCCGCTAAACTATCAATCATTTTTTTCAGGAAGCACTGAAGGAGAAGCTGTCGGTAAGAAATACGTGATTTGAAAAGTTCCTTGACAATATATTCCCCAATTATGGTCATTTGATAAGAATCG